AGTTAGGTGGTTAGAAGAAGTGCTTCAAGAAGAGAAGTGGGCAATTTGATAGAGAGATAGATAGACAGATAGTTCATAGATAGAATACAGAGGTAAATAATAGATAATAGTGTAGGATATACAGGCCAGGAACATAAAACAGAAAAGGCAATCAAGCTGGAAACAACAGATATAGTAAGACAAGACAAGAAGAACCGGGAGTACCAGACCAAAGCCACGGCATAAGCAAAGAGTTACAAACACAAGAGGTAGAAAAGACATGTCCAGAGTAACGCAACCTGATCCCAGAAGACAAAAGGAAAAAGAAGAGATAATAATAATACAGTAATTCATACCACCGATATGAGACAGGGTGGCGATCCGAGATTAAAAGAGAAATGGGGGCCGAAAAAAAAAAAGCAAACCGTGAAAACCCATAGAATACATCACAACATATTAACCGTCAAGAATAAGTATAGTGTTCAGGTAGAAGGAGTAGAAGGAAAAGGAAAGGAGGAAAGACGTGGACGAATCGGGGAGGATGCAATTTACATCCAGTTCTCATCCAGGCGCCCTCGCACCATTCGTCGTCCTCGTCGCAACCCCACGTCGCCGTCGCCGAGAAGGGCCTGCCATCGCCGTCCGACGCTGGCGTTATCTTTGCCCATGCGACGCGCGCAGTCGTCCCAGTCTCGTTTTGATAATTGGAACTTTTCCAGAACCAGTTCGACCAGTCGCTGGTCATCGTCTGATGTCCAAGACTCGGTGTCCTGTGCGGTAGGCTCTTCTGTCTCCTCGATCGACGGAAGTGCCGCATCAGGATCGAATGACGACGCGCTGTTTTCTTGTTTTGATTCAGATTCTTCTTTGCGCCGCTGCGCAGGTGAGGGAGGCGATTGTGTGATAGGTGGAGAGCGAAGAGAGTAGAAATCGGATTGCGACAGACCTAGCGGCAGGTCATAGGGGACGTGTCGACGGCGTTTGGGGGTGGAGTATCTAGTATTGCGTGGAGGGGTTTGCGCATCGGCGAAACTAGCGCCTTCTGCGTCAAGATCGGCTTCGTAGGAGTCGCGGCGTCGCTTGTTGGCGCCGCGAGGCCGCTGAGGTTTAGGGGATGCGATGGAGGAGGGTTCGTTCTGTTTTTGTTTCCGCGACCGGGCGGAAGATCTGGGTTGAAAGTGTAGAGGACTTTGGAGGCGTGGAGTTTTTGAGCGTCGTGGAGATGGGGCTGGAGAGCCATTTAGAAGTGATTGAAGAGCGCGACATGTGCCCACGAGGCCGTTGTTGGATGGAAAATCGTCGTCTGACGGAGGAGGGGTTGTGAATAAACGACTGGGAGTCAGGCGCGACCGAATGGAGGGGCGACGGGAGTCGCAAGGCAAAGCAGATGGGAGCAACATGGTTGCGAAGCGAGAGATAATCTGCGAATGAAAAGATATGGATGGAAATGAGAGGCGATGGCGATAGATCGATGGAGGGTGTGAGCGAGTTATGGCTGATGAGAGACCGAGTGCGCCACGATGCGCGCAGGCAGCGCTGCGATTTGCGCCGGAGGAGGTTTTGACGAGGAGCGAAGCAGTTGGGCGGTCAAAAAAGCGCCAGGCAAGGGAGAGAATATCAGCGCTTTCAGTTATCTGGGAACCGATCGATGCGACGGGGAAAGTTGGAAGGTGGGATGAGAATGATGATGGACGAGAGCGAGCGAGCGAGTTGAGTGTTGGGAGGAAAATGAGCGAACGGGCGGGTTTAAACCGGAAAAGGAGGGTGGTTTGGCTGGTTGGCCTGAGGTTGCCTTGGCTTGGGTTGCCGCAAACGGCCGTCCCAAACTTCTTTTCTGTCGAAGAACCACACCTTCTTGCGGACTCTTCAATCAATGAACGAATGACTCAACGAGGTCTCTCTTCCTCTCTTCCAGCTGTAGGCTAGATTGGTGTTTCACCTATGGCAACAGCAATAGCAACAATAATAACAACAAAGAATGACTGGGATGAGTTGGCCGCCTGCTGCCCTCATTCTTTCCTTCCAGCTCTCCTTTCCTCTACGCTCTCCTTGATCTAGGGGACCGGCTGTATTATGAAGGCCTACGACGGCCTTGAAGGGCTTACTACATCCCACCATCTCCGGTGGGCTCTAATGTGAGACAAGGGCAGGAAGAGCCACCGGAGAGGGATGCACCATGCAAGGCTTCACTCTACAAAAACCGCCGATACAAGGGGATTTATTTTACGAGCTGCATCCCTCCCGAACCGCGAGACTTGGTAGAAACTAGGGAGATCGACCTGCGACATCCCACTTTTGCTGTCAGGATGGAGTGCAATTTCCTCTGTCGCGATAATGGCTGGTCCGTGCCGTAGTGGGACGCGCGACTCTAGTCGCATTGCAGCTGCAATGCGCGGGAATTGTTCTGCTCTGCAGGTGTCAGGTGGACAGATGTTGAGTTGATTCTATTCCTGTGAAAGTGCTTCAAGCCTTATGCCTGTCGTATACTAGCTTATTGATATAGCCGTTGGACTCTCCTGGCCTGGGATACTGCTGAAGGAGGTCGGTAGTGCCAACCTGGATTCCCTCCCATCGCAGTAGTAGTCAGTCCTTTCCCGAGGGACCCTTGGACCTGTATACAGCCGAATCTATAAAGTTTCTTTCCTTCGCATCGTTGTGCTTCTTCTCTTGCGCCGTTCTGCCTCCCCGTGACTCAATCCCGCCACTTCCCGATCTGGCCATATTGGGAAGGAACGCGAGACGCGTCGCGAACGCGTAAAAACCGCGTCCAGAACACGTCGCGCGTCAACCAAGAATGCCTCAGGTGATGCAATCACGTTGTTGATCATCTGATGAAGTCATCCATCAATCATTAATCGGTAAGTAAAGAGGCTGGATGCGGTTCTTGACCTGTTTCATCTTATCAACGACCCGCCGGGGGTCACCCTTACTGCATGAGGAGGGTCCCGGCCACGCTTCCATTCTTTCCGACGGCAAGACACGACGGAATGCTGCTAGTCGAACTTCCTTTGTTTGACTTGTGGATACCTGGGTAAACCCGCCCTGTCTTGTTACTTTCAAGACCAGCCACGATTATGCCTGTGGTTCTTCCTTGCGTAGTTCTCCTGCAGACGAACTGCTCCTCGGAAGAGCTGTGGTGACGGATATCCACCATGCTGAGGCTTGCATTATCTCGGAGATTACTGCAACAAATTCTACGAACACGCCAGGGTACTGAGATGCAGACTCGCGCCGTTGCATTGACGTGAACTTGAAAATAAGTCGCTAACCATGCAATTGGAGAATACGCCTGCACAACCAGGATGCAAATTACTTGCCAACCAGGGGCGGCTAGAGTCATCCCTGCTACCTCCGGCTACGACAACTTCCTTCGCCAGGGCAAAGGCTCCCTAGAACTAGGAGCTCTTAAACAGAAGGCTGGAGGCCCGTGGTGGTCCAGTAAAATCCACAGGCCACTGGTGTACGCAAACTCCAGCCACCAGCCCCCGGGGAGTATCTCAGGTCATGCAAGGGATACCAGGAACAGGTGCAACCAGAGTACCCAAAATCCCCGAACGGTGGGGTCGCCCCATTGCACGGGTATGCGCATCACGCTGACACATGCACGTCCTTGTTCTCGGAGTACGAACTGTGAAGCAGTCTAGGATCCCTTTCCTCCGTGGATGTTACCCTGTGTTCTCTCGATCGCTTGCCCTGTCTTCCCATGGAGGGATCCGATTGGCTTCGCGGTCGCCTCCTTGAGTCTCGAGTCCTGTACCTTTCTTTTCTTTCACAATTGATGATCCTTAGCTCTCTGATCTCATTCTTATATGCCATGATTGGATAAAGATCCAAACCTGGGAAGTGCTTAGGGTACGCTGCTTGCCCTATCCGGTTACCACGATCTCTTGCTCGCGGGAATATAGTTGCTCGCTACTAACGATATAGGGCTCACCTTCACTGCTCCCCCCCCACCCCCCCCCGCAAAACCGTGTTGAGAAGTACTGATCTACAAGGACAGACTATTGATCTTACCTTGCTTATCATTATACCGTCGGTTACAAACGGCAAACCCTGCAACTCATTTGACCTTCATATTGCCCCCCCTAGCTTACATGGATACAATATCCTACAATGAAATCAAACAAACGAGTTGCCATACACCCGAAGACAGAAGCCCACACCATCATCACATGCAATGTCTTATCCCATCCCGTCCTTCCTCTCAGGGAGGCTCCTCCTTTGATTACATGAGATTCGAGCCAAGTAACCTCGCAGGGGCATCAGATGTAACGTCACTCGCTGTTTCAACCCCTGTAGCAAAAAGACCAATCAACACCGGCGCTGCAGTCTCGGACTTTCCTTTCCCTTCCCTTCTTTTATTGTCAGGTCTAGCCGGTAAATTGTTCGCCTTCTCACTTCATGGTTCATACCTCCTTGAGGTTCTATTAATATCTCTGATGTACTTGCAAACCATTTGAACAAATTGAACTTTCAACAGGCCACTTCTACATTGATATTATCTCTACATTTGTTAAACATGATGGTAGCTTCCAAACCATAAGGTCATCATCCTAGGCCTAAGCCCGATTCAAGGCATCTCATAAATCTATCTCTCAGTTGTCTAGCATTGTACCACTCTCGCCAGAACCCAGACATTCACTAAGATCTCGCTAATTCGTCGAGATTATTTTTGTCTAAAAAAAAAACAGGTCGGATACTGTATCATTTTGTTAATAGTTGGACTTGATTGTCAATTGCTAATTTTTTTGAGAAATATCTGCTGCAGACAACATTATTGATCGATAAATCGCTCATTTCCGCTCAGCATCTCCGCAATGATTACCTTTCTTCTCAAACAAGATTACTTTCTTAAGCTTGACGCCGTTTAATCCTGTGATACAATTGAAGATTTTTCGATCCACCTCACTGTCATCGTCACCGTCATATCCGGGTTAGGTCTAGGGTCTGATAGATCCTCTGAGGCGACGGATCCAGCCATTTCAGTATCCCAGTCGGTCCAGTAACTCGAATGCGGCCTCTCAGGTTGCTTGGTTTCTCGATGACTCACCAATGTCTGCATGGGAGATTTGTGTGTGATCATTTGAAGAAGCAGGCTTTCCGGAGCTTTCGGGCTGGACGATGACGGAGCTGGTCTGAGATCGACTGGGTAATCGTTCCCAGATAGAGCTTTGGCTGCTTATCGCGCCTTCGGACCTGTGATGCGGTGGAAGTACTGGGTCGGAAAGGGTGGCAGATACAAGTGAGTGGCTTCTATTTAAGCCTCGGGCACCGACAGTATCATCTAGTTGTTGCGATTGAGAGCCCTGTGCTTCGTTGTATCGATTAGGATCGCTCATAAGATCGCGCAACTGAATCGTCAAGGGTCTGGTATGCACGCGGGGCTTCCATCTCTTGGTAGACCGCTTATAAAGCTCTTCAAATTCCGCCTTATGCGCTCGGTTGCTAAACCAGTCGTGATCAAGGGCCTGCTTTGCATCCATTCTCCTTGTCTCATCGAACACAAGTAACCGCAGGACAAAATCTCCCGCACGATCCCCAACACCGTTCAATCCCAATTCCATTTCCAGCTGCTCTAGGCCGGTGGTTCGAGCAAGTTCCGTACACATGGTCCTAGCAACCTCATCTCTAAAAGGAATGTCACCGGTGAGAAGCACAAAAGTGATACAGCCCAGGGACCAGAGATCTACAGCTTTCGTATAGCCTTGACTGGTCTGTTGAAGAACCTCTCTGTAGTTGACTTAGCAAAGTAGTATCAGAGATGACAAAGGTTACTGACGGTGCGCTATAATCAAATGTGCCAACGACAGTCGACATTCTTTCCAGCCTAGGTTGTATCGTTCGTGCACATCCGAAATCTGTGAGAACGACTCTACACCCATCTGCTAGAGATGTCATGAGGATATTGTCTGGTTTGAGATCCCGGTGGACGATATTTCGCTGATGCAGGTATTCCAAAGCCTTAGAAATCTGTCGCACGATGACAGCTGCTTCAATATCGGGAAGTCTCCCACCCTTGAACTGAATGTAAGAGAACAGATCGCCCGCTGTGATCAGCTCTTGGAAAAGATAACTAGCAATCTTCATGGTTAGGCAGCCCAGAAAGAAGGAAATAGCAGACTAACATCGTATCACTGGACTTGATGACTCTTTCAATCCCAATGACGTTTGGCTAAACAGGCATCAGCCCAATATACTTTCAACTGTTCTCCAAGGCCTACATGAGAGAGTCCCTCCAAGATCTGAGCTTCGCGGTCAATATCTGCTAGTTTTTCCTGGGGGTTCCTTGGCCGACGAACAGCCACCACTTCTCCCGCAGCAGAAACCTGGGCAAAAGACCTAGATTGATGCCTTTCCTCTGCTTCTCGGACGAACCTTTCTTTCAATACTCTCAGGTCAATGATCTTACAGGCAAGTTGTTGGCCGGTTTCATTCCGTAAGGCCATCAGCACTTTTCCATAGGCACCAGAACCTAATTTCCGCTGCGTAACGGTATATTTATCGGCAAAAGCCTGGCAGAGTAAGCCGCAGATAAGCAGATAACATCTTGAAGCAAAGGAAATCAGAACCTTACCTTAATTTCCACGCTCTGTAGGGAGTCCAGGTGGTCTGTATCCCTATCATCATGGCAAGTATAGCGGAGGGAAATCCCGTTCATGTGCAGAATGTCACCATGACTGAGGAGGAAGCTGCGATTCTCGTTGCCCATAGGGTATCCATTCCACAGGGTACCATTTTGCGATAGATCCTGGGCGTAAACCAACGGTGCGACTTCTTGTGGATTGTCTCGATCAAATACAACTGCATAGATGTGGATATGCTTCCTAGAGACGTACTTATCGGGCAAGTAAAATATGCTTGGAAGATGTCAGCAACAAGGAAGAGGTAAGATCGTCTCGAGGCAAGCATACCAGCAACTTGGATCACGACCAACGTATATCTCCTGGTCACTGTACATGGGCAATGGGTGGATGGACTTCCTTGTAAATGGATCCCATCTTGATAAGGTACCAATATAGAGGAAGTTGGAAGATTCAAAGGGTTGAGGGCGAGTGGTCATTGTGGAGCAGATGGCGGTTTGTAGTGATAAAGGTATCGATACCGTACTGGAGTATAAGATGAAATGTGAAGGGAAAGCGACGAATTGAGATAATGATGATTTTGCGAGATGAGTAAAGAGTTGGAAGAGGTCAAAGTCGTGAAGGGCAAGGGCAGCGAGAGGAAGTACTAGACGGGGCCGGTCACCTGCTGTTGCCTATCTTCGACTCAACCACAACAATGTACAATTGTACGACTGAATGCTGTCATTAATAGTCTTTCACTGATTTCTATCCATTCATAGTGACATTAATAGTCATCTCTCATTGTTACATTATGATAAATCTTTCGGCAGGGGCCTCTTAGTTCCCTTGCATCCGCCGAATACGTTCTTCAGCTGCTCTTGCGCGACGCTCTCTCTCCAGTCGCATTCGCATTTCCGGCGTCATCCCTCGCATCTCTTCTTCTCTCTTTTCTTGTGCTGTCTTCTCAACGGCCCCCAATGCCCGACCGCCTTTCTTTGCGGCTTGCGAGACTTCTCGGGCAGCGTCTTCTTTCTTAAGGCGATCCATTTCTGCCTTCCGCCGATTAGATTCTTCTTCTTCTGCTGTTTTCCGTTCCCGTTCGTTCCGACCATCGGCTTCAGTTTTCGAGATTGCGGAAGGCACTTTGGAAGCGTCCCAGTTCCACTTGGATTCGCCGAGTTCGTGCCGGGCGACGCGGAAGGCATCACGAGTGGCTCGGTCTCCGGCAAGTTCGAACGGCGTTCGTCCTTCTGTATTGACTGCCGTCGGATCAGCGCCAACTTTCGTCAAAAGAGCCAAGACCATTGACGGTGAGTCTGTATTGGCAGCAAGATGAAGAGGGGTCGGACAACGGAAGTTTTGTTGGGAGTCGGATGGGAGGAAGGTAAAGGAGGGGGGGATCGAGTTCTTGGATAGGTAGGAGATTAAAGCTGGGATCTTAGAACGGCGGATAAGAGCTTGTATTTGGGTCGTGTGAAGAATGGCAGCCTCGTCCTCCTTGGAAAGTTTCGGTTTCTGTGGTTGCGGTTTAGGAGTTGAGGGCTTCGATGCCTCCTCTCGTTGCTTGGCCTCGGCCGCGGCAAGCGCTGCCTCGTCAACCTGGCTGACCTTCACACGGGTGAGCTCCTTGAAGCATCTCAGAAGCTCTGCCTGGGTAGCACGGCGAGTGCTGAACGGAAATCCTCTTATCCTTGGGTCATTGTGCTTCATGACTTGGCCATCGTATTGGCCGAAGAGAATCCTCCGATTGGTACTACCGGTGGCCCGGACAAACAACAATTCGGCGCTATCGATCATTTGTTTCCAGTCCACTAGCAGCTCTCTAACCTCCTTCTCATGGGCAGCCTCGTTGTATCTACGCAGGCTGGAACCGGCCGAGTGAGCAGCCCCTCTAGACGCGTCACTGGCAGACTGCGATCCACCCTGTTTTCGTCGAGTCGTGTAGCGATGGAATGTTTTGTGCGCAATCACACGAGCCTGCCTTTCTTCGAAACCGCCCTGCTTTCGATGGACTTCTGGGGCCAAGGACACGAGCATTGCGGCAAAATGACCACCGCCAATCATGCACATGAAAATGTGCGGGCTGGAGGATACGGATGGCTTCGGCGCTTGTCCGCTAGTTGGTGCTTGGATCGGAGCGATTTGTTTCTTTCGCAGGGTATCGACAAGGTGCCCAGGTTCATCCTGCTCGACGGTCGAAAACATGGCCCTGTAAATTCCCAGAGAGGTGTTGGACGGCAGAATGGAACTCGAAAACCAGAGCAGAGGATGCTTTCCAGCAGTCTTCTGTCTCGGCGAATCCTCGTCTTCGGCATCCTCGGCTGCTTGCGATATCTTGGCCTGCCTTTTCAGCAAGGCTGCGAGTTGTCCTTCGTCCTTTTCATCCTCTGGTTCTGACGACTCGGACCCGGATATCGATTCGTCCAGTTCACCAATAGCCTTGGTAAATTGGACCTCGTCCAGGGTGGGATTCCCTCTCAGCTGCGCCCTCAGGTTGTATTTATGGTGATCCGACCGCGCATGATCGCGCTGCTCCTGCACATTCAGGTACGACACCTTGCAGAGGGAGCACAAGGTGGACGTCGCGACCGCATGTTCCTGGGGTGTTTCCGGTCGCTCTTCTTCCTTGGTCTCGGGGACGGCCGTCGGCTGGTATTCGGTTTTCGTCGTCAATGTCGAGAGAAGTTCCTGGGGGAGATCATAAACTAAGCAGCGAGACACGTTAGCGATCGATGTCGAGTCATAATCTTCCAGAGCGCTCTCCGCGAGAAGAACATACTATATAATTGTCTCTTCAGGAGATCCTCCACGGCGGGGGTTTGCGCGACCATTCTGGCACGAAACGCGAGATTGTCGGAGGAGAGAATGGCTGGCGAAAGAGTTGCGATGCGGCAAAACCCCGCCGTCGATGCCTCTCTTTTAAGGCCCCACCGCCTCCCAGGCAGCCCCACCGTAGGCTGACAGGGCTCTCTTCGTCGTGAGTCATTGCTGTAGTCAGAATGAGTAATTGCAATAGAAAAGACGTAAATTTTGATTGCCTTGAGACACCAATGACTCGTCTGAAGTATGACTGAAGGATGGCTTAGCTTTTGTTGGGTCAGATCTACGAGGTTAGGGCTTCAAGCAGTCGAGAATACCTGGGTATGACATGATATACTCACCCAATAAGGTATAGATGAGGAAAAGGCCGCCAGAAGCATGGATTCAAAAGTAAATATGCGTCCCATACCAGAGGAAACTTATCGTTAAATTTTAATATCTCCAATAAGCACAAAAGCCACCCTGTCGTTTTGAAGTCAAATCATAACATGAAATCTCGAGACATTCCAATCAATTTCGATGCAAGACAATGGTCGTCTCCACGGTTCTTCCGATTATCATGCGAGTGCTCCCTTCACTCGCCACGCTGTGCTCATCTGGAGATCGACCTGATGGTGTCCGATGATTAACCTTGACCATAGACTGCAGTGCAATGTCCTGGAACTGCTTTGCGCGCTTCTTGATATAATGTGCAGGCTTAGAGTTGGTATTGCTTGATCCCAAGGTGACTTCTCCTGCCGTTCCATAGTCTGTACTGATTGCACGCATAAATGGGACAATGCAGAAGGATGTACAGACGATCAGGGAGTAATTGATCTCCAATTGGGTCCACACGTACACATCGATAATATCAAGGGTTGGGTTGGAGGAGTGAATGTATGATTCTAGATAGCGAAGATGTAGAGCTGCAAAGGCAATAACACTATCGCAAGGAGATAGCTATGTCAGGGGTCCAGGATTCTTCAAGGGGGACAGAGGACTACTCACGGTAGACGAACGGCAAAACAGCAGAGAACGACTAGTTTCCGCGAGATTGGCATTTGTAGACAATTGACAAGATGTACAGAGAATATGAATAGCATAATCTCTGTTATAACATTCATTGAGGTGATATACTGCCACCTTTGGAACTTTGTAGGTGTTAGCTCGTGGTTAATAGAGAGTGAGGGAGCATACACATACCAAACCGTCGCAGTGATCTGCTGGCTCGGCCCACGGATGGTTTAGGCCACAATTTACCAACAGCAGCAGCAGAGACGATAGAAACCAGCATATACTTAAACCGAAAACTATATAGAGTATGCGATGATGGCCAAGTCGAGGAGTCAGACGCGTGAGAATACCCAGAACGCAGCATTTCGAAAGAAAAGTAGAGAGCAGGTAAAGGCAGTCAGTGGCAGCAGTTACCTAGCAGTGCTCTAAAAGTTAGCCAGACGCTTATCTTTATCAATTGGACAATACCGAGTACCTGCTGGATTCGTATTATTTGATGCAAGGAAAGCAGTTGTATCGAGTGCCCAAAACCCTGAGAGGCATTTTTGACCATAAGTGATGTTTGAATAATAGCAGAGATCTGACGGATGTCATAGTAAGATCAGTCCTCAAGAAGCAAACTTTATAATGGGCTGTGGTATCCTCACAAGTGCAACAAAGAAGATGTAGTCGTCTCGGCCAAATGGAGGGCTCAGGAGCGCTCTTACGTACACTCGAATGAGAAAGCAGATGAAGGAGACGACCAACGCGGTTATACCTATGACAGCTGCAATACTAGAGCGATGGTTTGCATCGATAACCATTAAAGGGTTCCCTGGAGCTACCATGACGAAGAGGAATTATGATAGTTCAAGCTGAACCGCGATTCCCGGGCTTTGTTATCATTTTCTGACGAGCGATTGGAAGATCTCGGCTTTGTAAATGAGAGGGAAGAAGAGAGCAATCCCAGATAATAGAGCTATGGAACCGGCCGGTTCAAGTGTTAGTTTCCCGGGAGAACGGTAGAACACACCCCTTAACCGGGTTGTAAAAGACCAAGATGAGCAAGGAACTGTCATGGATATTTCCAGGGATCCCTACATCGGATGATAAGGGGGTACCAAAGCACTGGAAAGGGGCTATTGAAAGAGAGGACTAGGTTGGGAATCTTGTCAAATTTAATGAAGTCCAGTTTGTTTCTGTTGGTCAACTGCAGATCCAAGCTCGCCTCTAAGATTGAACCGTCCAACGCAGCCATACTCCGTACATTGCTAGGGAAATAGAAGTTCTTGCCTCTTTGGAGAGTACAGTAGAAGACGCTGTATAGGAATTATAGAAGGCTCCACAGCAAACCGCCGTTCATGAATTAATGACAGGAAATTGTCTCAAGGACGACCCTCGCCTTTCCCACATGCGGCCTAGATAGGTTACATCTGTCGATCAATTTCCATGAATCGCTAGCAGAGATTTAGATTCGCCTGAATTGAGACCAAAACAAATCTCTTAGCAACTACGGAGTACATTTTCTTAAGGGCGTACGTACCTTGGGGATCTGACCTCCGCACGAAACCGCGCCGCTTGCTCGGCGCCCGTAGATGCGAGCGAGTGTCGCGATTTTCCGCCTCCTTGGCTCTCTAAAGAGGTAATTACTCTGGTACTTTTGATTCACGGGCAGATAGATTGGACCGTCAAACAATCCCTGGCCGTGCGGGCCGCGATCAGAGCGACCAATATTCCTGGTCCTGCGCCGCATTCCTTTTTAGAACAGGGGCGATGGCAAAGTGGACTCTAGAGAATTTAGCTTCTGGGCAGCACGACGGGTGGTCGCAAGTGAATGTAACATAATATAAACACTCAAATAATCGATATGAACGAACACTAGGGGGGGGGGGTAAAAATCTGAGTACAACATTCGAGACCCTGGTCGATATCCTGGTCGATTCAGATTACTACACCGTAGAAATTGATCCACCTATATGATCCCTGTCTAACAAGACCAGAAATCGCGCGCAACTTCTGCTTTTTTTTAAGGAAAAAGAAAAACGAGAAATGGAGAAGAGAAAAGGGTAAAAAGGGGGGAGACTTGTTCCCCCGTAGGTGACACTGGACACGGTGTAGACGTCATGAACGCTGTGGCGTCCTGTATCTGGTCCATCAACACTCGCGCTTCACCAATGCAACGGGCGGAACATAGGTCTTTCTTCCATAGAGAAAGTAATAAGCAATCGAGAAAATTAACATCCCCCCATACATTAGAGAACTCCAGTTCATCGATTCCGGCGTAACCGTGGATGTCAAAGGAAACATGACGAAAACGAACTCCGGGATAAGGAAGGCCAGAGCCCCGAGGTTGATGAGAAGGCCCCAGCGACCTAGAGACCAGCGACGAGGTGGGAGAGGCTCTCCAGAAATCCTTTTCCATGCGACGCAGGCAACGGTGACAATGTAGGAGTTTAACAACGATCCTATAGTCAGCGTAATCAAGGCGTTTAGAGCCACGGTTGAGCCGATGTTGATAAGACTTAGTAGAATAGTGAGAGCCAGCGATACGAGAACAGCGTTGAGGGGGATATTCCAGCCAGGCGTGACCTAAATGGAAAGCTTCATGTCAGATAACAAATGATTGTATATAACAGGGGTAGGAATCATACGTGACTGAAAAATTTGGCACATGGAATGCCACCATCCCGCGCGAAGGACCACAATTGACGCGAGGCTGTGGCCACTTCAGTGATAACACTGGACATGATTGTGAGGGTTACAATCGATGTCATCGCATTGGTCGCCGGATAACTTTTGGTGACATTGTAGAAAACCTGGATAAAAGGATAACCGGTGTCGGTCTCGAGAATATCATCGACGTTCCCCATGGTAAAGCAGAGTGTAATCAGAACGAGGAAGGCCATGGACCCATTCAATGCGAGGGCCGACATGATGGCCTTGGGCAAGGTTGACGAAGCATCGCGAACTTCTTCGGCTAGGGGATGTTAGTAGGATTGGCAGGATAACAGAAAGAAAGAAAAGTAGCCTACACATATGAACCGTGCAGTCGTATCCAATCATGGCAGTAATCGCAGTGACCAAGCCGACCAAAGTTGCAGTCCCATCGCTATTCCACTCTCCACTGTTCGAGAACTTGGTAAAAACTGTCTTCGCGTCACTGATGGGAGCCAACGCCCAAAGCGGAATTATGATAATGAAAAGGCCGGCGACGTGGAGAATGAGTACAAAGGCTTCCACTAAAGGCAGCTTCTTCGCTAGGAAGGTGTTGAAAATGACGGCGAAAAGGGCGATTGCGATCGTGATCAGAGTGCCGTGCCACCGTTCAAAGACGTAATCAGGATAGTTGAGGACAGCCAGTCCTTGAATGATCGTGCCGCCCAAAAATGCGATCGAAGCAATGGCACATTCCCAGCCAGTTGCGCACAGCCAACCTTTTTATCAAGGACCGTTAGCCAATCTTTCCTACTAGTGACTGAGAAACCGATGGCGATGCATACCGGTGATGTAACTTAAGAACTTTTGACAGCGCCTAGGTGCGAATTCCGAGACCCAGTGATACTGTCCCCCAGCAGTAGGTGCCCTGTATGAGATCAAACATCAGAATGCCTGCTGTCTCCAGCGTAAATGGGATGTAAATCCTTTGCTCACATGGAAGCCATTTCAGCCAAACTGGCGAAAAGTAGCGTGACACCAACCGCTACTACCACGAATCCCCAGATAAAACCGGCAGTTCCACCATTCATCAAGGGTGTACTCATCATTCTATGGAAAATCAGTTGATAGGGCCCTCTATGAACGTTTTGGAGGAGACTACCTACGTCAAAATAACTTCCCATGAGGCGATCAATGTGCACCCGAAGGCCACGATGGAGATGAACCGGAAATTTCTCTTTACGGATCGTCAACGTTTATGTGCAATCCATAGATGCAAGGCAGAAACACTTACCCTCAGGACTTGATCCTTCCCCAAAGCCAGCATATCTTGCTGATCGGCCAAAGTGCCGATGTACTTCTTCGAAACCTGTCCTTTGGATACCGGGTCATCTCCAGCTAAAGATGTGGAAATTGTGTTGCAGTCTTTTGTGATGGTCAAATCCGTGCCATTTGCCATTTTTTCTTTCCTTTTCTTTTATCCTTTGAGCACTGTGAAAGTTGATGGAAGGAGGGAGTCTTATCATCGATCGGATAAAACTGAGGGATAGATAGCTCCCAGGAACCCAGGTCACGCTATGGTTGGAAGAGGAAACTCTTCCCTTCCTGAAGCTTGGAATCAATTTATCCACGACTTGAATGCAACCATGATCGGTTCAGGAAAAAGCCCGGTAAACCCCTGACCTGCAAGTGTAGTGGATTCCGATACGTGTACCAACTGCTAGGGCTAGATGGCTGATGATCCTGGGATCCTAGTGTACACAAGTGTCGCCACCAATATATGCCAATGAAGCTAGGCAAGGGCTGGTACATTAGCCTGCCTGGCCGTTATTTAATCCCTACTCGCGGGCCGCAACTCCCCTTTTCCCTCCTCGCAAGGCACTCAATCCCCGGTAGCAGTGAGAAAGCTGAAATCAGCACCCTCATGAGCCTGGTTCACTGTCCGTTCATAAAGACCACGGTATCCTCGTCGTGATTGTCTCTGAACCCAAGGCGACGGCTCATCTCCCGCCTCGGTATTCGACAATGCTTGCTTCCTCACAGCTACCCGAGCTCTCAGCTCCTCCTCACTAGTTTGCAGCTCTAGCTTACGACTTTCCACATCGCACACAACGATATCACCCGTCTGAATCACCCCAAAAGGCGAATCCGGAATCGCCGACTCCGGCGAAACATGCAAGACGATAGTGCCTCCAGCGGTTCCAGACATCCGACCATCAGAGATGCGCAGCATATCAGTAACCCCCTGTGCCGCCAGCTTTCGCGGGATTGGAATCATGCCGGCCTCGGGCATTCCAGGATTCCCGATGGGGCCGATACCTTTGAGCACGAGAATTGAGTCAGCTGTCACTTCAAGATCCGGGTCATCAAGGCGCAGGGCAAGATCTTTCGAGTTTTCAAACACCACCGCTGGGCCGGTATGACGAAGAAGATGCTTGTTTTTCGACGCGGAAGCCTTCATGACCGCGCCATTGGGCGCTATGTTGCCGTACAACACCGCCAGCGAAGAACAAGGATAGAGAGGATCAGAAAGAGGACGGATTATGCTGCGTGAGTATTCGAATTCGCGGAAGGGGTTGCGATCTAGGATCTCGCCTAATGTCTCGCCAGTGATCGTTCGGGCGGAGAGATAAAGTAACGGACGCAACTGGTGCAGAAGACAAAGCATTCCGCCCGCGTTATGAAAGTCGTTCATATAATTATCGCCGCTGGGCTTCAGATCCACGAGAAGCGGTGTGCTGCGACCGAGATCATCGAGTGTTTTCAAGGTCACGCTGCCTTTGATGTCTGGATGACGGTTGATGATGGCCATCAGATGGACCATTGCGTTTGTGGAGCCTCCGATCGCTTGTAGGACAATGGCCGCGTTGTAGAAAGATTCCTTGGATAATACATTCTGCGGAAGTCTTTGCTCCTTTGCCGCTGCAACAGCATTTGCGCCCGTTTGTTCTGCGACTCTTAGTCTCGTGGCAGAGACAGCAGGGGCAGAGGCACCATGTAAGGGGATCAGACCGAGTGCTGCCGTGATACATGCCATCGTACTTGCTGTGCCCATGACTCCGCAGGTGCCAATCTGTTACTGCCTGTCAGCGAAATGGGTTGCCAGGATAGGTAACACTCACAGTCGGAGCTAACTCTTCATTCACCGCCATGATCTCCTCCATATCAATTGTCCCAGCCCTATACGAGGCCCAGTTGTTCCGACAGTCAGTGCACGCGCCGATTCTCTTGCCCCGATGACTTCCTGGCATCATAGGCCCAGTCAACAGTGGAAGAACAGGCTTGTTGGCAGAAATGCCTCCCATAATCTGAGCGGGGACAGTCTTATCGCATCCTGCAGTTTTCATGTCAGTTGAAAGGTTCCAAATCGCTCGACACGGGGCCGAAGTTTCAGAAACGGCCAGACATACCACCGATCATGATACATGCATCCACCGGCTGCGCTCTGATCATCTCCTCGGTATCCATACTCATCAGATTCCGCAGGAACATGCTCGTCGGATGAGAGAATCCCTCATGGAGACTGATGGTTGGAAAGTCGATAGCGATGCCCCCATTTAACATAACCCCTCGCTTTGCCGCCTCCATCAGTTGCGCCGCATTACCGTGGCACGGATTGAATCCCGACCCCGTATTGATGATGCCGATGATAGGCCGGGAGAGCGCATCTTCCGAGTACCCAAGCGCCTTGATAAAGACCTTGCGCAAAAATAGGGAGAAGTGGGCATCGCCGTAGGTTGTGAGGCCTTGTCGGAAACCCGTAGTGGAGGTGATGGGGTGAGAAAGGTCGTAATCCGCGCGGATTTGGTTGCTGGTTTGGTCTGGATCGGGCGGCATGGTTTAGTATCAGCTCTGAATATATAGAGTACACCTCGAGTGTTTGAATTCAGGGGTCTGGGTTAGACTTTATACCGTCATCTTCTAAATCAGATAGCCTCGGTTTATAGATCGATCTACCATGCAGCGGATGTGGTCCGCAACTGACGGAAGCTCCGCGCCCGCTCATCGGAAACATCCGAAAGTGTGAAGACAGGATAAATGAACCCTAACTCATAACAACTCAATAACCTGCTCTTCTCCGAGTTGACACATTCCTCCCGCCCCTCTGTTCTTCTTCTAGTACCTATAGCTCGACAACATGCTCAGTCTCCAAAATAAAGTCGTCCTGATCACCGGCCTCGGCCAAACCAGCGACGAAGGCTGGGGCATCGGCGCCGCCATCGCGACGCTCTTCGCACGACAAGGCGCAATCATATACGGCGGCAACCGGTCTCTAGCATCGGCCAAACGCACACAAACCCGAATTCAGAAGGAAGGCGGAACATGCGACGTACAAGAAACAGACGCGACGAGCTCCGCAAGCGTCAAGCAACTAGTCGACAACTGCATGGCGCGACACAACCGCATCGACATCCTAATCAACAACGTCGGACGATCCGAGCCCGGCTGTCCAGCCAGTATGCCAGAAGAGATCTGGGACGCGCAGATGAACATCAACCTGAAAAGCGTGTACCTGACATGTCACTACGTTCTACCGATTATGGAACGGCAAGAGACGGGCGGTGCTGTCGTGAATGTCGCCAGCATCGCCGGTCTGCGATATATCGGAAAACCGCAGGTAGCGTACTCGGCGACCAAGGCGGCCATTATGCAGTTCACCAAGGCCACTGCCGTGGTGTATGCCGAGAAGGGAGTGAGGTTGAATACGGTCGTGCCGGGGTTGATCTACACGCCGTATACAAAGGCGCTGGCGACGAGGTATGCGCCGGGAGGGGATGAAGAGGGGTATATGGCGATGCGAGATGCGCAGGTGCCGATGGGACGCATGGGTGATGCGTGGGATGTGGCGCATACAGCGCTGTTTCTGGCTGCGGACGAGTCGCGATATATTACGGGGCAGGAGATTGTAGTTGATGGAGGAATTACTTCGTCTACGGGGCGAGTCTGATCTACCTATCCTCTGTTGTCGTCTACTACCGCTGAATATACCGAGGTAATTAGGGCTACTACCCTGTGATAGAATCAAAGAGGTAGAGTAACGAGAAAATGCCAATTCATTCCCAAGGATTAGTTGAGAGCAAAATAAATCAATTAGCCATTCTTCAAGAACAGAATAACAACGACAACAATCACAGCAATGACATTGTCGATTTACTAGAAGCGGGAACATCCGACGGACGGAGACGCTCCGACGGCGGGTATAAGTTTAGGCCTCGCCCGCACGAAGAATTTCCACTTCAACATCAACTCCATCGCACTCAATTTCGCTGAACCTTACATCTCCACCACCCAAAACCATCCACCCATCATGACCACGCCTCCCGAAGACATTCTCGCGCACGTGCAAGCCGTACGCACGCGCATCCAAAACAACAGCCCCATCTACGCCTTCCTACTCGACGAGGCCGAAATCTACGAGGCCTCGACGGGGGTGATCCGCGCGACGCTGCGGGTGAACAAGAAGCAGATCAACTCGAAGGGCACGCTGCACGGGACCTTTTCGGCGTGCGTGCTCGACTGGGCCGGCGGGTTGGCTATCGCCACGCACGGACTGCAGTCGACGGGCCTGAGTACGGATATGCATATTTCGTACGTGAGCACGGCCAAGGAGGGCGAGGAGTTGCAGATCGAAGGAAGGACGAGTCGGGTCGGTCGCACGTTGGGATTCACCACGGTGGTTATTTCGAAGCGCAAGGAGAATGGCGAGTTGGCGGTTGTGGCTCAGGGGTCGCATACGAAGTATATTGCGCGGTGATTGCGAGACTGGCATGTATTTATCGATCTATCTATACATCTATCTACCATGAGTTGTTATACAAAGAGTACCTGAGGCATCTGGATTCGGACCCACTCCGAAAGGCGGCGCTCATCCGCCCGTCATCCCGCAACGGGACGCTTCCTACTGGCTGCACCAGTCAAAGGAACAATATAAGTTGAAGTAAACGACCTGACAGTAACTCAGAATATTCTCATTCCAGCTAACTGTGCATTCAAACCCATTCAATTCCCCAACATGACAGTCGTACACATCGGTACAGTATCCTAAGATCCCAGCATCCCAGACCAGACCAGATCAGAACAACTAACAAACCCAGTCCTCTTCAAATTCCGCCCCGAAGTCACCCCGGAGCACAAACAAACCTTCGTCACGGAGCTCAAAACCCTCAAGAATCTACCCTGTGTCAAAAATGGACGACTCATAGTCGGCGGGCCCTCGATCACAGACCCGATTGAGAAAAGCAAGGGGTTCGAGATCGCTCTGGTCAGCTATCACGAGAATCGCCAGGCCTTGGCGGAGTATCAGGCGAGTGATGAACATCATCGGTGAGTTTCTGTTTACCAAGATATCAGTACACCGGGTTCCTGATTGAGATTTTACGTGAGCAGTGTGACGAGTACATATATGTTCCCGTACAAGGAGGACTTGGTCAGGTTTGACTTCGAGGTGGACCCGGATGATGAAGAGCTATGTTCGTTTCCGGGGATAGGGAAACTGGAGTGAGTTCAGGAAAGCATACATAACTAGATGATTGATACCATTCTGTTACATTTACCGGTTCTGAAAGTCTCGCCTATAAGAGTTGCTACGTCAACCATCAAGAACTAGGGCTCATGTAAACAACCAGCCCTGCTCAACTTCACACTCGCTCCACATACTCGGCCTTTCCGTCCGCGATCGTCTTCTCATTAACACTGCTCACTTGAATCTCATCCTTCGTCGGGTACGCCACCTTGTAAACCGTATACCAAGGTCGCTGGAACAGCTTATCCAGCTCCTCAATCGACCTGCCGGTAGTATCCTGCGATGTGTTAGCACGGACCGTGAAAGCGCCGAAAGATACCAAAGAACTAACCGGCATAGCAAAGACCACATAGACCAGCGATATCAAACAGATACTGCCGAAGAACACAAAGGCACCCCATTTATGCGTCGCCGACAAGAGGCTCGGCATGGCGCGCGAACATCCGAAATAAAACCCCCAGTGGAACGCCATGGAGATGGAAACATTGAGCGAGCGGATGCGAATCGGGAAGACTTCGGAGCTGATGAGATACGGGATACTGAACCAGCCGATACTCCATGCCACGGCGTGGAGAAAGATGGCCACGATGGCAGCCGTCGAGGTACGCGAGGCGCTGGGCCGATCCTGAATCTCGTCCAGAGTCATGTGGCCGGTGACGCCGAGGTAGGCGCCAACGAAGATCAGCGTCGTCAGTTGGAGACAGATCCCCGTGATTAAAGACCGACGTCGGCCGATGAAGTCGACGACGAACAGGGCGAAGGCCAAAGTGCTGACGAATTTCACAACGCCGTAGATCCCCGTTGCGAGGAACTTGGCCTCGTCGCCTTGGATGTCCAAATAGCCAAAGATGGTAGGCGAGTATTGAGTGATGGCGTTGGCGCCGGACCATTGGGAGAAAAGCGTGGCCAAGAAGATCAAGAAGAAGCGGCGACGATTCTCGACGGGCACAAATGTCTCTTTGAGGAGATCCCACAGACGCGCGTCGCTGACGGCTTCGATTTCATGCTCGATCTGTCGGTCCATACCATCTAGTTCGGCAAGGACGACTGAATGATCGCATGGCAGGTGGCGCAATCGAGAGACTGTCATGATAGCTTGTTCTCGTTTCCCTTTGTATAGCAGCCACCGAGGTGATTCCGGACACAAGAAGGTCCCCGAGCACCAGATAACGGCCGGAACAATTTGAAGCAGGGTAGGCAACATCCACTGTTTGTCAACGCCTGGATAGCTTCTAGTGACCCCATAGTTGATGAAGAAACCTAGCACCACACCCAGCTGCTGACAAGCCGCGTAGAGACATGTGAGAAGACCACGGATAGCCTTGGGAGAGATCTAGCCAATCTGTCAGCACGGATGGTCAGACCGGTAAGCACATATGAGTATACCTCAGCAATGTAGATGGGTGGCACAATCGTCAGTGGCCCGATTCCCAGTCCTGAGATGAACCGGGATGCATACAGACCGGAGAGGTTACCATCCGACAGACCTTGTCCGAGGATACCTGCGATATAGACCAGAGTAACCAGGCGAAGGGTCCACAATCGACCGAGTCTATCGTTGACAGGGGAGCACTGTCCGTTTGAAACAGCCGTTAGGACAAGCATTTCACAGCCAAACAACTTCAAGCCAAGAGAGCTTAACTTACCCCTAAGCACCCAAAGACTGCCCCTGCCGTGGCGATTGATACCAACCACCCTTTCGTATTGGAATATTCTTCTTCGGACTGGGTATCGACTCCGAACTTGCTTTTGAATCGGACTTGAGTAACCAAAGACGCGATATTTCCTAGACAGAACGCCGATTAGGCGGAAGACAGAGCCCACGTTGTTGTGATGCATGCTCACCTTCGTCAAAACCTTTTGACGCTCCCGACAAAGCAAACACACAGGTGCACATCAGCACATATGCATTGAAGGTGCCCTCGGGGGCATCTTTCATCGCCTTTCGGGCATCCGAAATAAGACCCATTGTGTGAATTCGTCGTACAAGATGGGTGTATAGATTCCTACTGCACCGGGCGATTACAACTCCCCTTCGCCCTCCCTTGCAAGGGATGATATTATAGGGAATTCCTGACCCCGGGGGGAAGTGTGGATGCACAGACCACAGCCTGCATAACTCATCGGTGTATACTGGGGTAACTCCACTTTCTTCGCGGAGTCCCTCCTGCGTCGGAAAATATCCGGTTCACCCACGGGGTATAATATAGCGTCCCCAACAACCGAGCCGGGGCCATCACATCCCCTCCCACCTTGATAAAGCCCAAATCTTCTGACTAATGAATTTCTACCCCGTGCCCCCCGTCATTCAGGCGGAGATCTATACTCACATCCCCGACGCAGTCCGATGCACCGGCCAACCCACCGAATGGCGCGGCGGATCCGCGACGCCGGTGGCTGACATTTTCCTCGAGGGGCCGACGTATGTTCAGAATGGCGATCTTTACCTTGTGGACGTACCATACGGACGTATTCTCAAGGTTGACGCCGACAAAATCGTGACGGAGTGCGTGCGTTGGGATGGCGAACCCAACGGGCTCGTCGTACGAGAAGATGGATGTCTCGTGGTGGCCGATTACAAGCAGGTAAGTCCCCCAAGCCACCTAAACAGACTCAGGTCTCTGAGCACAATCTAAACAAAAAGGATAGGGGATTCTGCTGTTTGACCCCTCTACGAGCAAAATCTCGCCCCTTCTCACGCGCCGCAATCTCGAGCGCTTCAAAGGCCCAAATGACCTGATCGTGTCATCCACGAACGATATATACTTCACCGACCAGGGCCAAACCGGCATGACGGACCCGACTGGCTGCGTGTACCGGCTCTCGCCCACGGGCAAACTCGACTGCCTTGTCTCGAACGGCATCTCACCCAATGGTCTCGCTTTGTCGCCCGACGAGCGATTCCTGTACGTGGCCATGACCCGATCTAATGCGGTCTGGCGACTCCCACTCCACGCAGACGGGACGACCACGAAAGTCGGGCTGTTCTTTCAGTCTTTTGGCTGCGCGGGTCCGGATGGATTAGCGGTAGACGAGGAGGGAAATGTATTCATCTGTCATCCTAGTCTCGGATCGGTGTTTGTAGTGGATGCGGATGGGGTTCCTAAGGCGCGGATTGTAACTGCGCCGGAAGGAGGAAAGAACTTGACAAACTGTACCTTTGGGGGTCCGGATGGTAAGACTCTTTTCATTACAGATAGTATCAAGGGCAACGTGCAGTTTGTACGCTGGCACTGTAGAGGCGTTCCTCGATCCCGTGCGGCCAAGACAGACTGATGTAACGCGAGACACCAATTTGAAAGAATATACAAAATTCAAATTCAATTTAAAAAGAAATGTATTTATCAGAAAGAAATTCACAGCTCAGCCAAGTAATGATACAGGTTGTCCACGGCCGCCGTGGCGCTTGCGACTTGCGCTCGCGTGGTTGCGGCCCCGATATGCGGCGTGCTGATAACATTCAGATTCTCCCACAGAGCGCCATACTTCTCATGACTTGGTGGTTCTTGCTCGTGGCAGTCGAGACCCGCGCCCCATAAATGTCCTTCCGACAACACCCTCGTCAGATCTGCCTCGTTGACAATCCCGCCTCTAGCCGCATTAATCACAATGGCGTCGGACTTCATGCTCCGAAGTTGTGAGTAAGAGATCATGTTTCGAGTCTCATCGGTGAGAGGAACGTGTAAAGACAAAATATCGGCGCTGGCCAGGACTTCGTCGATGCTCGTCGCTCTGGTATGAGGGATATGTGGCCAAGCATTATCCGGCATATATGCATCATAAGCAATGATCTTAGCGTCAAACCCGCCCCGAAAGATAGCCGCCACGTTCTTTCCGATGTTGCCCATGCCGATGATCCCGACAGTCCTTTGATACAAAGTCAACCCATTGCAGGTCTCCTTTGGTACCGGCTTGACCATCTGGCGGGTAGTGATCGACCGGATGCCTCGTGCCACGGACAGGGCAAGGGCAACGACGAGCTCGGCAACGTCGCGGGCATTGGCTCCGGGTGTGTTGAGGATCTTGATGTTTCGCGCTGTGCAAGCTTCTTGGTTGATTTTATCAATACCGACGCCTTGCTTGCCGATGGCGACCAAATTCGGGCAGCTGGCGATATCGTTGGCCGTGACGTAGGAGCCCCGCACGAGCAAGGCCCTGGCATTTTGTCTCCAATTTTCGAATTCCTCGTCATGGGGGTGAATAACGTTGAAGAGTGTTTCGGCGTGTGATATGGCTGTGGGATGAAATGTGTCAAGGGCGTAGACGGTAGGCTTAGAGCTGTCGGTCGACCGACCAGCCGAGGAAGGGGCTTCGACGATTCCGGGTGCCATGATGATTGCTATGTCAAACGAAGACACTTGGTGTTCTGACAGAAAGTAGGCGCCCTTTAAAATAGGTCTCAATACTACCAGAGTGACTCAAGAGATGCGATCACGATCGTCGGATAGTGGTCCGGAATCTGTCCGACGGACGTCCGAAACGAGTCAGCTACGGAGACGCGCCTTTCGGAGAAATTCCACAATCATCATGTATATTCCGTCGGGAACAATTTCTGGAAAGTCATCGAGTATCTGGAGGTTATCGTAAATTAAACGCTGCCAGGAGCTAGTCGGTGGGTCTGACTTACCGACTCGTCAATCCAGCCTTGCGAAGTAACATTCGACAAAGCCCAAAGAACTCTGCACAGCGCTTTGAGAGACGTGAATCGCTCTCCAAGTATTGTCAGCAACGCAGTACACTTATTAGCGAGATTGGGATCCAGAGAAGGCGCCCTTAACAATGATGTCAATGGAAGCAAGATTCCGATTACGCCTGCGGAGAAAATGTCGAGGCCAAGAATGAACGACCCAGAGAACAACCCTTGCTCTGATCGACGATACTCCTCATTTATGTATGCCTGGCAGGTTGAGATTGCATCCTGTTTGATCGTCTGGCCGTCGCCCATCGCACTGTCTCTGGAACTTATAAAGCCGCCAAGCTTGACAAGCTGGATCAAGGCCCTGCATGTGAGTTGTTTGACAGAGACGGACGAAATAACGCCTGTGTTGGGGGTTTCCTTCGAGGATGTGAGGATATGTCGCCAGTGACAAATATTGGTATAATAGAAGACTGGGCGTTGATGTGGAGAGCTACGCATGCACGACATCAACCTAGCGTGCATAACTACATAGTAGCCAAATGCGCCATCAGGAGTGGCGCCAATGTTTGGAGACTTGACTCTCAGCATGAATGTCAACGCTCTCTCATGAGGGTTGCTCACCTTGAGGGATATATCGTCATCTTGGATACTAAATGGCCGGTCCATCACACACCCCAGTATCCTATACAAAGGTCAACTCCGTCTATATAAGACAGCTTACGGGGAAGCCAACCGATCAATTGTGTAGAGAGTCCAGAAGATGTTTCTCCTGCGGTTTATCTCTTCAGCCGATATGCCGGATTCTGTGTTTGGTTCTTTGTGGAGCCTAAGCAAGATAGATTTATTCATTGCGAGCCCGAGGAGATGCCAAGTAGATCCTCCACAAGGGCTTAGCATTGAATAAAGGACTAACAATATCATACAATGGAGAGTCGTGAGATTGTCACAGGTTTCCATAATGGTATGAAGCTTTTCCCGCGCCATATTATGTACGTTGTCCGCGAGCAGGTGAATACCTGGATCAGGAGAAAGCATCATTCCGATAGCCACTATCATGTAGGCATGGAAATGCCGGTATGTAGATCCTGGGTCTGTGGAAGTCTCATCATTAGATCCCTCAGCTGAGGAATCAAAGAATGCCACAAAGCGCTCCTTTGTTTCTGTTGAGTCGAGGTGAACAAGCATCATCCCTAGATGATCTAGGAAAATGTCCAGATAAGGCGTTGCGTTATCCCGAGTCAGTATATCGGTGCCATGCTGCATCGACCTGGACAATCGCCGACTATCAGTCACACGTGAATGTAGTGATGAGGTCGGGTCGGGAATTGCAAGGGCGGCGTGAACCATACTGTTCATGGCCAACTCTTGCGGAAAAGCCCGAGTTTCCTCCCTTGGCTCGGCCATGGCACTGCGGGACAAGAATCCAATCTCCCCCATGGCAGCCTGGACCGATCTCTCAGTATGATCGGACATGGGTGTTTGAGTTGAAGGATCAGGCGTTTGCGTAGAACCTAGCGGTTGTGTGGGCGGGTGGTGCATTTCAACAGACGTATGGTCGCCCAGGCGTGCGCGTAGCCGTCGCACCTGGCTGTCCAATTCATCCGACTTCCTCTTCAGCGACTCAACGTAGCTAATTTTCCAACGATCTTAGCGGCGACTTTATACCTTGGCTGTCACACCCGCTTACTTTGGTACTGCAGCATGGGAAAGGCTGCTCCCTTCTTCTTTGCTGGCTCCCAGAGGTACTCTGCGAGCACCGCATGGGACTGCAGCCTCGACGCAGGCCGTGCATGCCGGTAAAAGTCGGTCGCACTGTTGGCAGCCCGTCGTTAGCCTCAGGTATTATCGCTGCTCTAATTGTGGGTCATCAGCCAAGACCTTTTGTTTGCGTTTCCGACACCTTTCGCAGGCTTGGGGTCTCCGTCGGACAGGGGACCTGGGTGAGACAGGAGCAGTGGGACGTTCTGATTCCATTATCGGATCTTCGACCGGAAGGGCGCAGAAATGATCACATCGTCAGAAAGAATGTCGAGGGAAAACTAGGGGGAAGCGCTATGTGTAGCCCGTCGGCAGGATGGCTGGGGAGATTTCCCGACCGCCATCCAGAGAACGGAGAAATTCCGGCGCCAACCCTAGCCGATGTCAGCATATGACATGACTGACTGTCTGTCTAGAGCTAATAAAAGACAAGTTTATTTATGACTTGTAATCAAGCAATTTGCTTATAAAAAGAGAATAAAAACTATGTAATAAGAGATTTTAGAACTTTTATATACTAATAAAATCTGATTAGATATAAAATCTCTTTATTTTTTAATTAAGATTGTTTACAAAGATATTAAAGCCTTTTTTAAGATTTATTGAAATAATCTCTTCTTTAATTAAGATCTTCTTTGAGACTTCTTTTAGATAGGCGGCCGGCGTGTGGCTTAAGTACGGCTAAGCACAAGAAACCCTGTTCTCCACACCCTGTGGTCGTATGTGCTTGGAGAAACTAAACAGGAGTGTATGTTCAAAAACCACGATAAACAAGTGCAAAGAAGTGATAAGTCTTTTCAGAGAATCGAAGGGGTGAACTCTTTGTTTTTTACCTTTAATGCATCTTTTAGGATTGTTCAACCTCAGGCCTTCAGAACTCTTTGTCAACGAATGCAACACATGAATCATATCTTAGAAGGGGTAGACTATATATTTTAATGATAATCCGACATGTGCCAATCGTTTACAAACCGACCAACTGACCCAAAAAAAGCATGCTGCTGTATCCTCGCCTCACAGATCATGGGAACTTACATATACCGAATGGCTTCTATTCCAAAAGTGAAAAGTTTTCTTAGAACAAAGACCACTGAGCGCAGATCTCTCATCTTTGGTGCCTTAAAAGATTCCTTTAAGTAAAGTAACAGAATGAGCCACCTAAGACTGGCTGAAAAAACCATCTTCGTGGGATCTTAAGTATGAAGTTGCCTTGTATTAGATGTGAAATGGCGCCCCTACTTGTTATATCCTAGTAAAATGTATTGTTCACAAGTGTGGTTAACCAAGATACATAAACCCTTTACTTCCTGAAAGAAAGGGCAGAAGTGAAGATGACATGTTGTTTGGCCCGGTAGTGAATAAACAATAGACCTTGGTTGGACCCGGCGTCTTCACTTCTTCCTCCTCACTCTCTTCCTCCGCCCTTTCTTCCTTCATTCTCTTTACCCTCATTCTCTTTTCCTTCATCCTCATTTCCTGCATCCTCTCTTTATCGACCGTCCCTCCCACAACTGCCGCTCTCGGTGATATCATCAAGATGGAGACCCATTATGTCCCTGACAACTCGGCTTTTGACGAAACCGTGCGCAAACATGAGCAAAACGTTCAAAATGTCCAGGCTCTCAAAGGACAGCCCCCGGCGCACAAAAAGCCCCGTGACCAGCTCATCGCGGAGCTCATGCAGAGGATACATATGAAACAGTCCAATGATTACAGAGTTTCCTTTTTCCCTCCTTCTTACTTGCCCTGCGCGAGCCCACTGAAAGATTTGAGGAAAGTTATGATCAAGGATCTAGTTCTTGAGACTCATCACAGGGGCACCTACGTCTGCCTTCGTGCGGTGACTCCAGCGTATCGAGTAACTGGTGTCATGGCTATTGCAGAGGACGAGGAGGAGAATGCTGTGACATTGGAATTGTACAATCAAGGGACATTTCGTTCCGTCGCTGAGATTATGGATGAGGGGTCAGTGCTGATTGTCAAGGAACCGTATTTGAAAGCAAGCTCAGATGGAAACTATGGCCTCCGCGTTGATCATCCTTCCGATGTCCGATTGATTCTAGAAGATGATGAGGTCTTCCCTTCAGCTTGGCAAAAGAAGCCTACTGCAGATGAAACTGCCCACAGTTGGAAGATGCAAGGCAACCGACTTTTCAGGCTGTCTCATTATCGCCAGGCAATGGAATGGTAAGTCTGTGATGAAATTTAACAGGAACTATAAGCTAATAAATGAAAGTTATTCCAAGGCCCTGCAGTCCTCGCCGACCGACGAAGAAGCCAGGTTCATCAACCAGAATCGCCTTCTCACCCTCCTGAGAACCGACCAGTTCGATGCGGTTCTTCTGAACGCCAAGGATGCATCATCCGAGAAGGCCTTGTCCCGCAAAGCCAACGCCCTCTACAACCTCCAAAAGTTCCGAGAATGCTGCGATGTGTTGAAGGCCCTTTGCACGAAGTACCCAGAGGATGCCTTCGCCAAATCTGAATTTACTCGGGCACTAAATCGCCTTAAAGAGGAGCAGACTGGAAGATATAACTTCAAACAATTACAAATCAAGGCGATGGGGTGCGACATGTTACATCTGGACAATGCTACATACATCGGAAGTGTAGCTGTCAAGACCACCGAGTCTCGAGGACGGGGCTTATTTACCACAGCTGCTGTCAAGGCAGGCGACCTCCTCTTCTGCGAAAAAGCCTTTGCGCATGTCTTCGTTGCCAACAATGATAAAGAGCGTCGCCATATCATCGCTAGAGCCAAAGAACAAGACAAAGATCCGGCTTATTTGATGAACACCAAGCCAGACATGGTTAATAGTTGTCAAGCGAAGCTCGTCGAGTTGATTACTCAAAAGCTTTACGACAATCCTTCTTTGATGCCGGCTATTACTGATCTTCATCACGGTTCCTACAATTCTGCGAATGTCTCACATATCGATGGAATGCCCGTTGTGGATACGTTCCTTGTTGCGCGCATCGTCTCATTGAATAGCTTTGCGTGCCCTGTTTCCACCCTCCAGCAACACTTAGATTCACGGGCAGGTGTCCAAAATCCTACCAAGGACGAATATTTTCGGGTCGGCCTTTGGCCGCTGGCATCCTACATGAATCATTCGTGTTACCATAATGCCCATAGGGCATTTATTGGAGACATGCAGGTAGTCCGCGCTACACGGGGTCTTGAGCCTGACACCGAGATTCTCGGTTGGTATAAGGGTCCTACTTATCTGGATCCGGAGGGAAGTCTGAACACATTTCATCACTGGGGTTTCGAATGCAGCTGCGCCATATGTCAGGAGCACGAGGACGTGGGCAAATCGGTACAGGAGAAAAGACGTCGACTTAGGAACGAGGTGCGAGCCGCGCTGTCACGGACAAAACCAAATATAGCCAAAATCGAGGCGACCTTGTCTACGCTCACCAAGACATACAATCGACCGGCTGCTGAAGTCCCTCGTCTGCGTCTCTGGGACCTCTATCTGGATTGTTTGGCGGTCTACCTTGCACAGAAACAACCTTTCAAGATCATCGATGGATTCCTGCAAGCTCTGAAATCCCTCGGTTTCGTGATTGAAGGTGGGGCCCTCCCGAGGGCGACCAAGGCACCCCTCGTGGTCAAAAAATGGGGATTACTGATGGAAAAGGTCATTGATTGTTGGATGATGCTTGCCCTCAGCTATCGAGCGTTTGCACCCGATCTACAGGCACAAGCAGAGGGCTATGCTAGGATCAGCTACAGAATTTTTGTTGGTGAAGATGAAACGTTCGATGAGACCTATTTGAAACACCCAGATGGTGCGGGCGGGTTCATTGCCAACTCACGATAGGCCTATGCTTTTCATTCTAGGCGGCATACTGAAGAAAAAAAAAAAAAAAAAAAAAAAGGAACACCGTCCAGGAGCATTTGGACTCCAGGATATTTTCTCCCAAAGTGTGGTACAAAGACGAATGTACAAGACACAGCTATGCAGCAATCAGAGAATCTCGATCCCGACCGATTGTTGGCGGAGGTGCAGGTGGATTTCCGGGTGACATGTAGGATTCCGATGGATTACTGTAGGTGTGAGAGTGTGATCCAGGTGAGACTGGAGAAGGCGAGGCTGGATACTATTATCTCGATGCTTACGCTAGCTCCAGAAGGTGGCAATAATGGTTCATAAGCGTCTTTGACTACTGAGCTGTAGATCCTTGAGGATCGGGTGCATCGGAATCCAGCTATTTAAACAAAATCAGGTTTTCAAATGGCATGTTGGCAGTTGGCACCGTCTCCTGCTAAGTTAGCGCTGGTGCTACCGTATACCCCATTTAAGCCTCGCGATAAGTAGATGTGGGTCAATAGGCTATCTCCATAGTTGGGTTGGGTTGGGTTGGGTTGGATCGACCTCCCTGTTCCATTTGACACGGTAATGCATAATTGACGGCCATGGATATTGCGATATCCCTGTTCTCTCATCTCCTTACGGTTTTGTATCATTATAGGTCCATTTTCTTTGCCATTATCGGTCTCTCGCCCGTCACTGTCTGTTTATTTGGTTTGGAAAGGGGCTGATTTCGACCTTGCAATACCAGCACAATAACAGAATGTTCTTGAATCCCTTCTCGTCAATCGTCCTTCAAACTGCCGTGGTGGTGACCACATTGGGCTTTACCCCGGCTCAGTCACGCCTGAGGTCTGGGGCATTGGTTCCCGTCGGACTATGCACTGGCCACTGTATCTCAACTGCATTGGACTGTTTCGTTCGCACGCCATGGGCCAGCCTCGCGGGCGGTTACTCGGTCATGTTACTGCTTCATTATATCGACCTCAGTTTGCTGGCACGCTGGCAATTTCCACCGAGCAAGAGACCTACCCCCCCGGGTGCAAGGTCTAATGATATGACAACCTCTTCCTGGGCAGCCCGGTTGCGGTTTGGCATCTGGGCAGCTTTCAATGCGCGATGCATCGGGACCCCTGAACAAGTGCATCACGTCCCTAAGGTTGCCACACACGATCGAGCCGTATTCCTCCGTCGATCCGCCTGTTTCATGATCCTCAGCTACCTGACACTCGATATTCTTGCGTCGATGGGTGATCCCGACGTGAGTTCTCGCTTCCTCGTCGCATCTCGCGTGCCATTTCTTCGTCGACTATCCGTCTTCACCGCGGAAGAGTTAGTCATTCGAATCTTTTCCACCCTGGCGGCAGGGATAGGCTTGCTATCCAGTCAAGGCGGCTTCTATCACCTCTTCGCATTCACCAGCGTTCTTATGAGGTGGAGTGAGCCGCAGGACTGGCCCCCCTTCTACGGATCACTGTCGGAGGCTTATAGTTTGCGAAGACTATGGAGGTAAGCTTGGTTTATTCCTCCTACTTTCCTTTGGTGATGGCGGGTCCAACAAGGGGGGCAGTAAAGAGACAGAAACTGACAACAGTATCCAGTCGCGTGTGGCATCAATCCAATTCCCACAAATTCCGCGCGATATCTCTCCTTTTCGTGCGCGATGTCTTTCGCCTCCAACCACGAACGCTCGCAAATCGATATGCGACGGTTTTGATGGTGTTTGCGACCTCGGCTTTCATGCACTTTCTCATCGATCTGTCGGCGGGACTATCGGCTTCCACCTCTGGGGCTGTGCAGTTCTTTGTCACGCAGGCCCTCGGGTTAATGATAGAAGACTTGGTATTTATTATCTACTCTGCTCTACGCGGCAGCGGGCCTTCCCGCGATCGGCCGGCTTCTCGTGGAGAACGGACCGTTGGGTTTTTCTGGGTTGGAAGCTTTTTGGTCTGGTCGTTTCCCGCGTATCTCTATCCCATGTTGTATCGCTCTAACGCGGGCTTCAATGATTCGGTGGTTCCTGTGAGCGTGGTCGGGCTGTTGCGAAGCCTCTTCTGACTATGATGCGCTCGAGTCAAGCTATCACAAAGGGGGATTCTATCAATTTGACTCAGCCCATCTGATGTCTGGTCTAGACCATTCACACGGTTGTCAAGGTGCATAGATAAGGAGTGTTAGTTTCTTGGACTGCGACGAGGTAGATACATGATGAATAGGAGCAGCAAGGGATGTATTAAGCACTGTAATGTAAAAAGACTTGTTTATGACGCCTCCGATCCCCCTACATGAGTAGCAAGTTACCCATTCCGAGACACCTCACCCAAAATCAATTCCTCAAGAACCTCCCTTTCCGGATCTTGCTCGACCATACCTCTAAAATACCCATTCTCACGCGCGAGAAGCTCCGATGGACTACCAGACTCAACAATCCTCCCGTTATCCAACACAAGCACCTTATCCGCGTCCGCCACTGTCTTCAGCCGATGTGCAATGACTAACAGCGTCGTCTGACCATTACCCAGGGCAGAGCGCAAACTACGCTGAATAAGATGGTCTGTCGCCTTATCCACCGATGCAGTTGCTTCGTCCAGAATCATGATCTTGGGCTGACGGACGATAGCGCGCGCGAGGCAGAGGAGCTGTCGTTGGCCATGAGAGAGGTTCTCGCCGCAGTCAATGACAGCTTGAGATAGGATTTTGTTGTTAGGCGTCTCTTCCAATAGAGGAGTGTCTTCCTCCACATCGGATGAGCTGTCTTCAGATGCCGAGTGGGTTTCGGTGCTATTTGACAATTGGGACGAGGATTCCGGTGTAGCAGAAGCGTCTTCAGAGGGATGTAAGACGCAAGAATCCACTTCCTGCCACCCAACAGCCTGTAAAGCGCCTAGAAGCGTCTGATTTTCGTACTCATGAAACGGATCCAGGTTACTGCGAACAGTGCCGCGAAAGAGCACAGGATGCTGCGGGATAATGGCTAGTCGGCTGCGGAGAGTATGTAGCGGTATCTGGGAGATATCGACGCCGTCGACCACGATCTTACCATGTGTGGCCTTGATGAAGCGAAACAGGGCTAGGACAAGGGATGATTTTCCAGCCCCCGTGCGTCCAATGACACCGACCCGGGAGCCTGGGTTTGCTGTGAAGCTAACCTTGTGGAGCACAGGGGGGAGATGGGGAGCATGTCTCACATATACATCAGATACCTCGAGCATTCCTCGTTGTGGCCATGATTCCAAAGAATCCGAATGAACGGTAGGGTCGGGGTTATCCTCTCTCTGTACAGTCGCGTACGAGTGAATACGCGCGACACTGTTCAACCCCTGTTCTAAATTGACATAGCGACGAATACTAAGCGCCATTGTAAGAGAAACTTCGATCGTAAATGTAATGGCAAATCCAGCCGTCGAGGGACTGACTCCAGGCGTACACACGACCATCGCCGCGGAAAGAGCTGAGAAAGTCGCTCCGAGGACATTAACCCGGAAGCCCAGCCAGCGGTTCAGCAGCCAAAGGTGCCAGTATGCTCTTGCGTGGTGGCCGACTTTGGTGCAGAACTCCTGCATAGCAATGTTCTCCTGCCCGAAGGCACGGACCGTCGAAAGGCCATTGAATGTGTTGTCTATATATTCCAGAGGGGGTGCCTTGGAGGCATTTTCAAGAACCTTGAGCTTCCGGGACGCGGCAACGAAGCGTCGAGCGCACCAGAAGTAGAGGGCTAGAAGCAAGGAAGAGATGACAAGCAGGAATGGATTGACGATGGCTCCTGCAACAATGGCCAGGACCACATCCATTGTGTACTCGAGCGTGGCGCGAAGGTCGTCTCCAACTCGCATGTCGAGGACGCTGATATCCGCGGTAAACCGGCTTATGATGTCACCCAGGGGTACTTGCTCATGCCATTGAAGTGGCGCTTGGAGCGTCGCGGAGAGCATTTTTCGAAATAGGCTTTGAGATGCCCTCAGTGCAGCTGACAAGGACAGATACGTCCGGCATGTGCCAACAATGCACGCCAATGCAGACAGGCCAAGATAGATACCGAGCCAGTAATAAATAGGGTACTGGTGATCAGAGCCAAAGTTATTCGTATCAGCGACTTCTTTGTAGTAATCGGTCCAGAGGTGAATCCACCATGCCTACTATCGTTAGCACACACACCTGTCAACGTACAAAACATCTGGCGAATCTCTTACCCTGGAAAGCATGAAACCTCCATATGACAGAAATGCGACTCCCAAGAAGAACCACTGGATTGGATTGGCTCCCTCCTCGAGGAATATGGACACTGTACCTCGTGAAGGAGCAAATGATCTGTTTCCCTCTTTTTCCTTTCTCGCACTACTAGACTTAATCGATGATGGTCTGCCTGCGGATAGGTCGCTAGACCTCCACTTGTATTGTAGAAAACCCGTATGAGTCTTGTCTGGCTGCGGATCTCCATCGCACTCCATTGGAATGTCTTTAGCTGCGCGTAAGTCCTGCGAAGTGGTAGTCGCCGACTTCAAGCCCCCTTTCTCGAGATGAACAACGTATTGCGCGCGTGGTTGGCAAAGGTCAAGATGGTGAGTAACCAAGATGCAGGTTCGTTCATGTAACAGTGTGCCGCACAAAGCATGACGGTAGACATGCTCCCTAGTATGAACATCCAAAGCACTGAAGATGTCATCCATGAGCAGTGTACGTGCGCGGGAATAGAGAGCTCTGGCAAGAGAGACTCGCCATTTCTGCCCGCCACTAAGATTAGAGCCTTTGCTATTGATTTCAGACTTATCGCCCTGGGGCAGACTGGCGAAGTCCTCATGCAGCGCACATGCAAATATCACGCTCGCATACCTTGCCTCGTCGAATGGTAGCCCAAACAGGATGTTGTCTTTCACCGAGGTATTTTGGAGCCATGGGGTTTGAGACACGAATGCAAGGGCCGAGTCCGTTAACCACTGTTCCGGATCCGGATATTGCGATAGCTCCTCGAAAGCAACCGCTCGAGGAGCAGCAATTCGACCTTCTAGCACATCAGCCTCTCCCAGAATGGCTGCCAATAGAAGGCTTTTTCCAGAGCCGGTTGGTCCGGTCACAATGCTCAAAGCACCCTTGGGGAAACGCAAGTTGAGCCCCCTCAGTGTTCCACGCCCTTCGCCACATCCGGGCCAGGCGACAGTAACATTGTTCAAGCTAATCTCTTTGGCTGGTATATTTTTGTTTTCACGTTCCCACTGAGCCAGGTATGTTTGGATTCTCTGCATACTCACCCGAGCGTTGAGCAGGAGTGAGAGAACATCAGGCAGGATCGTCATGGCGACCTCGATAGAGGCCAGAACGGAGACGGACGTGAAGGCCGTGGCGGCGGAGAGATGACCAGAAAGCAGAACAAAAACGGACAGACAGGTTGCAGATAACATGATTGGGCTAATCAATGACATTGAAACGAAAACGATCTGCCAGAGACAGACAATCCGCTGGGCACGCATCTCCGTATCCCGCAGCTGGTTAATCTTAACCTGCCAGCGGCTTTCATGAGCCGAGAATTTGATCTGATGTATTCCTTGGAGCATCTCACTTATGGCCCGGACTCGGCGATCGCGAAATCGCATTAGCATGCCCTGGAGGCGCGCATATTTTCTACCGGCCAGGATGTTGACAAGTGTGAGAAGCAACAACACGCCAATTCCAACGAGCACGCTTTGCCATCCCAGGAGTCGGATCAGAAATGTGAAAGCTAATCCAAGCTTTAGTGGGGACTCATAAAGTAAAAATGAGAAGCAAAGAAAGTCAACAACATTCTGCACATCAACAGCGACCAGATTAACCGGACTGTAAGTCTCTTCAACAGGTTTGGTTGTCTTCGACAGACTGGGATCCGAGGAACAACTCAGTCTAATGGCCTTGTCGAATATACTGAGTGAAAGCTGCTGTCGCACCCGGATCACCAGTTTATTGTACGAGATCCAGTATTTGAATGTTTCCAGAGTGGCAGACGCCATGACAGACAGCCCCAGACCCATGGCTGGAACCAAGAGCGATTCTCTGCCATTTTTGCCACTCTGTCCTTCCAGAATGATAAGAATGCGCAACATTGCCAATTGTGGCACGAACGTGAGGATCGACTGGAGACAGGTGATGACCACTTGACCGCATATCGAGGCTTTGTGAGAGCATAAAATTGCCCACCATAGGTGTCTAGCTTGATTCTGTTTGCGTCGTCGCAGATTAGATTTCCACGCAGTGTATGTCGTCTCTCCTCGTGTGCAGTGATCAAGTTCTGGTAGGTTCTCGACGTTCAATGACGGTGAGCGCTCTGCCATTCGTAAGACTGTCTCCGCCCACGAAAAGCTGACCCATCCCAGAAGGGAGGTAGTGTATTGTCGGTCGACAATGGTTCCTTTGTAGAGCACATCCGGACGGCGTGGTATCATAAAATAGAGAGCGCCCGCTATCGTTCCGAGTATAGCCTCCATTCCAGTCAATACAAACAAGATATTCCTCGAGTTATCAGAGAGAAGAATTTCGTAGGCCTGGGCAAGGAGAACAACTAGCATCAGAGCAGCACTCAATCCAGCTCTCCAGGAGATAGCAAAGCAGGCAGTAGCGGAAGAGCTAATCGCGAGCGCGGTAGACTGAAGCAACATACAGACCTAGATTCCGACAACATATCAGCACTGCTACTCAGCAATTCCTCAGACCTGTATCTTCTATCTCTAGGGAGCCCATACCCATATTCCCACCCGAGTCCAACACCAATACCTTGCTAATATGACCGAATGCTGAGCGAACAGGGCTGCTTGCAAGCTCGAGGCGACAGTCCCTATAGCTACGGCGGCCAATATTGCCACACTGAGAGGCCACCCAACTGCATTTCTGGATATCTTGGGCGCTGCTACCCCGTCCCGGTCGCTATAGCTAGATGAAATAGACTGATGTTTACCAGTAACCAATCGCACGACCCAAACGCCCATATGTTGAAAAGCAAACACACTAAGACAGAACACCAGTAGCAACCCGATGACCCCCGCGAGGAGAACCAGTTGGTTTAAATTAGCTGCGCTATACTTGAGAAGACTGCTGACCAGTCCTATCTCATCGTATTTGCTCTGCGTAATAACCGGCTCCCCATAGGGATCTTGAATCGCAAGTTGGCCCGTTAAGGCGTGATGGAAAGAATTTGCCGGCAGGTTGATAGTGGCTTCATCGCTTCCTGTTAAAGGTTCCAGCATTGTCCCATGTACCCCGTAAGGCCGTCAGAAGCTCCAAAAAAGGCACAGTATGAGGTTTATGCTTAGTAGAAATGTTGAGCGACACCAAAAATTTGAGAACGAGGTCCAGAATTGGCATGCTATTGCTATTCGGAATCGACTCTTAATGGTTCCCGTCGGACCGACTCATGAACTCGTCACACACGATCGGAAAACCATGGCCCCACGTACAGATGGCTGAAATAATGGTGATTGTCAGCTTCGTGGCGGCCCGCAAACGACCCTAGCGAAGACCTAAAGCTGCAGCCAAGAGTAGTCGAGGACTCAATTGCCAATAAATTGAAAGGGGAGTTATAATGGCGCGTAGGATACTCTAGAAGTGGCTATCTGAAAGACTCCTATTTCGGAGAAGACATGATGGCACTACTGCAGTATCGGGTCAGCTAATTGCTCGCTCCGCTACATTGAAGCTAGGCGTTCAGCATGTATAGTCTTCAATTATGAGAAGACTTTATCCATGTTTGGACGTTTTTGGGCTGCATGTAATGAATTTGTAATCACACTCCTCTCAGTTCAGTCAACTTCATCGCCACGATGGAAGAGTAAGATGGCCAGCATCACTATAGAGTGCTCCCAAAAACGCCGTGGAGCCATGCACGTCTAGAACTGCACCCGCAAGTGCATTCTAGATTGTCTCCACATTGCGCGATTTCAAGGACGTGTAACCATTGCCCCTAGAAATGTACATATTAGAGAATGCACCAGGAATCACGAGGCTTGCGGGATTATCCCAGCTGCAAGAACTAGGGTAACTATCGATGTCTTGAAATTACGCCAAGACCTTCGCTCTCATCAGCCCCTATTCCTGCAGCTGAGGTATGCAGGCTAGCGTGGCGAGCTGAACAACTGCGAATGGGGTCAGCAGGGTCAATATGGCTTTGACCATTCACAGCCCATATAAGTCTCGGATTTCGACACGCCAGTACGGCGTAGATTAGCCCTAGTATGTCACCTAAGCCCATGACTAACAGTTTCGTGTCAGGACTCCATACCAGACAGGCGGGGTCGTAGCTCGTGGTGGGTAGGAATTTGCCCCACGCTGAGCTGAGCTCTGCCGATCCAGAGTCCTACCCACGCTGAGCTATCAGCCCCAGATGACTTAAGGGGATGGGGTTTGAATTTCCATAGGGACAGTATTTTTAAACAAATCTATCTATGAACAGAGAGATTTCAATGCAGTCGGTCAACAAAATTAATGATCTTGCCCGCAGTAGAGCTTCTCTCAAACCCGGACAGGTCTTTCAGGAACACGATTCGGAATAAGTGCTCATTCTCAGCGAGGACGAAGAAGAAGTCCCGTAGTGTTTTGACAAGACCTTTGTCTGACAGTGACTGTCTATCAAACGTTGGCGCACGAAGTAATCGCACTTCCAGCGTTACCTGCGGTGAGAAATTCAACCGGTCTAAGATGACTTGCCAGTGCAGGACACCCCATTCTGGGGTCTGCATGAGGGCCTTCAGCTTCTCGAATTCGATGTACGTACCAAACCATTTGAAGCTGAAGCGGCGGTCTCGTCCTTGCATACGTAAAACGCGCAGATGCTTCCGCTGGCTTTTCGGGATAGAATCACCCACGGATGCCGGGAGGTGATGGACGGATCCGACATCGCCAGTGATGTAACGAACGAGAGGATTACGAAGCCGGTGCAGAGATGTTTGCACTACCAGCCCCGTTTGACCCAGGGGAAGTGGATGAGGGACTTCTGAGTTCGGATTGAAAGAGAACTGTCCCTGGGCGTCTAGAAGGGCGGTGGAGAAGATCTCAATCAGCATATGACGCGTATCGAAAACGAACTCGGATACGCTGTTGCTATCATCATCGACGAGCCCCTGCTCGCCGGTCAGGTCGGGGTTGCCGATTGCCCAGGGACCAGCCTCTGCGCTGCCCATGACAGAGCATATCTTCGCGTCTCCCAGAGTCGTGTGGATGAACGCGCGTTGTGTGACGCTCAGCGGCTCGGATGTATAAATGATCTTGTCCAATTTTAAGCGACCCCGAACTTCCGGTGATAGCGTCGATACATGGTAAGCCACACGGATAATCTGACTTCCATCGCCGGTCAAGGCGTTGACGTGGTAGTGGAGCAGGGTCTGAATGATTTCGTCTGGGGTCATGGAGTTCCCTCCGATGAGTACCAAGGCTCCAGCATTCTCAAGAATCTCTGTCATAAGGTCTAAAGACCTGTAGAACCCTCCGGAGGCATGTGTAGACAAGACCCAGTCTCCCGGGCTGACAACACCGCAAAGACGAATAAACCGTCCCATTTCCATTCTCTGCTGGCGGTTTTCGTGTACATCCACAGCAAACATCATGGGAGTCCCTCCGCTGCCACCGCCGGTGATGCTCAGTTATGAGCTCTGGCGGTAGGTATTTCGCGGGTCGACATCATTCGTCAGTCTTTCCACGGCCTTATATCTGGCACTAAATAAGCATCTCCTCTAGTCTCTATGCTTGCACACTCACATTACACTTTTCTGTAGTAGAGGCTGGGACGACAGAGTATAGTTTCCTGGGTCTGCCAATGTCTTTCTGAGGACCTCTTGGATGGTCCTTTCGCAAGGGGGATATTCAATCTCAGCATGGGAGAATGGATGTAATTTGGCAACAGCCAGTACTTCGACCAACGTATAGCGCTCTGGAATCATTTTGGTTGTCGCCAGAGGGGTATTGGAAACAGTAGGACGGCTCGAGGAGTAAAAGTAAAGCAGGCCAAGTCACGACGAGATGTATTTAGTGCTGAGAAGATGCGACGATGTGAACACGCTCGTACACAAACAGTAGGAGGTTAAGTTGTGTAGTTTAGCTAGTAAACACTTAAGCAATGTACTTATGTGTCTTGTACTTCAGCACTATAACCAAAGAAGAGATTTGAATGATACACTGCAATACAACCTACAACATGTCCACGGTAACGCCACTCGGAGGATGCCGTGAGACTAACTACAAAATATCAATTGTGAACACCTGCTCTTGCCAGATCTCTATTCTAATGTAACCACACATACAGCTGCAGGGCATGTCTCACTTTCCCGCTATCGATACACAAGGACCTCTACGTTTGTGCTCCTCTTTCACGCTTCTCTGCCTCTCAGAATCATCCGTCTTGATATTTGGCTATGGATACGGGGGGATACATTGCAACCATATCACTTGTGCATAAATATCATGCAGCTAGGCATCCTGGCAGTCCGATCCAAAACATGACAGCAAACACAGCTTAGCCACTGCTTTGGGGGTTTATAGCAAACAAACTTGCATCCCACCTCACCCGACGGAGATGACGAGCGGGGTCCCGGACTTGATTCCGGGAATGAAGCCACCGATAATTATCCATCAAAAGGATTGAGTTGCGAGGTAGCTCGGCCGGAGTGAGATGCAGAACATGCCGGGAATCCGTCTTGAGCTTTTGCAAAATCTCTTTCAGTTCGTTCAGCGCCATTTCTGCCGCATTATTCAGCGGTGTCAGAAGTTCCTCGCGGAAGCGAATCCGCGCCGAATCGCCTTTTTGACCTGCGGCCAGGAGGCTACCAATAATATGATGCTGGTCGTGTCGCTTGATGAACTCCGAGGGGATACGGATCTTGTACTGGGGTCGGCAGAGATGATCCCTGGAACTTTGAGACAACATTTCCCACAAACTATCCACCTTCATGGTGGAAAGCGTGCCGCCACCGCAGCGATCTGGTTGGAGGACATGAAGCGCAAAAAGCCTAGGTGGGCACTCCTCGTAGCTGCAGTCGGTGTGCCAGGGAAACTCCTGCATAGTCTCGGATCTAGCCTGGTGGCCCTTGGTCTGGAAATTGGTGGTTTGAGGCCGCACGTCCCAAAACCATCCCTTGGTGGCGCTGTGAGAGATTGGCAGCCCGTGACCGTGCTGCTTGTGGAGGCTAACCACTAGGTTTCGAAGGTACTGGCTTTCATCGTCCTGAAAGTGCAAGCTGATTTGGAGAACTCCATGGCGCTCGAGCTGCTCATTCACATTGCGGACGTGGTCGGTATGCTGGGCACAGTCGAGCTCATCGACAATGATATGAGGTAGGTCCGGGATAGTATCGGATCTGAATCCTGTGGACAATCCGCGTATGCGAGAGCGGAGAAATGTCGGGGCTCTTGAGTAACTTCTGCGTCTCAAGACGGCGCGGTGGATGTGCATTTCGATGCGTTGCATCTCGACGGGCTCGTTATATTGGTCGCAACAATTATGCAAGGACAAAAAGGCCGGTTCAGTAATGACACATTCTAGGTATACTTTCTATCCATTCACGTCATTGCTTTATATACCTAGCTGGGTACGGGCATTGGGAATGCATGGTCCATTCTGCCAGCGCATCTGTGCTGCAGTGTTACTACAGACGCAGGGCGAGCGATTGAAAATGGAAATCGGCACGATAGCTGTATATGACATACGTCATGCAGTTGCTAGATCTGTGTCACAGAAACTCTTGCATGCTGTGCCACATATTAAGCTGAGGCAGAAGCGTGTTGGTCCAGTTCGCAATGCTATGAGCTGAACAGATTCAATAACTCCACCATAGGACGAAGGTGATATCTGAGAATGGGTTTTGCATGTGTTAGCAAGATCTCTGAATTCAGCTAAGCTTCTGTTATTCAGTTTCTAGACTCTCCTTTATTGGCGTCAAAAAGGAGAAGGTTGCTGCACGATCACCAATGCTGAAAGCTTGGTCTAGCGCATTCCAATGTTGTCAGCAAATAGCCTGGGCGGTTTAGGTACTGATTAAACAAGTGGCAATACAATCCGTTTGCTAAGTTGCGTAGTCCAGTATCTTCCTTTCTGGGAGAGACCATGACTTCCTTTACGTAAAAGCAGGAGAAAAGATAAATAAAATTATTGGCTTGCCAATGGAAAGAGATATCACATACTGATCTAGACTGGCACTTTTTCATCACAGTACACATCCAACTTCCACCATTGCTCACAGCACAGATTCTCTGCGGGCTGCTGCGCCAAATTCCAACCCCCAAAAACTGGCCATGAACCGAGTGGTATGTTCCTATGAGTGGGTACCGATTCAGCTCTCCGCATGGCTTTAGGGCCACTTCGTATAGACGCGCATGTACTCGGCGCTGCACCACATATGTGGTCCCACCAGAGACCGGATAGGGACTGCAAAGACGCCCCAAAGCACAGATCCACTCTGAGGGGCTCATTTCATCGCCAAAGATGATTCCAGCGCCCTTGCCACCTCGAATAGGCTTGAGGAGGTATTCATTTCTCAGCTTTGTGTCATCGTGAATAGATTGTCGGATCAGGTCGTTCAGCTGTGGCGAGCCCGGAATAATGGTATCTGCTATTCCATTTTCGAGTGCTCTTGCCTGAGAAGGCGTCAAGACGCCCCTCCTGCTAAGGTCTGGAATCTCTTGCTTGACAATGCCGAGCATTCGTTTGTCATGAACTAAGAGGATAGTCCGCATGTCGTTGAAGCAGCGTAGACTGATCTGGCGTAGCATCTCGGTGGACATGCCAAAGAGCTCATGCTGATGCAATTCTAGACCGATCTGGTGCACCTCCTCCACTGCCTGCCCGTCGTCGGTAATTCGGAGCGAAAGGTCTGAGTCGCAGAGCTGGCTAGTCTTCTTTACCACGCAATAGAGCTTGGATTTTCCCGAGTTCTGGGGGTCGGGGAGCAACCGCAGGTCAGCAGGACTGACAAGCCGTGGGCTAACACCCAGTTCACGGTGCAGGAAATCAATGACCATATGAATGTCGATCCCTGGCTCTTGTCCTTTCAGCAAGTGGATGGGCTGCTCTGGGCGGAAGAGGTTCAGCATTCCTTTTAAAGTCTATATATAAGGATTGATTAGCTAGAGTTTCAAGTACGGTGGGAGAAGGGCTTACATCGACTGGATCCGTCGCGGGTATGATCGTTTTCTCCAACACTCAGGCTTCCCAAGCTGAGTTGTCCGTATGCTTGGTGCATAAATCCATTGAAGGAGAAGCGAGCGTTGATCTCGGTGATACGGAAGTTCTCAGTCACCTCACAGTCCATAGTGTTGTCTTCGACGAGAAAGTCGGGTCTCCAGGAACCAACCTGACTCCGATAAGGGAGGTGCTCATTGTCTACCCACTGTTCTATAGATCAATAAACAAAGATTTTCCACGGTAGCGGCAGCGTTATACTTTGCTCTTTTGGTGCCTTGCATATCTTGGGAGAAGGAAATAGAAGCAGGGATACAAACACGTAGTAAATCCTCTTCCTCCTTGGCCAGAGGCATGCGCGATGGAAACCTAGCGTCGGGGTCTGTCCACCAGCGTTCGACAATGTCCGTAACTGCAGTGACCAAAGCACCATGAAGTATGGAAAGCTGCTCTTTGTGCTGCGCTGTGATGAGGATAGGTCTTGGACAAGCGAGTTTATGAGATTCCTGGTGCCAAAGGTGTGATGGACACAGCTCCAAGATTCGAGTTTGCAGTGATTCATACTCCCCCTCGTATAGCGAGGCTTCATCTGAATGAGAGGAGACTGGCAGTAAACAGCCATCGCCCTTCAGAAGATGAACCTGCTGCAGTGATTTTCGACTGGGGTACTTCATCGTTTTTTAATTCAGGATTGGGTTAAAGAGGTCTTTTTATGTTGAGGTTGTTGCAAAATTCAATTGTGGGTGAGCTTGGGAAGCCTATGGATTTATGGATAGGCATGGTATACATAGGCGAGTATATTGAATCCAGTTTTAGTGCATAGGATTCGGTGGGTGGCTTGTATGTCACGCAAAACCGTACGATAAATGAGTGTTGCTACACTCGAAGGCCTATTTTGTCAGCTTGAGGGCATGACTACAAAAGCTAATGTTAGTTATTTTAATACTGACTGAGACCAGACAGAACCTAAATCTGTAACGAACCCCAGCTGAAGTGGGTCATCTTCAGAGTTGAATCCTTTCTGGAGAATGGAGATATACTTCGTAATGTAGACCGGGAATATGCATGCAGTAGTGGGCAACTTTCCGATCGTAGCCGAACCCCTGCCACCCTTTCTGCCGCTACTGTCAGCTATCTGTCCCACCGCCTACCGCATCCGGAGGGTAACCGCCTTTGATGGCGCAAGGAACTCCGAACTCCGAAATGAGCTCCGACCCCGCGCCCCAACTCCGAACATCCGGCATCAGCATTCCTCCATCCCCCAAAATGCTGATCTCTATCGATCTCACATTCGGCATTCACGATGAGCTCCCGGCGTCGGAATGGGAAGCCCGCGTCCTGCGAGCCCTGTCGGAAGGATAAAGTGCGTTGCGACCACGTCCTCCCCGTCTGTTCGCGCTGTCGACGACGCGAGATTGCCAGTCGATGTTTCTACCATCCTGCGCCTCTCACACGACCCACGGCGCATGCGACAGATGATGGGGCTCCTGTTGCAAGTGCTGCACCTACAAGGGCAACTTATACGCCTGCTACAACCACGTCGCGCAGTCCCGAAGGGATCAATTCGCAGACTGAAGTGCCATTCTGCACGTCGGCGACCGATAAGGCCCTGCCGACAGGGTATCTAGGGCCGACGAGCTTCGTCGCAACGTTTGAGGATGATCGCGAGTTTGTGTCTAGTCCGAGCGATGTATTGCGGCAGGATGGCGCCGAGGGACTCGCCGCATTGCCCGGCTTGTCGCCGTACTGGGTCCACAAGGCTGGGGAGGTGCTCAACTGTCTGAAAGATTTCTCAACTATTGCGCAGCTCGTCGAAGAATACTACAACATTAGCCAGGCGGCGGTTATACCTGCCCCGTTGGTTCTGAACCCATTAGCCCGCGTCAAAGCCGCGGTCGAGGAGTGGCAAGTCCATGGGTGTCAGACGAGCGACCAGGCGACGAGTATCCTTGCGAACACGGCCCAACCGTTGCAGATCCCACCCACAGTGGAGGCGAGTCAGTTCTACGAGCTGTTTACTGGTTCGAGGCTGCGATTGGAGATTGTCGGCGTGATTTATGCGATTGCGGGTCGGACATCGATGTTCTCGCTGGCGAGAGACAGATTGCCGAGTAGTAATTGGTTGGTTGTTCGGGAAAGGTTCGCGAGGAGGATGATGGTGGCGAGTGATGTTATTCTACAAATATGTAGGATCCTCACGCCAGTGAACGATTTGACTATTTGGTTGATGTATGAGAATTTATTGCTGGCGAGCGTGGTACATGGGGATTCCAGTGAGTTTTTTTTGTGTTCTTTTCCCACGGCATGGGATGATATTTAAGCCATGCTGATCAGAACCATAGGCTCCGGCAAGTGGCACAGACTAGGTGATTTGTCCAGCCATATGTTCGAGCTAGGGATCCATCGGGATCCCCAACAGTTGAGCGATCTCCCTGTATTCATTCTAGAATCGCGCAGGCGCGTTTTTGCTGCGGCGTATCAACTCGACAAAAGCATTGCCACGTTCCTAGGACGACCACCGAGGATATCGTGGCGTCATTCTGATTGCAGCCTTCCGCTTGACCTAGCCGATGATGCCTTAGTTGGGAGTCCTTCGGAGTTCGACGTTGCCTCGACATCCGTTGACAGCAAAGGGTGGAATGTGCAGAGCATCTTCCAACGAGCTTCCTGGATTAGGGTCCGTTTTCTGATCAGTACATTCCGAGAGGAGATTTTGGAACTTTCGTTACAAGGACCGACTCGTGAAATGGCTGACCAGCTGAGGTGAGCCGTTCCCTGCCTTTGAACATCACAGCGAAATCGTTCACTCATACATCGCTAGGGACATTTCCTTCCGTTGCCATCAAGCATGGAACTCATTGCCCGGTCATCTCCGGTATACCCCAAATTGCTGGGACAGTGGATTCTCTATCTACATCTCTCTGATGCTCTCGGTGTGCTACCTAGCCTATCTTTACAATGACTTTCTCATTCAGAGACTACTTGTCCAGCAAGACCCTGAGGCCCAGACCACCTTGCTAGACGTGAGCTCAACCATTCTATCCACAGTCCTATCCTTCGGCATCCAACGCGAACATGTGATTGATATTCAAAGAGACTTTATCTGGACCGTATGTCTCCTTTCCCTCTCTTCTAGCTCCACTAGACAGGCTGATCATCATCCCCAGGTTCTCTTATACGGCTTCCCCAGCGCTGGTGTCCTCACAAAAGCCCTACAAAACCAATCCCGAACCGGCATTCCCATTCCCTACAATGGCTCGCGATCCCGTCTCATTCGTGACCTAAGTGTCTTCATCGCTCATTTGGAAACCATGGCGAGACCTGGGATTGCGAACCATGAACTTTTCGCGCGGGCCAGCCGGGTCATGTCAAGTATCATCGACGACATCTTAGAGGCGAGGGAAACTGTTCTGTCGAATGCACCAGACCCGGAAACTATGCCGTCTGTTCTCGACGGGTTCGAGATCTCCGATGATCTGAAAGTGCTGGACAGCGTGGACTTTGGGGCGGTTTTTGACCAGTGGATATTCTAACTACGCACGAGCATACGATGAACAAGTGATAACGAATTTCGAATATATGAAATACCTAACGTATTCCCGCCCGCTATTCAACTCCAATCCCAATCCAAAACACCCCAAAACAGCCAACCCAATCACGCAGACCCGTTTTGCAACTCCCCCACCCTCTTGAAAATAGCACTCGGGTCCAAATACACTTTAAAGAAATGCATCCGCTCATCGCTCACCCCCTTCCCAAACACAGCCAGCCCTTGCACTTTTATAACCTTCTCCTCCGGATCCCCCTTCAACACATACTCGATATCCGCCTCCTGGTATACCCGATCCTCCACCACGTCGAAATGCCCGATGGTATGTTTCATCGACGCAATGATCTGGAACTGCTGCTCGTAGAAGGCGATGATCTGCGCGTGGCCTTTGATAGGCTCTTTGCCCGGGAATATCATTTCGCAGTCTTCGGTGTGGAATTGGGGGACGAAAGTGCGTGGGTTCATGGCGTCTCCGGAGGTGTGGTAGGCTTGGAGCCATTGGAGAGTTTGGGTGTGGATTTCGGGGGTGGTGGGCATTTTGGGAGGGATTTTGTAGCTTTTTGGGATCCGTTGGGGCTGTTGGTTGGTTTTGGTTTGGTTTGATGTGTGAGGATGCGTGGAGGGAAAGTAGATATACGTTCAGAGCCTCTTGATCCTGCTGTAGACTGTAAATAGAATTATAGATCCATACGAAATCTCGTTTCCACAGACCTTGCACAGGAGGGACGATAGCAATATTTATATCGTTCACACTTCCCGGTTCCGCAGGATGCCATTTCCCAACAAAAAGCCATGACCAGATCCGCTCAGGACGTATTATAAATCAAGCACCAATCCAGGAAGGAAACCTATATTTGTCAGGTGAGACTTGTCTTCCTTCGCGCCAATTCGTCTTCCGTCTGGGTTGGTTACTGCAATCCATCGCCATGCTGTTCGGCAATTGTCCAACTACACATATCCAGGACATCATTTGGCGTGGATCCTACCCGTATGCAGGATGAGGATGAGTCGAGAAGAGGGAATCTTATTGGTAGACGAGGGGGTGATGCAGGATGAGTCGACTTTTTAGCGCTTATGCTAGGCTAGATGTGTATTAGTTAGTGTTGGTGGTTTGCTTGTCGGTTGGTTTGTGTATGCGGGGTATTGATGTCGATAATTTGATTATAGAATTTTATGACTAAACTGGAGAGACTCTTGTTTGTTTCTTTTTAGCTCTTGTTATGGTGATTATTCTAGATCTATATCTACAATAGGTAGGAGTAGTGCCGTGCCGATGACCATTGCGTCTAAAATTGGAGAATTGAATGACAAGGATCTCTAAAATTGAAGGGAGCGGGTATACTCTCCAACAGATTGAATAACTTAGTGCATCTGATTGGGGCTAATGAATAAACAAAGATCTATAGGAAGCAAGAGTCTCGCAGCCTAGTCCGCTACCTACACTACATATTATAAACCTCTAAACAGCTGGTAAAGACAGAAAAGAAAAAGGAAATAAACAGCCGCTACTCTATTGGCAGAAGCCGATCGATCAAAAACCAAAAAGAAACGTCCAAACACTTATTCCGATACGGGGAATCGAACCCCGAGCTGCCGTGTGAGAGACGGCGATGTTAACCATTACACCATATCGGATCTTGTTGAGATTCTGCTGCCAAGACGGCTACTTGTATACTCACTAAACCGGAAGAAGACAATTACTTCGCAACGCAACGGCCTACTCCTCGCCTCGCATGATAAGTAGGGGATGGATCTACAGCCACTTGGTTCGGCTTAATACCTTCCCGTGATATGCCTCAGGAGGAAAAGGCGTCGGACCTAATCCTACGCTTCTGGCCGAAAGATGGGATTTGGTGGTTTGGCGGGTATCAAATGTACTACACTTCGTAATATATATAGTTGCCCCAATGGTTCCGTTGAGCAATTTCACACCGCAACGTAAGTTCATGTTGGAACCAAGCTCAAGAGTTGGGAGAAAAAAAAAAGTAAAAAGATCCAAGAAATTACATATTCTCCCAAGATTGCTGTTATATCAAGAAGACATATAGACAATGAAAACACCAAAGAACGGAACTATTCCAAAACTCCATTGTTCGAGATATTTATTGGGATCCTACAAAGCCCTTTCAATCCAGCATCCTTTATCATCTTCCACTCAGAACGTACAGGGAGCCAGGGCCTGTTCTAAAAAGTGTCATGTAATTGTCTAAGTCTCCCATTATACTTCCGAATCAAGACAGATAATCTCTTTCACAATTTATCCTTTACAACGCTTTGTCTAACCCTAGCTAGTCTCGTTCCATGCTTTCAAGAAAGAATGATAGTCTTTATTTGCAGGTCATTATCTCCCTTTCCATTGTCTGAGCACCGTAGATTAGATATCTTTCTCTTCCATTCTGCTCTCACTTCCATAGCAAAACTTCCAATATCCAAGACCGTCCAAACCCAAGAATCTAGCCAAACCAAACGTCACCATGACCAAGCGTGCAGAAAAATCGAAAATGACGAAACCCCGACAGGGCCATCGAAGAAGTGCACGTATTCGCAAAAAAGAAGAAAAGTCAACGAAGTCAAAGACACGGCCTCCTTCACCGAAAGTACAACAACAGAAGGTAGGCTGTCCATTTCCATCTCACCTCTAATCGAAGGAGCAGAAGAAGACTGACTTTGTTCTGCCTAGGCAGATCCAGCGAGTCGTAAACGAAAACGAGGAACGGAGACGGAACCGAAGCCCTCGAAGAGGCAGAAGATGGTGCATGAGAGGTTGTCCCGTTCAAAGTCAATCACATCGAAGGATCTCGTTAAATTACAGGTGCGTGTACATTTTAACGTCTTGCGTTTAGCGTGCGGGTCACGCATAGTGGCAAAGTAGCTAACCTGTATTTAGCCAGTTGAAGTAGGGAAGATAAACAAATCGACCTCGATCCTATACTGGATCCAGAATGAGACATGGCCGGAGAAATTCTTTGAAGCAGATCCCGACAAGAACATGAAGGACCTTATCTCGTCGACGTACGAAACGCCGACAGAGCTGACTGGAAATGCAGAACTCGAACACAAGCAGATGGACGGATTTCTCAACTCTAAGGGAAGCTTCCTGACAGATCATGGAAACGGAATCGGAAAAAGGGACGCATTGATATGTACGAAGATGTTGAAAAGGGGCTGTGAGGTCCCCAGAGACACAATGTTCGAGGATGATGATTCTTTCAACTACGTCAAACGTATACTTCCAGAGAGGAACGAAGTTGCAGTCACCCAGGTCATTGGTCAGCTGATGGTTCCTTGGGCGGAGATTGGGATTTTTTCGCGGCCAGGTTGGATTCACGTGCTTGATTGACAGTGTTAAAGAGCTCTGGGATGGGTCGATCTCCCTCGACGAAGTTGTGCACGCGCAGCAACTGGACGCAGGCAACCGCAAGGGTGGACAGTATCAAATGCCAACCCCACAACCCGACTATTCGGTGGGGTTTTTGAAAGAAGCCTTCACCACAAGCCAGATTGATAAACTTGCTCCATTCCTGGGCGGATTCCATAGTACATCCCCTTTCAAGGGTACCGCCGAGATGCTATTCCCGTTCTTAGCGGTAGAGGTAAAATGCGGTGGGGTACCTCTCGAGTTAGCGGACCGGCAAAATGCTCACAGTATGTCTCGCGCATTGAAAGGCGTCGTGGACATCTTTCGACTAGTGGAGCGCGAGAAAGAGCTCCACCGACAAATTCTGGGGTTCTCCATTTCCCATAATCATGACCATGTAAGAATATATGGTCACTATCCTGTGATAGATCGGGAAAAGACCACATACTATCGTCATTCTGTTCGCGTATTTAGCATCACAGCGCGAAATGGTAGGGAGAGATGGACATCGTATAAATTCGTCATGGCTTTGTACAACGACTGGGTGCCGACTCACTTTCAGCGGCTCAGTTCAGCCGTGGATGATCTACCGGCGGGTGTCAACTTTGATAAGATTAGTTCAAAGTCCGCTCAAAGCTATTAAAATGGTGAGGTGTTGCAGGCACCGATGGACTTATGAGCCCGGAAGACTCGGAATTCCGTATTAGAGAGTCATCTAGAAGGATAAGACTACCCATGATTGGTTCTGCAATCTCGAACAACGATGCAATAAAGAGAGGAAGAAAGAACGATCTCCTCTTGGTGATCACAGACTTCCGGAATCCGCGGATCATGCAACCTCCAAAACAAGCCTAGGACTAGACCGTTAGCATGTCATCATCTAATCTCCATAACTCCAATATCCGGAGGTCCGGAGTACAATGTAAGCCTAAATGAACCACCTCTGAAAGTCTCCGAATTACCCCGATGGCCGAGACCACCGATCAAGAAAACTTTAACTAGATAACCTCCCCGGTCAGCCATCTGCAGGTAGCACGGAGACCACGTTGTGTGGCGTCATCGGCCCTGGTTAAGAAATTTTAGAGACTGGCGCCGAGCTCTGCGGTGCTGGGCCAACCAGGGCTGGGTGGAGAACGCATAAGCGGCCAGCAAACAGCGCAACACAGTGCCAACCGCGGCATTCGAATTTTCAAAGTCGGTGGAAGACGAAAGAACCCTTTATTCATCCTTTGGCCAATCGATGGGTGTCGTGGGCACCGGGTCCACGGTATGCGGCGGTAGAGGGCTCCACATGGCGACCGACCCGTTCTTCCGGCTGGAGGATTCGGTGCAGGTTCGAAGGGATTATGCTGAAGGAATGTAAGCTTAAAGCCGTTGGCTTACAGTTAGGATAAGCCGGAGTTGGTGATCAAAGGTGATATCTCGACCTGATTAGTATAGAGGAGTTTGTTTGTCATGAACTTTGCGGTCTTGAAGTAAATCCAATGGTATTGAGAATGGCAACTTAGCAAGACACGGTCCACTGTCATCACGGAAATAATGGATTTAATTCTGGGGATATGTGGATCACCTCAGTACCTGAATTTCTAATCCTCTTGTTCCGATTTTTCTCTGGTACCCCCCCAGGAGTGTGTTGCCCCCCTTTTTTCGTCATTGTTTTGTGGCCACATTCTCTGACTATAAATCTGCTTGAGTACCCCTTGGGAATCAGACCCTTCTCCAGATTCGACCGACACTCAATTTGCTTAGCATATCCGAGATCATATTCAAAATGGCTGCTACCGATTACAAGTTTGAGGGCTGGATGGGCCTGGACTCCTCGGCCATCGAGGGCAAGATGGTGTGGAAGGAGTTCGAGCCCAAGGCTTGGGAGGAAACCGACGTCGACATCAAGATCACTCACTCCGGTATCTGTGGATCCGACCTGCACACTCTCCGCAGCGGATGGGTATGTTTTCATGCCCCCAGAGGTGGATCTTCAATAATGTACTGACTCGAAGAATTAGGGCCCTACCCAGTACCCCTGCTGCGTCGGCCACGAGATCGTCGGTACTGCCGTACGCGTCGGCTCCAAGGCCGAGGGAAACATCAAGGTCGGCGACATTGTTGGTGTCGGAGCTCAGAACGACTCCTGCCAGGGCCGCAAGGGTGACTGCGAGGCCTGCGCTTCCGGCCTGGAGCAGTACTGCCCCAACAACATGGTCGGAACGTACAACAGCACTCATCTCAACGGTGGCCAGGCCTACGGTGGATACGCTCTGTACCACCGTGCTCCCTCCCGCTTTGTCATCAAGATCCCCAGCAACATCTCTCCCTCCGTCGCTGCCCCCATGATGTGCGGTGGTATCACCACCTACTCGCCTCTCCGCCACAACGGCTGCGGCCCCGGCAAGACCGTCGGTATCATCGGTGTCGGTGGTCTCGGCCACTTCGGTATCATGTTCGCCAAGGCTCTCGGCGCTGACCGCGTCGTGGCCATCTCCCGCAAGGACAACAAGCGCGAGGATGCCCTCAAGCTCGGAGCCGATGCTTACATCGCTACCGACGATGACAAGGACTGGGTTAAGAACAACTCGCGTTCCCTGGATCTGATCGTTTCGACCGTCTCCTCTTCCAAGGTATGTACTTGCCGTATGCACGCAGGTCATTTCGGATACATGAACTAATGTTGTGATAGATGCCCCTGGTCGACTACATCTCCCTCCTCAAGACCAACGGCAACTTCGTCCAGCTCGGTGTTCCCGAGGACGGTGCTCTCGCCATCCCCGCTGCCGCTCTTATCATGAAGCGTGTCAAGTTCGGTGGTTCCTTGATTGGTAGCCCCAGCGAGATCCGTGAGATGTTGGAGTTGGCTGCTGAGAAGAACGTCCAGACCTGGGTCCAGGAGCGCCCCATGAAGGACGCCAACCAGGCTGTGGTCGACATGGACGCCGGCAAGGCCCGCTACCGCTATGTGCTCGTCAACGAGCAGTAAGCGCGTGGATACCCAGAAATGACTTGTAAATAGACGTAATAGAGATAGAGTATGACGAATGAAATGAGATGCCCCACCTACCTTACACAATTTCTTCAAATGATCGAACCGTATACTCTTCGCCGCAGACTACCACCGTCTCCCCTGGAATGCGCCACGCGCCCGTGCCCTCCCCTTCCAGACTGTTCATGGTAGGGAGTTCTTCCCCTTTACCGGGGAGCACGTATTTCGCGGCCCATCCCGCGTTCGGGTCCCATTCTTCTCGTCGAGCACTGACACCCTTCCCTTCCTTCACGGAAATGTCGTTGGAACCATGCGATCGTCCGATAATCTGCGTCTGGCGAATAACAACGAAGGTACCCCAAACCCTCGCCAGAAATGTCCTAGACACCTCCTTCTCCTCGCCATCTTCGATATCATGCTTCGACTCAAGGACCCACGAGACACCCTTCTCTGGACCCTCGGGGCCTTCTCTGAACGTCAATTCCCTCCACACCTCCTCGTAGTCGGTCACCGGCGAACCGGGCTTATCGGGCCTCGGCATCGATCCGATTTCAAGATCATCGCCGTTCGGCAGGGCGGTGAACGTTCCGCAGTCAGCCACGTTAAACGAATTATGCGAGTCGATCTCATGTGTAAATTGGACGCGATCTGCGAGGTCAGTAAAACGGCTTTTTGACGCCAAACCCGACGCGTATTATGAAGGCATACGTACTAGAATCTTGACTATCCACAATTCGTTGCCCCGCGATGGCCCAATCGATATCACCTGAGCTTTTATCCACGCGGAGATCAACGTACCAGCCTTTGACGGACATCACGACGGTGTCGGTGGTTTCGGAGGCGGGTTCGGGGATCCAGCGGATTGATATCCGGGTGGAGAGACGGCTGTCGGATGATGGGTTGGAGGGTTGGAAGGACATAATGGAGTGTATTTCTAGTGTTCCAAATGATCATTGATTGATGGCAGACTTGGAGAGATGATGGAGAGAGAGAAAGCGACAGAGAAAAGTGAGGGGTGCCTTATCGGCCTTAGCGACTGCCCCGCACCGGTGGGCAGCGCTGTGATTGGATGGTGGGGCCGAAGTATAGAGTCACGGCATTCAGGAGTGGCAGCTCAATTGAGCATCAAATGTGATTGACTGGTACAGAGTACTGAGTATAAAATGCTTTCTTGTAATAAGTGCATTAGTCCCTTGCCTGTGGCGCCACAATTGCCCGCTTTCTCAGCACTACTAAGTCAAAGAAACAGGTACGTGCGCTCAAACTAAGCCACATTCGATATTGACAATAATTGCTAATGTTGGAGAATTTGAACCGGAAGGGGCATGGGCCCAATACAAGATGTTCTTTACACTCTAGCACACAGACAACGTGGCAATGCTGAGATTTGACGGTATGTAGAATACTGTAGGTATCCAGTGGGGTCAGCTGACCGCGGATTTCCGAAAGAGAAGTCCGCTGGCCTGGATATTCAGGACACCCACTTTTGTAATATCACAAGAAACCAAATAGATCGTCATAAGCTTAGGTCAGACGGACAACGCCGAAAGTCAAATTGCACGTAGCTAAAGACATGGCGGCCTGATGAAATGAAGCTGCCTAGAGGCCAAAGAAACGTCCCTGGGAAGTGAACAACGCTATAAATACAAAAAGGACAAGGTTTCTGTACACGAGAGGATGGAGTTGGACAGATGACCTACACGACATAATAAAATGAAGCCATGCGAGACCCTATAAAGCTTATTCGTCAGAACTGGCAGCCGCTTCACAGTATGCAGGCTGGGCAAACTGCCTTCTCCTTGCGTCTGTCCACTTTTATTGAACTATATTCTCTAGGAGATTGACAAGTCAACAGGCCAGAGCGGCTTGGCATGACGAGTTAGGCCAGAGGTGAAGACTTCCAATGCAACTTATTGGGCATCTTGCATCATTATGCACCCTGGGGGGTAGCCGTGCTCTTCCGCATTCAGTTCCCACCGCTGCGTTGGATCCGCGGATGGCCAAGGAAGGATCCACCTCCCATAGTTTATATGCTTTATACTGCTGGAGCTCCACCAGATCGGGCAGCCGTGGGTTTCCGAACGATTGCATCGTCACTGCCGCAATGTATTATAGATCCTATAAAAGCCAATCAGCGAGTCCGGGAGCGCAGCCGCTTGCTGAAACAGCTTTTGCAACTTCTCACCCCAACAACCCCCACTCCGGCTTTCAATATGACGCCGTACTCTATTACTCTCAGCTTACTCTTCTTCTTTTTCTCATTCACCAAAGATGCGGTCTGCCAAACAAACCCTGCTCCCACAGTGGTTATCCCTCAAGCCACAATTATTGGCACTACGACCACTCTGCCGTCGGCCACGGCCGTAGTCAACAAGTTCCTTGGTATTCCGTTTGCCATTTCGCCTCCGGATCGGTTCGAGCCACCTGAACCAGTAGAAGATTCGGATGATACAATCCATGCCACGCAGTGGCGGGACAGATGCTTTGAAATGACGAGTGTGCAATGACCGGATGTTGTGGTTACCGGGTTTCGAGCTAATGGGAGAATAGGTGGCTCGCCTACAGCGCCCGGCGACGATGTGGTTTCAGCCAGCGAGGACTGCCTGTACCTGAATGTATATGCGCCAGCGAATGCTACTGACGATGGAGATAAAGCGGTCATGTTTTGGATCCCAGGAGGCGCATTACAATATGGTCATTCTGGACAGCCAATCTATGACGGTTCTGGATTTGCCGCATTCCAGGATGTGATTTTGGTCACCATTAACTATCGAACGAATAGTGAGTGCTTTGATGAGCCTCAAGATCACCCTTGCAACTGACTGCATCTCTAGTCTTTGGGTTTTCCAATTCCCCCGCCATCAACGATGACTCGCAGAATGTCGGATTGTATGACCAGCGTCTCGCCCTTGATTGGGTACATAACAACATTGCTTCATTTGGCGGAGATCCTTCAAAAATCACCATTTTTGGCGAATCCTCGGGGGCTTCTTCCGTTGACCGGCTGATAACTTCTCCTCCGGATCCTGTTCCCTACCGGGCGGCAATCTTACAGTCAGGACAGGCGTCGGTGAGCGCCATGGACAATTCGGGTTTACCGAAATGGAAACAGGTTGTCGGTTCTGTCGGGTGCAATAAGACGACGAACGAGGCGGATGAACTGAAATGCATGCAAAGCATCAATGGATCCCTGATCAATCAGGTTGTCCAAAAGCTTGCTCTATCTTTCTTGCCCGTGAATGATAATATCACTCAACGGGCAACTCCACTTGTGGATGCCCGCAGCCAAGAGCCATCAGCCGACGTTCCGATCATAATAGGGACCAACTCCTATGAAGGCTCTTTGTTGTCAGCGGCGTACTTTGAATTCGCTGTACAGCCTAACGGAAGTGTATCGTTCCCTGCCATTATCCAAAGTCTCACGGCATTTTTGTCGCCTGGTCTTGTGGCTCCGATCCAGGGGAGACTGGCTGCTGCTCTTGCACAAAGCCCCAAGGCCCTGTTCTTTTACATAGCGGAGTACATTACATATTTACTCTTTCAGTGCCCTGCGAACCTCGTCTCCCATGCCAATGTACAGGCTGGAAGCTCCACCTACCGATACTATTTCAACGCGACCTTTGCGGATACGCAGCAGCCCTGGACGTATCCCGAACTGAACATCACCAACATTGGTGCCTACCACTCGGCGGAAATCGGATTGGTGTTTGGGACTTATGGCATCTTTGGTGGAAATGCAACCAACGACGAAATTGCTTTGAGTAAATTCATACAGGGATCGTGGGCGAATTTCACCAAGGACCCGTTCGCTCCCGAGGCGCCCGGATGGCCAGCCGTTATCAACAATGGAACTGCGGATATTGGCTGCCTGGGGTGTACTTCGAATCCAACCGGCGTGAGTGTGATAACGGAAAGTGTGGATTCAAATTGTTCCACCTATTTTCCGCTGTTTGATAAGAGCCTTCCGCCATATTAGGGATCAGGTATTATGCCGGATGGTACTCATGACATGGCTAATTTCTTCTGCGTTTGCATTATTAGCCCTTCATCTCTTCTTTCCTTTGGTGTATCTTATATCTCAACGACAACAGTCGTACTGCGCTGGAGCAATGTGAAGGCTTGATAGCCTCTGACGTGGTCATGCTTTCATAGCTCCGGACGCGTCGGGGCGATCGGTTGACGTATGAATCAGTAGAGAGCTTCAAACTTTAATCGTCAAGATTGAAGACTTTTCGCCGATACCATTGGTACCATGTCACCGGACCGGCAACGGGCCCCTTGAATACGACCTTCCTCATTGGGCGGGAATGTCTTGGCGTTGTTGCTCCGATATTCAGTGGGCGTTGCAGGATGAGTTTGACTGCAGTTCATATATGTAGAAAGTTAGAAACACCCTGGAGCTGATGCGGCTGAAACTGGTGAAATCTCACCAACTTTCTGACAGGCAGCTGGTAGAATGCATCCCAGGACTCCATTCTCATGATTTTGTCAAGTTCTGTCTCAAATGATGAACCGGAGCCAAAAAAAAACCACCACGGAACCATTAAGTTCCAGCAGGAAGCAGGTAGCCTAATTAAATCGGCAGTAATCCGATCAAGCTTGCCGTGTGTTCCTCAACCCCACATGCCGGATCACCGTGGGTAGAGACGCGAACACTAAGCTTTATCCACGCCCAAACCCACGATTGAAATACCCCACCCGCCATCCACCGTCTTCGCAACATCCATGAACTCTCCAACGGTCAATCTGACGCCCTCGGGACTGAATAAATCATCGTCCGGTCCCAGTTCGCCCCTCTCCAACGGCCCCGGCAAACCCCCATTCAACTCCCACACCTTCCCCCGCGCGTCCTTCACAAACGCAATGAAATGCCCGCTCGGGTTCTCTCGGGCGCTAGGAACACTCGAACTACCTTGGACGGCGGCATCCATGTGCGCATCTTCTAGAAATTGCGAGTCGTAGAGTGCCTGAGCGCGTTCCTTGGGAGGCAACTCGATAACCTTCTTGCGTAGCTCGTCCAGCTTCGAACCAGACGTTATGTGTTTCCCGTCATCAAGGTTCAAGATGCAATGGAGAAGCGCCATCAGCCCGCAAGCGTGTCCGATCGTTTGTTTCATCCAGATGATCGGTTCCGAGGGCCCGTGGCCCGTGTAGGTGGGGAGGGTGGACTTCAGGTGCGAGCGGACAGGGTCGAAGATGGGAGAGACGCAGAGGAAAATCAGGGCGTTCATGGGACGGGGGAGGGAGATCTCTGACGTGTCATTGTTGATGTTCAGGTCGAATATGTCATGGAATGTGAGTGCTGTGGAGACGCCAAGGTTGCGGGATAGTCGGGAGAGGACTTCGGGGTTGTTTTCTGGGTTGGTTAGTGGGTGTTTGACTGGATTTAGGGGGAATGGGAGATACCGATCGGGATGAATGTTTTCTTGCCGTTGATAATCTCGACTCCGGATGACATGATGGATGGATGAGTGGTGGCTGGATGCGATGGAAATGGTGAAGCAGTTGTTGGTGAGGAGAAGTTGGTGGGGCGCGTCAGGATGGCACATGATGGCACATGATACCAGGAACCGAGTATACCGGCTAGAGTGCATAGAGTTTGTTTGGATCGCTGCACCTTCAATATAAACAATTAATCCATACATCACGATACCAATTCAGTGTCATTGGAACGACTGGATGAAAACACAGATCACAGGAGAAAGGGATTAGCAACATTGGTGGAGGTCATCGTCAACACTGTCAACTTACAATTTGATTAGCTTCTTCCAATTGTGCCTACCATTGGCCTTGTCCTTGAACAGATCTGGTTTTACTAAAGCACAGACCTCGCTAATAGAGTTTTTAAAGATAAAGTTGAATTAGTTATAGTTAACTGCCTATATTCTAGTGGATAATACATGAATACAGTCTTTTGAATTCATCATTAGGAAAGGATTGCGAGGGTTCTCGTTCTCGTAGTGGCATTGGTATGTTCCTTTGTAAGAGCTGGACCACATCTACTTAAATAGATACCTACGCCCTACGGAGTACATCCTATATTTTGCGCCTTGCACCTTTCTTGCATCCACAGTAATAACAATTAATCAGCACACCTTTGACAATGGCTATGATACATAGTGCTAAGATACGACCTGCTACACGCGAAGGTTGGTACTAATTCAATTATTCTAAAAGCACTCTCTAATTAGCAACGAGATTTTCAACACTCACCCCTAGATTACTGATATTTCTTGGCATGCGAGAACATCGTACAACGAAGTTAGCTGTAGTAAAACCTTTCTCTTAGCTTGTGTTGTTCCTTTCATTGACTTTCGGGGACCTATAACTAGCGGTCTAGGCCCAAGCCCCCCGCCGGAATGGAGCGGGACCAGGCGCTTTCCTCCCCGACCGGGCGGAATGCCGGCAGCTTAACCAAACGTGGGCCCCTGAAGCCTAGAGCGCTGGTATACTCGATGGTTGCACTCGTGGTTTCTATCAGCAGTTCTGGAAGATAGAAAATTCTAGTCCTTCGTGATATATCCCTTGCGGTTTGTAATCGTGCATTGCATTGCAACTAGGCCTGTGAAGATGATTTATTCCTGACGTCATACTCTCAGGCCCTGTCCGAGCGCTCCAGTATGATATCATTCAAGCGATTTCAAATATTAAGCAAGCACGATGCCGCCTCGCCATTCTAGAATCAAACTTAAACAAACACTGTCCCTTGGTAACACCCTTTAAAACCCCCAAAACAAAATCATTAAAATGGCCCGCATCTTCATCACCGGCTCCAGCGACGGCATCGGCCTAGCAGCCGCCAAACGCCTCGTTGAACAAGGCCACTCCGTCGTCCTCCACGCGCGCAACGCCGACCGCGCCACCTCCACACAACAAGCCGTCCCCAACGCCGAAGCCGTTCTCGTCGCCGACTTGCGCTCCATCACCGAGACCAAGAAACTCGCCGACCAAGCCAATGCGCTCAACGGCGGTAAACCATTCGATACGGTGATCCACAACGCGGGCATCGGGTTCGGTGGGACCTCGAGTCGCGAGATTACCGCGGATAAGATCTCCGCCGTGTTCGCGGTCAACACGCTAGCGCCGTATATCCTGACCTGTGCGATGAAGCGGCCGACGTCGCGGTTGCTGTACATGAGCTCGGATAGTCACTATGGCGGGGATAATAGTCTGCGGAACGTGACGCAGTCGCATTCGTATGGGGATAGTAAGTTGCATGATATGATGCTTGCGAATGCGTTTGCGAGACGCTGGGGCGAGGAGATTCAGGTGGTTAGTATGCATCCGGGTTGGGTGAGGACGAAGATGGGAGGTTCGATGGCTCCCGGGGGACTGGAGAAGCCGACTAAGGCCCTGGCGGAGTGGGCCGCTGGGGAGGGGCCGTTGGCGAAATTGAAGAGCGGCACGTTCTTTACGCCGAGTGGGCAGGATACGCCTGATTCGGCGGCTGGGAATGTGAGCAAGCAGGAGGAACTGTTGAGTATCTGCCAGGAGGTTTCGGGGGTGTCGGTTCCAGGTAACTGAAGTGTGGTGTGTTACTTTATGAGTTATATGATATGTAGATAGTGTTTCAGCTCCAGGCAAACCGCAGGTATGTGATGAATACAAAGGCGGGTTCCAAGCTGTATATATAAGTACCGATGATCAAGCAGATAGAATGTAGAAACAACGGATATTGTTGCTTGACTTTCACAGTCGTTTCCTTATTGTGGTTGCATTACCAAATCCATAAATTGTCACCTACACTGATCTGGGGATCTAAATATATGGAGATCGCTCATAGAGACATTGAATTATCAAATATATTGTCAAATTGGGTTAATCTGCGGACGACATGCCTTTTGAGAAGCGAAGCAAACGTTCAATTACAGTTCTAACTGATTGAACCTTGCCACACCACCAGTCTGTTATTTCGCCAACCGGGAGAAGCCCATAATTGCTTCTTCATGATAACATTGACACCACAGAGCTAGGACCACGGAAATCTGATAACCACCTTCGTCTCCTGGTGATCATTAAAACGGCGATAAGCCTGCGGCGCCTCCTCGATATCGACAAAGGAGCTGATGATAGAACTAGGCCGAGCCTGGCCCGTGTGGATCAGCGCCAAAAGGGCCGAAGCGTAGTCGGGCGGATAGATCGCGCCCACCCGGAAATGAAGGCTCTTCTGAAAGAAGGTGCCGATGGGAAACGGCACGTTGTTTGACACAGCACTTCCGAGCGGCACACCGGTGCTGTTGTGGACGTCTGCGTATATACCAACGCCGCCGATTCCGCCTAACCGCGCGGTGACGTTGACCATCTGGCGAACAACGATGTCAGATTCCATTTGCAAGGATTTATTGACGGCTTCGAATCCAACGCAGTCGACACTGCGATCTACCCCGTTGGGCTCGTTGGCGAGAATTTGCTCGACCGGGTCGGATTTCATGAAGTTAATCGGCGTAGCGCCGAAGGATCGAGCAAGATCGAGTCGCTCGGGCACGTAATCCACAACGTACACGCGAGATGCGCCGCGAAGAAAGGCCGAGTAGGTCGATAACAAGCCGACGGGGCCGGCACCAAAGATCGCCACGGTGTCACCCCGTTCAAACCCAGCAAAGTCCAGGGCCCCCCAGCCGGTCGCGAAGATGTCGGAGACGAAAAGGTAGTCGGCATCACTGTTGGAAGGACGAGAATTGTTGCCCGGGACGGGAATGAGATTCTCCTCGGCGACTGGAACTCTCACATACTCGCCTAGTCCAGAACTACCCGTCAGTCACATTTGCCCAGAAAAATATAGAGGAAAGAGAAAAGAGACAGACTTTGACAACCACCCAGGTCGCCCCGATCAGGCCCCATGCCAAAAGCGTAGGATGTCGCAGCTTCCGTGACCGGGTCAGATACGTGCACCGTGTCAGAGACCACTACACGATCTCCAACCCGAAGACTCGAGACCGCGTCTCCTAGCTCGGTGATGAAGCCAATGGCTTCGTGCCCCATGGGCCATGGGACTTCAGCGCTGCCATAGTGACCACGGTAGGTATGAAGATCTGTGCCGCAGATACCAGCCATCGACACTCTGACGATGGCGTCGGTAGGCGATTCAATGGTGGGAACCGGCAGATCCACCACACTGACGTTGAAGGGGTTTCCTGTCCACACCACACCTCTCATCAGGGCGGAGGCATTGGCAACGGCGCTTGAATAGTTCATTGTTACAACCTGGCGGGCGCCGAAAGATACTTGAATAGAAAGTGTCGATCGGACTGAGGGTATTTAGATTCACGACAGATTGGCTGTATCCGGGACAACTAGGAAATTTATATCTGGAAGTCGAGGCTTGGCAGACAAAAACTTGCCCGCTGACCGAGCCGGGAGAACGTGCCCGACGATCAACCGTATAGATGGGACTCGGCATCTTGGCCGACATGTGTCAGAGTGTTCAGCACAACGGGAGCATTCCCGGACCCGCGCTTGCTTTTTAGAGCTAGAACGGTAATCAATTGTCGTCAGTGGCCAGAGGGGTAGTCTGAAGAATGTACGCTTCTCAAGCCAGTTGTATCTCGCCGTCGACCCGCGACGGACTTCGAGCAGGGGTAATCTATTTGGCAGGAATGAACAAGGCCAAGAAGCCGTTGGCCCAGTTGCTGCTTCCGCGGGCATATACCTGAAAAGCCACTGGACACGATTGATGTCGATTCCAGGTGTCGATGCTGACATACTAATCCAAATTTGCTAAGTTGCTGGATCAAAGGAAGAAGAGGGTCTTGGCGATGAGATAGAAGTACAGATTTCACGTGCAATGATGTACTCCGTACATGGTGATGGGACCGATCCCATCTGCAGAGATGGCACAATGTTGTGATTAGTGTCAACCAGGAATAAGGCGGGGGTAAAGCACGGAATCCGGGATCAGCAGCGAGTTTTTGATCGTCTGTGGCCATGGATGTTGTGTGGATGTATGGTCCTGATCGAATTAGGCCAGGTGCCTCGGAGTATGGAAGGAACGAACGCTAACTAAAGCCACTGCTTACGGACTAGCCCATTCCGCCCTAGCGTACGGGAAGCCTGGTGGGTTCTTGCACGATGATCGCCGTCGCATCTTCCCTCCTTCCTCGGCGGAGAATTTCTCAATTGTCGAGTGTTTTCAACGGCCAGGTTCGCGTCTACTCAACGATAACATTGGATATGAAGGTTCATTGCACATAACCTGACACTGAAGGGAGCTTTCTGGTGAGGATCTGGCCATCAGTGACCAAATCAGCACACAAACTGTATACTTTTCTCGCCACGGAGAGCACGCCAATGATTGGTCGATCTCGCAAGCTCTGGGCAGTCCTGGAGCATCCATCCCCATTTATGGATGAAGCCTTCCGTTAGCTCCCAATTGTGTAGTATCCAAGGCGGGCCCCAAACAGCTAACCCAGCATCCGGGTGATTAGTGTTCCAGAACCCCATGATATCAACGCACAGTTCATCATCGTCAAAATCACCCGCCAAGATGAGTTGATCGCGCATTTTTGGGTGAGGAAAGAAATCCAACCACGGATGATGAGGTATTTGTAGTTGAACTGCAGTTGGGCGTAGGTGGGTTGGCGGCGGCGTCGAAACAAGCGCATTGGGCCGTGACATGCAAAATGGGGAAATGGTATCAGCCTTCATCCAGCCGCCATCCATGCCCAAGGCGGCGAGGTTTTCGAAGAAGGCACGGTATACGTTAACTTTGACCAATGTGAGGAGATGATCAGCTACCGGCAGTCTACTACAGTAGCTGTGATAGGCAGCCATCTCAAATTCGTTGAAGAGTTCTCGTGCGCCGGCGGGAGCAATGCTGCAGTTGTGGATCGCTGGTATCCAAGGACCCCTGGGAGGCAGGACGCAGGCGTGTGTTGTAATATTGCTCAATTTTGACCGGTGATTCCCTTCGTCCACTAGCGAGCCGATCTTTTTCCACCGCGAGGAGTTCTGCTTTTCGGGCTGTTTGCTGCGCTGGCGTTGCCCTAGACAATGCTCGGTGAGTAGATGACCAGCAGATTCGTTTGGCCGAGAATAGCCTACGGTATAGTCTCTGATTAATTCGATTCTGGAGCTTGCGTCGCTCGGCCGGGGTAGCTGCTGGCGACCAATCACCCTGCGCGGAAGACTTCGTGGATCTGACCGACTCCATTTGTGAAGATGGCGGGGGTAACGATGACCAGGCAGGATGATGAGATGAGAACCTTCGGGGAATGGAATAGTGTGGGAGTGAAGGGGAAGTCCGGAGCCCGGAGCACAGCGTTGGCAGGGACAGCCTAGTGGATGACCGAGCTAACCTGTTGTGGCCGCGGCAGTGGGCCTAGCAGGCTTTTCCTTCTTGCTTGTCCACTTATTTGATCACCTTCTTTTTTCAAAGTTGACTATACTAAATCTTTGGTATTTTATTCTTATTTACTATTTGAACATTCCACCAACGTAAGTGACACTGTACGTGTCTTAGCCGGCGGATCCAAGATCTCGGAATTAGCTTATCTCCATCAATCGACCTTTTGTTCGGGCTAGTCTAGTAAGCGCTCTATCCAGGTTAATTCTCTATAGTTTTATTCCATTGCCACACCGAACTAGGGATAACACTACATAGAGGCCTGAAAGTGAGTGATCATGGAAATTCTATGTTCCTGCTCTTGGTCAACACCCGAAGCGAGGCTAGCGGTTGTTAAGACCTTCCTATATCTCAACTCCTCGTCACCAACTACAAACGTGCCTTTTATTCACTGGCCGCGGCTTGTGACTCTGAAATGGCGACTTCGCCCACAAATCAGCCCTCGAGCAGTGCTCCGGGCTCTGCGGTATCGAGTGATTCGATGAACATGGCAGTCCTAGAATCGAAAACCACCGAGTTAGGTCCGCCAAATGGAGGAATTCGGGCGTGGCTGCAGGTTGTCGGTTCTTTCTTTCTCTTCTTCAATACCTGGTAAGCTCTGTATTTGCTTGGCAGTGGCTTCGAAACAATGTTGATCATCCGCAGGGGTATCATCAACTCCTACGGAGTGTTTCAGACATTCTACGAGGGAGACTTTCTCCAAGATACTGCTCCATCAAAGATTTCGTGGGTTGGTTCTTTGCAATCGTTCCTGATTATGTTCCTCGGTGTCCTGTCGGGACCGATATACGACGCCGGATATGCGATGCCACTGCTGTTTGTTGGTTCGTTTCTCGTGGTCTTCGGCCACATGATGCTCAGTTTGTGTCATACCTTTTGGCAGGTTCTTTTGGCACAGGCATTTTGCGTAGGTATTGGCGGCGGTCTCATTTTCGTTCCCAGCATCGCGATTCTTTCGACATATTTTACGACAAGATTGCCCCTGGTCGTCGGCATCGCCGCCGCCGGATCGAGCATCGGCGGCGTTATTTACCCGATCCTGATCCACCGGCTACTTAACATGGTTGGGTTTGGATGGGCGACTCGCGTTGCTGGCTTTGTCGCCCTGTTCGGACTGAGCATCTCTGCGTTAGTCCTCAGAGTGCGTACCCTTCCTGCCAGTCGCCGGAAATTAATTGATGGGGCGGCTTTCCGCGAAACCCCGTACACACTTTGCAACATCGGTCTGTTCCTCTGCTTCATGGGTCTCTATACGCCCTTTTACTATATCCAGTCGGTGGCGATTGAAAATAATATAACATCAGCGACTTTGGCGTTCTATTTAGTGCCCATCCTGAACGCAACATCGACGTTCGGCCGGCTAGCGTCAGGATATATCTCCCGATGGACTGGGCCACTCACCATTCTTGTTCCCTGCGCTATTCTCTCGGGCATCCTCGTTCTCTGCATCATCGCTGTCAAGACACAAACGACCTTATTTGCCATTTGCGCGTTGTATGGGTTCTTTTCAGGGTGCCTTGTCTCTCTCATGGGCCCCATCCTCGTCATGCTTTCTCCGCACCGTGGAGTCACTGGAACAAGGATGGGTATGTGTTTCACTTTATTGGGGGTGGCATTGCTGGTTGGAACGCCCATCGCTGGTGCGATCTTGGATGCGCATGGTGCCAATATGGTCTGGGTGTATAGTGGCGTCTTGACACTTTCCGGGGGAGCGATACTAGGTGCTGCTCGGATGAGTCTGGTATCCCGGAAAGGCAGTGCGACTAATTAATCGGGGTTGCCATCAGTATGTTGGTCTGTATAGTGGGCCACGGAATGCCTTTCCAATTACGGTATTATTCGGGCGCTATTGAACTGTCGTCTTGCACGACCCCTCGTGCCTGATTTTGGATAATAAGGATTATGGGACGAAATATGGATTGGACGAAACTTCCGATAGAACTCCTTCAGCCTGTGGCGTAGTTCGATCTGTGTTTTATTGTCTTGTCTATTGGCAATACCTCTTTTGAAATGCACGTTACTTTGCTGCTTGATGAGTATCCGCCAACCCTTCAGAGAAGAGTGGATAAGTGCTAGTAAATGCTGGCTGGGGTGCTCGCTACCTGAAGATCTAATATATTCAAACGTGAATCTGCAGGGCGTAAGTCAGCGGAGAATTGGACCCTACACTATGTAGTGAGAGATTTTGAGGTACACATGGCGGCTCTCTTCGATTTGAGTTAAAGCACAATATTGTTTATAGCAACGAAGCAAATGATTCAAGCAATACTGGAGACCTGGCGCACTATGGCAATTCTAGTGACCGTCACTGCAAATGTGACAATAACAATATAAGCCATATCCCATGACCAAGCATTGATTGCATTCGGTAGTCGCTTACTCCTTCCCTGGACGTCCATTATGACATACCTATTATGATCTCGTTAATATGAAGTTGAAATAAATGCAGACACTGCAACCCACCATCTCTACGCTATTGCCTCGTGGATCAACAATGAACGCCCCATAGTAGTCAGGGTGATATTCTGGCCGGAGTCCCGGCTTCCCATTGCATTTCCCACCAGCCGCGATGGCCGCGTCGTAGAATGGGTCAACGGTCTGATAGTCTATTCCATTGAGGGTTGTGGTCAGATAGAGAAATACGTTCGAAACCTTGCAGCTAGAGCTTACCCGTTGCAGTAAAAGCGAAATGAACATTCTGAGGCGTCTCCGATTCCGTCTGCGAGATCCAGAGATCAGGAACTTCGTCCCCTAGACCAACTGCACCGGGGAACCGCAGCAGCTCTCTGTAATTAAGCGGTGCCAACGCCTTGTTGTACCATTTGACCAGGCTTTCGAACTGATCGGCTGGTGCGGTGATGTCGACATGGTCGATCTTGCCGGAGGGCATATACAGGCTGCTCGGATCGAAGGACATATTGTTAGGTCAATATTGAAAATTCTCTCTGTTGTACGGGCTACGATGTGCAAAGATTATGGGTTCGGCTCCATATTTCTTATCCCTACGGCCTTCGCTCAAGAACTCGAAAGGCGGGGTTTTAAGGTGGCTATACGAAGTCAACCAATTGTCCAGACCAGTGCCACTTGACGGATACGAGATGATATTTCTTGGCTCCCGCTGATATTATGTCACGTCTGCGATACGCGGTGCCGAACCAATGTGGGATGAGGCTAGATGCAGTAATTATATCCTGGTTTGAACGAACCACGGTAGCGGGTGACTAGCAGACGTGGTGTGACCTAGAGTTGAAGCATTGAAGTGGGCTATTTTGCATGGAGCTTTAGCTGGCCTGAGCAAGAAACAAATCACGATCTATAGATTCTACCATCGTACTAGGTAGGTCTACCAAGTATCCTCTTTCCGATATGTCAAGACTATTAGGGGATAATGAATAATGGCCTCTGACAATCAGTATGAAAGCTCGGGCGACTTGTTAATAGTTGACTATCAGGGTATTAGTGAATCTGGTTTGAAAGCTATTAAAAATGAACTGCCTGGTGATTTGGCTGTTCAAATGTACTTCCTGTTTTTATATGAAAATAATGCATCATTAACAAAGTATAAGTCTACTAATATGAAAACCTACACATACAAGCTGTATTATCCCTTAATTGGTCTTGTAGGCTTGTCGCATGTGAGATACCTCGAACGTATATACTCCGTAGGCACCATCCAGCCACATTTAGAACTACCTACCTGTAACCTAGTAAAAAGCAAACCCACTAGCCAGGTCTTGTATCTTAAAACTTGTTCTATTATTCATCTCCACATAATCGTGGAGGAGCCCCTTTCAAGCACATACGACCACAGGGTGTGGAGAACAGGGCTTCCCGTCCGCTCAGCCGTACTTAAGCCACACGCCGGCCGGTTAGTAGTTGGGTGGGTGACCACCAGCGAATCCCGGCTGTTGTATGTTTTTCTTTGCCTATTTTTTTATATATCTTTCTTTACATTTCTCTTCCCCTTCCTTCCTTCATTCTCTTTCTTTCTTTCTATTTTTTGTAAAAGATATCTTTTGAGAATATGGTAGCAATAATTCTTACATTACACCAAATCCTAGCCTCTCCCCAGCGACTTCTGCCTGCTCGGTAGCGGAAGAGCCACCTGGTATAATCTTAGTCGGTCTGTGGAGTAAGCCCGACCGAAGCCTACAGACGAAAATCTGCTCGAAGTCTCTTAAGGAACACAAACCACAATCTGGTTGCGGATAACAGAACACGGAATTCTGCTAAAAGAGACCTTTGGTATCACGAGGGGTTTCACAAGGGCTGTATCACGCTGTATGAACTTGTTGTCAACTTAGAATTACTTCATCGTGTTGGCAATCATACCAATATATATAAGCTGAGTGGACTTTTCTGCCTAATTTATCATTTCAGTTGTGTACTCTAGTCTGAGGCTGGAAAATATGATTTGACTTTTGCTTTCTCTAAGTCACAACGTCTAAGACCTTCCCAATCTCACTATATAATATCTTGTTGAGGGAAATATTGATGATTGCACTGATGGATTTGTCTCCATGCAAAAGTTAAATGCCCACTGTGGATATCCGGGCCATCCCGCTCCGCTAGCCCGCCGGGATATTAGTGCCCTTCAAGCCGTACCCAAGGCCTCAGTTTGCCATTGTCAGCGAAAGCTTCGACAAGGGCCAATAAGCAGGGAAAACAGAGTCTTAATGCGCGCATAGCTAGTCAATTGACGGCAGACAGCCTCAGCAGGGAACCATCTGCAAGCTACAGGTTCAATGCTACCGCGGCCTTGCTAGGACCCAAAGTAGCATCCCGGATTTCTGGGCGGAATTTCAATATGTGTTGTGCTGCCTTTCGCCATCCTAGGCAATGAATCTTCTTGGGCCTATCAAAAATCTGAAAAGATCTCCAGTAAGATATACAGCACTCTTGCACATATCCACGAACAGGCAACGGAGTCTTGTCGCCTAATCTACAAAAGCCCCTTGCATACGGGTCTATCTATATAGATGGAGGGGAAGACTACAAGACACCGTACTATGACCATCACACTCAGTACTCATTAGGCTCTCTACTCAACAAATCGTCTAATCCCATTTCGCGTCCCGAAATCCCCCAAACAATATGTCGTCCCAAGAACGAGCCCAGACCCACCAATTCGAACAGAAGAAACTCGCAGTATTCGGAAGAAGAAACGGCCAGATTCACACCGACTGCGACGACAAAGACGGTCGCCTTTCTCTGATGATCGCCTGTGTCTTTGGCTACGTGGACACCGTGCGAGAATTCCTGGATGAAAGGGCCCAGATCAACGGCATGAGCTACCGTAGTCCCGCTATGAAGAAAATGGTCGCGAAAATGCACTATCAACGGGCCTTTTCTTCCATCGTGCCTTCCGAGAAGTCAGCCCGAGAGAAAATGTTAGAGTTGGTGGCTGGACGCACGCCTCTGATATGTGCCGCCGAAGAAGGCTATACAGAGATTGTTCGCATGTTGTTGGAGAATGGGGAGGATGTTAACGAGAGGGATACGACCGAGAAAGAAAGGTCGCCGATTCATTGGGCTGCCCTGGAAGGACAAGCGGAGGTTGTCAAGCTTTTGCTGGAGAAGGGGGCGAATGTCGAGGCCCGAGACGTCAATATGGATACACCGTTGTGTTTGGCCATTACAACATCTAAGTCCGCGGTGGTGGATTTGCTCCTGAAACATAATGCCAAAGTCAATGTCAGGAACTCTGAAAGCCTAACCCCCTTGGCTATGTCGGCCGCAGTCAAGGTGCCTGAAGAACAAGGGCTCTCGGCGTGGAAGATCATCATGCGGCGTCTTATCAAAGAGGGAAATGATCTTGAAGCCCGAGTTGAACAAAGGGGCTTCACCCCACTGATGCTAGCTGCATCTCGAGGTCGTGTCGATGCAATGGAGCAGCTCTTGGAGGCCGGGGCTAACACTGAAGCCCGTGATTTCGACAATCGAACGGCATTGTTTCAAGCCGTGTTTTCGGGTAATCCTGGAATGGCAAAGCTACTCCTCGACCACAACGCTAGGCCTGATCATCTTGACAATCAAGGAGGCTCGCCGCTGGAGTATGCAGTGTCTCTCGGTAATAATTGTCCGTGCCAGCTTCAGGACAGTGCGATCTTCGACATGACAGGAGTAGTGGATATGCTCTTGAAAAGCAAGCCTGACTTGCTGTTCGTACAAAATAGACTGGAGATAACCGCAATCGGGTCAGCTATCGCCTACGGTAACCCGGAGATGGTGGAGCACCTGCTCAACTACCCAGGTGGCAACATCGATCAGGGTAGGATGCGCATGCCTCCTTTGTGTCAGGCTGCACTTCTGAGCAATGTAGCTATCATCGATGTCCTCATACAGGGAGGTGTGTCCCTGAAAGCTACGGACGGTCGCTTCGGGCGAAATGCTCTCTCCTGGGCAGTCACTGGGGGCAACAATGCTACTTTCACGCGACTTCTGCACACCCCTGGACTCGGAAGGGACGATGTGGACCGGATAGGCAGGACTCCACTCTTCTGGGCTATTGTCGGGGGTCATACGGCTTTCTTTGAGGAGCTCAGATCGCGTGGTAGCGACGTTCATCGCCCGGATCGATTTGGCCTCACGCCTTTGTTTGCGGCTGTTCAGCATGGTTACTGTGGCATGGTCTTGCAAATTCTAAAGTACCGTCCTCTCAAGCATGAGCCCAAGGATCGCTTTGGTCGCAGTCTCACATGGTGGATACGATTGACGGGGTTTACTCGAATGCGAGACGTTTTGAGTAGTTGCGGTATGCAGCTAAGTGGTGATGAACAGGCAGAACAAGGCCAGTTTCAGCTTGGGGAGGCAGAAAACAGATCCATGCAAACTTGCGACGTCTGCACCATGAACCTTTCTCGGGACAATAGAGGGGTTGAATGTGGTGCCGGATGCGAGAAGTACAGAATATGCCACATTTGTTGTGCATTTGGCGCCAGTTGCGAGGATTTTGCGAAATAGAAGCTTGAACATGTAATCAACATCTCGCACTATTTAGATAACTGATTCCAGAATACTCAGGTACTACTATGAGTTCCAATCCACGCCGCATGGGCAACGTTGGTTTCAGAATGTTGGTCTAGTAGGACAGGCTTTCCTCTAGTGGACTATGATCAACTGACTTAGTTATTGACGATAATAGCCTTTAGTAAGACTCAAACATCAGTGTTCAGGTATTAATTGTCGAGAACCTGCTCGGTATTTACCACTTAACTTTATTACCCAGTCGGCGGGCGAGTTTCCCAATTCAGTAAGCAAAGCCCTACCAAACCTGCTCCGAGATTATCGGTGCGTATTACGATGCCGTCAAGGATAAACGAAGTTTAGTGCTTAGAAGTTGCACAGAAAAGCCTCGGAAGAACTGGGAAGTAAGATTATTCATAACGCGCTATTCCCCCACCAGATTGTCACCATCAACAACCAAACTCGAAATACCACAATGTCGCCTATAATCTCGGGTGACGGGGCCCTTGCTGCCTTGTATGCTGGAAATGGGGTATGTCATTTTCACTGAATGTCGGCATCTTTAGCTAAATAGTATGGATGATTAGCTTTGGTTTACCAGGTGGGTTATTACGAAGTCGAGCGATAACAAGCGGAAGGCTAAAGTACTCGTGAAAAGTGCTCTGATCCACTTTGGATTCCGACAGAAGCTGATGATGCGCAAATTATCGAAACGAGAAGCATCATCTGATCCTATGGTCCGCTCTCTACGAGAAGGCGACAAATGGTAAGCACGCCAGCCAGTGGAATACGATACAAATGCACCAACATTCCCCCATAGGCATCATGACATCATGTCGTACCTAGGCGGCATAAACTCCGCGCCTGCACTGCTTGCCTTTCTACGTCTGTTGGCCATCTGGAAATCGCCACGCTTTCTATCGACTGGCACGAAGGACGGCGATCTCAAGCTCGACTTCATTGCGTTGCTCGTCCTTGGCATGGCGAACTTTTCACAGGCATTTTTGAACTTCACCACTTCACGCAAGTGTGGCAGGTGGATTATGGGAAGAGGCTTCGATCGTATCACCGTGCTGGATGCTTTGTTTACTGTTCTAGACTGGGGTGGTGCAATCCTGAAGATCCGGCTCGTACAAACGGTCTAGCTTGGTATGACGAACTGGCCAAGGTGCTATATAGCGCAATGCGCAGCCAAGTCTGGGAAATTGATATTCTAATCTTGTAGTAGCCTAATGGTTAAACGTTCCATACTAGGCATAAACTAAAACGGTTTTAGCTAGTAGAAGCGCACCTACTACTGACCCCGTGACAGTTAGCTGGGCAAAAGATTAACGAAAGATTTCCAGTTAAGCCCCAGGAACACATTATTTGTGATCTTTTTGTAACACGCCGTTCCCTACACACAGACGACAATATATGGTAGTTTGACTTTGAATGTCTGCAAGCAACGTCACAACCATGTTCAGTGCAGCGTGGAGATGCAACTATCACACATATATCTGGTTAATGGCCTGTATTTTCCCATTAAACAGACCCTTCCGTCAAGCGCTTCGCAACAATTTTACTTTTCCCAGCCACCAAGACTGCCAAGTCCCAAAATGTAACATTCCCCAGAATCTCGGAGACTGCAACCTCAGCCTGCAGTTTCGCCTCAAACCAGTTGCGCAGCTCGACCGCTACCAGAGAATCGACGCCGTAGTCATTGATCGACTTGCCCGCGTCCAAGTTCTTCAATGGAATAGCAAGTGCCTTACTGATCCGGTGGATCAAACACTGCGTAATCACCTCAACTGCTTCCTCGCTTGACCGAATGCTTGAGATCTGGTATAAGACATCCGCAGCGTCGTCTGCTTCCCTGCCACTGCCACTTTCTGAGTTCCCGGCATCCTGTATATTCCAAATACCGCCAAACAAAGGCCGATGCATCAGGGTTGGAACCTCGTCCCCTCGCGACATGATGTTTCTCGGTACCTCAACCCCAACTAGAACCTGAGCCTTTAGGGCGTCGCTGGAACCTCCAAAGAAGGATCACAGTGGTGCTCAAGAAGCGCAAACATGTTCTTTCGCGTGATCCCGATGAGATAGCCCGTTCCCATCAATACACCACGGACTGTGTCGTTGTCGCGCAACACGCCGTCATCCAACATCACGCCGAGGTTTAGCGTCGTCGCACGCTCGCCCAGCGTGTTCCGGTAATACGCGAATGCGTCCTGAAATGCACAGGCGGCAGAATAGTTGGCAGCTGCGGTGCCTCCTAAACCACCGGAAATAGAGGAGTACATGATGAAGAAGTCCAAGCCCTTGGGGAGTAGTCGATGGAGATTCCACGTCCCGGCGACCTTGCAGTCGACAGCTTCTCGCCATTCTTGGTATGTCATGTTCTCGAAGACCTTGGGCTGAGGGAAATGCGTCAGTTCCAGTCTACTGCCTAGAAGCAAATGGGAAAACGAAGGCTTACTCGGAGAACCATGGCTGATTGAATGCAACCTTTTACGGGGGGCATTTTCTCCCTCACCGTCTCCATCATTCCTTGGAGACGTCCACAATTGGCGATATCGCACGATTGCACCTCGACGTGGACCCCTTGTTGTTTTAGATCATCAACAACTTGTCTCGCTTCTGTCGTGGCCACGCCGGATCTCGAAAGCAGCAGGAGATTTCGGGCGCCCCTGTCAGCCATCCAGCAGGCGGTGGCACGCCCGATGCCTCCCAGTCCTCCAGCGACGACATATGTAGCGTTGGCATCGAAAGTCCAAGGGTGCTGCACCTTGAGCCGCGTCTGCATCATGATGTGATTAGCATCGACATAGCTCAATAGTCAGGGCGCAGAGAACGGAGTTTGAATATCTCACCTTGACACGATCATCTCGCCTGAATTCAACCACAGTCCTTCCAGTGTTCTGCCCGCTTTGCAAGTACCGAAACGCCTGCTCAATCTCATTACTGCCGTATACGTGAACGGGATGGGGCTGTTTGATGCTGCCCTGCGCAACCAACGATGCGATATCGCCGCGTAGACGCTGTAACAGGGATACTGGCCATTTATTTACGCTGGAAGGCTAGAAACCGTGATATAATGAAGGGATATTGGCCAATACCTAGTCACCAGCTATACAGATCCGCCGGTGAGACGGCGTAGATACATACATCAGACCCTCTCTCTCAACAATGTGCCCCCAAAATTGCCTTTTCCTCTCGTGGCACGTTAGAGGTTCGAATTGCATGCCTTATGCCAGGAGGGAACCTTTAAGCGAAGTGTTTTCATCCACATAAGCTCCCTTAACTCGGCAAAAGTAAAAGGCACCAAACTCTCTACATCCCTGGCCTGCTCAACCAACCCTTTTGCTCGGATAAGGATAGCACTCGAGGAGGGCGCTCCTCCCTGAGAAAACAAGATAATAGCGTTGGCACAGTCAGTGAGGATCTTGTTAGTCTGCGGCGCGTCTCGGAAGAAGAAGAAAAACGTGTGCAGCATGTTCTCATACTCCTGGAGTGTGACGGACACCCCTTGATGATGAGCTACCTGCGCCATCAGCCGTGCACCATCAACCTGTTGCTCTTGGCCTCCGGCCATCCAGATCGGACATGAACCTGACTAGTCCTCACAGGCTGCGGGGCTAACCAGCGGGTGAGCCAACATGGCTGCATCACAGTACACATCAGCACGTGGTGGGCTGGTAGGCCACAGTTGGCATGTAGGAAAGCTAGAGCGAAGATAGGGGCGATCTTCAATTGGAACGGGGAAGATATCTGTCGTCATGTTTCGCTCGTAGGACGGGATGCTGCAAGTGATGTCCGTGATTGGACTAAGTAAGGTCATTCCGGCCGGAATGGCAGATTCAATAGTCTTTCCATGGAAGAGGATCGATTTGTTCATGCGCTTAAGCCACAGAAGAATTTGCAGCAGGCCTAGGGCAAGGCTGGTACCGGAGCTATCAGCTGCAATCACGATGGATGACGGCGGAATGGTGTTGTGGGGGCACCCGGCAGGTGGCGCGAGTAAGGTCAAGTAAGCCTGGAATACATCAAGCAACGCCGCTGGAAACGGATTCTGCGGCGCAAGTCGCTGATGTACCATCAGAACCTTGGCCCCGGTTTTTTTGGCAAGTTTGCCTGCAAGCCTTCGATAGCAGGATGGGGTATTCAGCACGAAAGCACCTCCGTAGACGTAAAGAATCACCAATGAGCTTTTGGTTTCCGCATCCAGCTTCTGGAATTTAACGCTTTCAGGCAGGAAGGGCTCCGGTGTGTTTGCCTCGACGTTACGGCGGAATCCGACCCATTCAAAGTCAAGCTGCTGGTTGTTTGGGCGGTCATATCTGACACCTTTTTCATTCAGGTCATCAATCAGCGCTAACAGTAGCTGGCGGGATGTATCATATGTTGACTTTGGAAGTGCGAACTTGGCAACCCAGATTAGGCCTTTCACCGGATCATCTCTGAGCGTGGCAGCTTGGGAAACGGAGACTGGGGTGTTTGCAGCAAATTCGAGATATTGTTCTCTAATCCTTTGTGCTGCCTCCACGAGTTGGTTTTTGTCTTCGAAATCCATGATCAACTACTAGATGTTCGCAGACTCAGATGTGGGGAATGTTCGACAGTTCGGAAAACTTAGCAAAGGATAATGGTGGGGGTGCAGGCAGCCTAGAGAGCTCTGACAAGGTAACTAGCGAAAGTGAAATTTAACCAGTATCAGAGGTAGTTTCTAGCTGGTCCTCGAGCTTAAGAGTAACTGTTGAGCTTTCTACGGCACTCTTTCCGGCGTGATCTGCCACAAATGATTCAGAGGCTTTCGGTCTAGCTATCGTTGGAAGGTAAATGAGAGACATAGTCAATCAGTTGTGCATACTCCGCCGAGCATCTCACTACCCAAACTACATAAATCTCACCCCCGGGCCGGTTCTATTTGGAAGCTAGGCACGTTTCCTTTCACTGCTCATTTTCATGACCATCGTCTCATGACTCGTAAAAGAGTGCTGCCTGATTTTGGGAGGGAAATATAAATGACACGTCATAATAGTGTACTCCGTATATCGTATGTATGTGGTCGTGCAGGGATCTTGACTTTCGCCTTTGTTAGGTGGCGTATACATGCTTGGCAGCTGACGCTGGCGCGGCGCTGCTCCGCAGCTGCTCTTTTGTACGTTTTACTTTCCTCTAAATTCTCTACCTAACTGGATATAGCGTACACCGAGTACCGGTAGGTCCAACCCAAAGTGGCCGCACGGGAATGCACGCTACCGTCGCAAATCCTTAACTTGCCCTATGATAAAGAATTGCCACTCCACAAATGGTCACAGGCCAGGTGACGCAGGAACAGCACTTGTGTGAGCCCGGCTGACGTTCCGTTGAGTTTACTCCTGTATTGAGGCTGGTAGCCAGGGCGAAATGCGAGGTGCGTGTGTACCAAGCCTTGCCGTAACCCAATAAGATAACTGTTAGCTTATAAAGCCCAAAATGACAATTTTTCAACTGGCTGGTTGCAGATTGTTGAGGCCGGTTGGATGCATTACCCCAAACAAGTCAATGAGGTCGCACTGTACAGAGGCCCTCGCGTACGTTAAGAGATATGTAGATAATTTGAGATGTAACTAGACTAAGTGTTCTCTGTCACCTGAATGTCACGCCGCACATAGATCCCCGACATCCCCTGTTCACTTTCCCCTCGTGAAACCCTAGCTTGAACCAAGGAAATGGCGTCGCTGGGGCCTTCCTCCACTCCACAAAAATAACCCCCTCGTTTACTATGGTTATGGATTTGATTGGCGCTGAAGCTGCTGAGGCCCCGGTAAATGTGTGCATTGGGTATCGAACTACCCCGGCCCTTGCTGCGGAATAGGGATAGTAACGATGGGTATGTCGGCAAGCAGGCGCATATAATTGCAACGCCGAGGTTGATTACGGACCAAAGAGCGGCTTCTGCGTGGGCCACTGACTATATCAGTCTAATCCGTGATCTCTGGGAAATATACTTTCACCTACAGTGTCTCTCGCCTGGTCTGTAAACATAGGAAATTCGCACGGCTCCGGTGACAAGAACGCTATAGCGGGTTAATCTTGGGCGACAAAAAAGACATGCGAGGTCACTAACAAGGCACCCAGCAGGAAAATTCCCGCAACGGCGATTCGCTTTCCTAATGACAGATGAAGGCTTATGATCGGGGGTATTGGGAGAGAAAGAATGTTCACGTCGATCACCAGGTCTGCAAGTGTCATGATGAGGAAGTACAACCCAAAGTCAAAGCAATGACCGCCCGCGTTTGGATCCCATTACTGGCGCATAGGTCTGCAATAGAGCAGGTCGCTTATCACTCCTATGAAGCACCAAACTAGGCAGAGCGCAATAAGAAGGTTGTTGGTACGGCGAGATTTGTGGTTAGAGAATATGGGGCGGTAAAGAGATAGTATCGAGAGTTTAATGAGGGTGACATTCATGGCATAGAGGGGCGGGATGGCGTATAATGATTTCAAATACATGACCGTCTGTCGCTGGGACTCTGCAGTACCGTACTTGATCACCTGACGCACGCCCCCACCTGACGCACGAAAATCGATTCTACACCGATATTTTGAATATCTTTAAACCTCAATATCATCATCAATATGGCTCCTATTGACGAGGCGATTGCAGAATTAAATTCCCTGAAGCTTGAAGATAGACCTACTCTTATTTTTATTGCGAAAAAGTATGGAATTTATAGGTCAACGTTATCAAGAAGATTCCGCGGCGTTCAGCATTCCAAAGATGAGCAATATCAGGACCAACGATTGCTTAATGATCGACAAGCGAAAGTGTTTATTTCTAATATCAATCGATTGAGCGAGAAAGGTCTTTATATATCATTTGAAATGCTGCGAAATCTAGCTCACGAGATCTCTGGTAATCGTCTCGGAAAACAGTGGCTGAGCCGTTTTATAAAACGATATAGTGATGATCTTATTTTTCGCTATACAATTGGGATCGACTCCTCTCGAAAAAAGGCTGATTTTGTGTTGAATTATGCATTATATTTTGAACATTTGACTCGCAAGATTTCGGAATACGATATACAGCAGGGAGATATCTATAATATGGACGAGAAAGGTTTTTTGATCGGAATGTTTAGTAAAGCGAAGAGAATCTTCTTTAAATCATTATACGAGAAGAATGGAATGAAACAACGGCTTCAGAATGGAAATCGAGAATGGATTACAACGTTCGCCTGTATTTGCGCGGATGGGATCTCGCTATCTCCAGGTCTTATATATCAAGCAGCCTTTTCAAAGCTTCAAGATTCCTGGCTGCAGGATTTCGATCCTTCTTTTCATTCTTGCTTCTTTACATTCTCACTTTCAGGATGGACGAATGACGAGTTAGAATACGCATGGCTATGAGATGTATTCGATCGAGAGACAAAAGCGAAAGCGAGGCGGTGTTGGAGGCTTCTTATTCTTGACAGTCACGGATCTCATGTTAATATGAAGTTTTTCGAATACTGCGAGGCAAATAAGATTCTCCTAATGACTTATCCGTCTCATTCTACGCATTCGTTCCAGCCATTTGACGTTGGAATCTTCGGGCCTCTTTCTACAGCGTATAGTGAGAGATTGGAACGATTTCTTCATGAATTTCAAGGTCTTTGTCATATTACGAAAAGAGATTTCTTTTGTCTTTTTTGGCCGTCATGGGAGAGCGCTTTATCTAGTGAGAATATCGCTTCTTCGTGGAAATCGGTAGGCGTTTGGCCGTTGAATCCTGATATCGTCCTATCGCGATTTAATCGGAATGACGATAATCGGTTATCTTTTAGTGAGTCATCTCGTTCAGTGCTTGGTGCAGAGGATTGGAGGAAGATTGAGAGACTTCTTAAGCATGCAGTTGTTGACTTATATGATCAAAAGGCAAAAAAGTTGAGTTTGACGATGCATCATTTTTTTACAGAGAATGTTATCTTAAAATTACGTTGCTAGGGCCTTGAAGAGGCCCTTTTTCAAGAGAAAAAGAAGTGTCAGCGAGGCAAATCTCTTTTATCTGAATTACGGGCCCCTGAGGACGGCTACGCGGTGTTTTACTCTTTTAAGAAGATTCAGCAAGCTCGTGATCTTTAAACAGAAAGAGATGAGGCTGTACAGCTCGTTAAGGCTTCAAAAGAAGAGAAAAGGTTTTGTAAGCAGCAAGAGAAGCAAGATCAAAGGTTTTTAATTGAAGAGTGTAAACGAATCCGTGCTTCAAATCGAGAAACGTGGGTTCGTGAGGCAGAGACAAGAAAGTAGAAAAAGCGGGATGATCAGCTCGCTAAGCAAGCTGATATACAGTTTTAAAATGACTTCAATGTTGCTCAGACAGGCGAGAATAAAGTCTTTGTAACTCCAAAGGCAAAGAAATCGAGTGGTAGAGCTGCTGCAGAATCTGAGATTGTTGATGAGGTCCCCCCAACGCTTAATCGCCGCGGTAGGCAGATCCGCCTGCCTGAGCGCTTTCGGCAGTAAAAAATGTTGTAAATAGTTTCAGTATAATGCATTGATTCATCCTTCTAAAAATCTCTGTATAATACTGAATGTGTGTGGTTGTAGAGCTTCATTTCTATATAGGTGCTGAGGTAAAATTCGTGCGTCAGGTGGGGGCGTGCGTCAGGTGATCAAGTACGGTATTGTGGCCGCGGGAGTTGACTAAGCCGGCATTTCATCGCCTTGCTCAGCCGAAATAATCGACCAGTCAATTATTCAACATAATTGCTTCTTCCTGTTGAGTTGATTGATCATCATTTTGAAGCTCTAGGGATTGCATAAATACGAGCTGTATCGCATAGTTAGAAAATCAAGACCTTCAATCGAATCCGTGGAGATCACGTAATTCAGTGCTTTAGTCATCCCTGCCAAGCCCTCCAAACTGCCATAGGTATCTTGTTGGAGTACGGAGTTGACTAAGCAAGAGATCATCGTCTTGCTTGACCAAACTGATCATGCAACACGATTAATATGAATCGTATGATCATGCAATTCAGCTCATTTTATGATTGATCCTGAAGCCCCTGAGACTGCATAAATATCGGCTTCTTGATCATGTAGAGGATAACCTTCAATTCATTCGTTTTGATATAGTCAATTCAATTGCTTCATTCGATCGTTTTAGTGGTCCAATCCATTCAGATCCTTAGTCATTCTGCTTGCCAAGCCTTACCCCTTCCACATATCTTCATAGATTTGTCCGCTCCCGCGGGTATAGACACACACCATGATATTTGCACAAAAGGCAAAGAACGACCCCGTGCTTGCCAGAGCAAACCAGTCGTCTAGGCCGAGCGAAGCATGTTTAATTTGTCGGGCTTTGAAGCGCAGTCCAACGGCAATCAGCGAAAGGACTAGGAATAGGACGGTCACCACCACCGTGGTGTATCCGATCTGATTGAGACCCATAGTGTAGGAACGCGGATTGGATACCATTGGAAATAAAGTTAAGATAAAGACGCTAGCTTTTGGCAAAAGACTAATTCGGTTGATCGAGCATATATACTCCTCGAACTATGGCAAGCACGGCCCATAAAGACCCCACCATTACAAACACTCCATTGCATATAGAACTTGATTTTAGTCTCGCCCGGGCCTGATGCGAGGCAGCAAGGACTACTATGACCAGACAGAGAGGAAGAAAGGTAGCACCATGTCGCCGTGACTAGGCTTCAGGGATCAAGGGCTAACAGTGCTAAACCACGGGGGAATGACGGATGCTAGACCACTACTCCACATATGTCTTAGGGGCGCCTTGGTGGCTTGTTTGGTCAGGGGTGTGGATGGTCGTTCAAACCCCTGAGCGAGCCAGGGGCTCGACAAAGAGTTTTACCTATCCTCGCCACCCCCCATTCCTCCTCCCGATGACGCTTTCTTGATCAGTGGTAGTCATTGGTTAATCAATGAATGAGGGGATTTCTAGGTCCCTTTGTCGTTTCAAAGTGGACACACACTTCTTTGAACCCTCATACATGCGTGCGAGTAAGCCCTACAATACAAGGGCAAGGAATGATAATTAGACCCAATGTTTAATTATGATCTCAATTGGTAGAGTGCCTAGTCCTGTGCAACGATCTTTGATTAGCTCTGGGACCAGAAACCTTCCCAATCCCAGGGTTATTGACCGCAGTTACTTCTGTTTTTGCCACCTTGAGTATCACGATGCGCCCACCTGAGAGCCTCGCGGCCCTTTCGCAAGGCTGTGTCCGCAATCAATCATCACACATTTGGCCCCCCCCAGGTTCTGAGTGGTGGTGACGCTGCAGATATACGCTGGAGTACATGGACATTGGTTTAACACACCCCTCCACGTAGACCTCGCCTGTTGCCCAACTGGAATATCTTGTAACCCCACCCTTCCTCCCCTGCTTGCATTCTTTCCTACCCAGGCTGAAAGGTGGTTCAAAAAAGCACTCATTGAATCGCACCTACCCAAGTTATTCTTTCTTGTCAAACACCCATATTCACTGACCTGCCACGATGTTGGAAGCCCTTCGCATCCTTGGCCCTTATGCGCTGAGTTGGGGACTGGTTTATACGTCTTGCCTCATTGCCTATAGACTCTATTTGCATCCTCTCGCTGCTATCCCCGGGCCCCCATTGGCCCGAATCACCTACCTGTTCGAATGGTACTATGATCTCTTCCTTGAGGGTCAGTTTACAAACCGGCTCGCGGCGCTGCATCGGAAATACGGTAACTCTACTATCTTCCCTTACTCTAAACCGCACTGACGCAATCAAAGGCCCAATTATTCGTATCAATCCAAACGAAGTTCACATCAACGACCCTGACTATTTTGATGAGATATACAACCAGAAAAACGGCCGCAACGTGAAACCCCCAAATGTTGCGGGGGCATTCGGTCCATATTCAGGGGTGAGAACCGCGCTCTAGAAAATGGACATCCGGAAGGAATGAGGACTAATATCTTTCAGACAATAGCTACCGCGTCGCATGAGCTGCACCGCCTCCGACGCAGCGCTGTTACACCCTTCTTCTCAAGAAGGTCCGCCCAGAACCTACTACCGGTAATGCAGCGCCCCATAACAGCCCTCTGTGATCGGCTGCGCATGGCTGGTGACCACGGCTTGACGGTCAATCTAAAGTATATGTTCGCGGCAGTCAGCCTGGACATTATCAACGATTATTGCTTTGCTAGGGACCCTGTCTACATTCTTAAGTCTGATTTCGGGGAAGTAGGGTTTGAGAATATCGATAACTTTCTGAGGATGAGCTTTCTGGTGCGATTGGAACCAAATCGACTCAACCAACAACCCACGTGAAAATGGACTAATGGCGAGTTAGAACATTCATATCCCATGGCTCATACGTCTCATTTACTCCCTGCCAGTAAGGCTGCAACCTTTTTGTTCTCTCCCAACCTGAGACCCTACTCATTCACACCAGGACCGCATAAAAAGAATACTCGCCCCAAAGATGGCCGATACACTAGACTCCCGGCTTGTAAGCACATATACCAAAGATACTCGTGTCTAATGAAAGCTAAACCAGGAGACTAGAAATTATCGCGGCAGGTGGAGGCTATTCGTTCTGGACGAGACAAGGCGTACGAGCAAGCCGACCATCGCACCGTTTTCCACGAGCTTTTCAATAGCAAGCTCCCCGCAGAAGAGCTAAGACGAGATCGAATGCGTGATGAAGCCTTCACCCTCATAAACGCCGGTTCAGGTACCGTGTATGACCAACCCTCACCCCAGTCCTTGCGCGTGAGCAATGCTGATGGATGAACCAGGGCCACGGTCTTGCGATGCACAGTCTACCATGTAGCTGCCAATGAGCCAATCCGGATGAGACTTTACGACGAGCTCAGCGCAGCAATACTTGATCCTACAGAAGCACTTAATCTTCTAACACTCGAGCACCTTCCTTACCTCTCCGCGGTAGTTAACGAAGGGCTACGTCTTTGCTGTCCTGTTACCCATCGAATCTCGCGCCAATTCCCCGATCGGACGTTCATATATAACGGTTATAAGATCCCCGCTGGGTCTACTGTTTCCTTGACATTACCGCTCTTAATGACGGATAAAGCGATCTTCCCATCGCCGCTAGAATTCCGCCCTGAGCGATGGATGGATGAGGGGAAGCGCTTGGAGAAATACCTCATCCCTTTCAATCGAGGACCGAGGATGTGTCTAGGGTCTAACCTTGCTCGAGCTGAGCTTTTCCTTATTCTCGGGGCAGTCTTTCGGCACTTTAACTTTGACGTTTCCTCTGTAATTCGCGAGAGGGATATTGATCTCAGCCGTGACTTTTTACTAGGCGCCACCGCGAAAGACTCTAGGGGGATATCCGTCAAGGTTCTGAACTGTTAATTGGCTCTTCCAAGTACCTTCTTACAGCGTGTCATCGAAACTAAATAGCTATTCACATGCTCCCAGTTCGTAACAGTATCTCACTATACTTGGACGTCGGGCGGCTCGATTCCCAGGACATTCCCCGCTACTGGCCTCTAAGCTGAACCCGAATGTTCATACCTGCATTTTTCTTCCTATCACTGATTTTACACCGGAGGTAATCCAGGAAAGCCTATCATGTAGCAAATGGTCGTGTTGGAGTTACACATGAGCAACCGTGTGGGGCTCAATGACTCGTATGGAGTCCAACGATGGATGTGTCACAACCCTCGGAGGTGGGCGCGTGACAGGCCTGCCCTATGTTACATTGGAAACGCTTTGTACACTCGGGATCGAGGCTGATAATAGCCGGGACAGGTCGCTAAGCCGGGTTTGTGCATGTCTGACATGTAGGAAGCAAACGACTAATACCTAGGAGTTATGTATATAGAAACAAGGAACAGGTGAGATTGCTCCGGTGGCTTTTCCAACAACTGCTATGCTTGCCCCTACTATCTAGTCCTACCATTCCCATCCATGCTAGTGTAGTTTAGAAAAACACCAGCTGGCCCCTAATATAGCGTCAACCTCCTTGACTACGTATTGTGGTTTCACCGTAATGTTTCTTACAGACTGTTTGCCAACTTCTATGAGTCCAATGAAAAAGTTTATGGAGAACCACAATAAACACGAACTATTTATGCAGTGCCACCGCTGTAGGGGCGAAGCAGCCTCGCGCTATTTATTCGTCCGAGCATGGAGTTATCAGCGCGAGCCGCGGGCATTGAAATGCGTTTTCCAGCTGCAAGACGTATGCCGGTTAGCTGAAACGGCTTGGGTAATCTCGGGCCTACAGGAATGCCCCTTCCGTTATCTCACCTGTCTCATCATGACCACTCGCAGAGCCTTCAAACATTCCCTGAGGCGCATTGTGCTTCTGTGTGTAGCAAATACCAAGGCCTTAAGTCTCGTTCTGTATGTCAGCCCGAACCATGCAACAAGAGCCGCAGTATGGGTGACTGCAAGATACAAACTGAGCTGAAACTTTCGCACAAAATAAAAAGAAAAAAGTCTTTTCGTAAGGTTGAAAGAACAGAAAGCAAAATGACTAGTAACTTTCAAAAATTGCATTTGTGGCGGTTCCTAAATAAAGACTATGTGCCGCGGCGTCCGATCAGAGATTTTGATGTGCTTGCTGAACAGTATCTCCTAGCTCAGGCACGATGGCTTTGTCAAAGCAGGTCACAGACCCTCCGATTGAGAACACGAACTTAGAGCTACAGTCTGCAGAAGGTCTGGTTGTTAGTGCACATCATGACGAGCCTACTTTGTCTGGTTGGCGATTGAAGCTACTCACAATCGGGTACGTAAGTATTGAAAGATAGTAAATATTCTTTCACTGGCTTATTCTTTTGCAGGCTTTGCATTTGTTGCTTTCTCTCCGCGCTCGACGCTATAATCGTCACGACCGCTCTTCCAACTATGGCAAGGGACCTACAGGCCTCCAACGAGAGTAGTTGGGTAGTGTCGAGCTACTTAACATGCTATTTCAGTACTCCCACCGAAATTATACTAGATATCTGCTAGCAGCTAACAGTTGGCAGGCTTCATGATCATTTGGGCAAAAGCGAGCGACTTCCTCGGTCGAAAGCTCATGCTTGTCATTGCTGTTCTTCTCTTCCTGGCGTTCTCCGGGGCTTGTGGCGGGGCTAGTAATAGCCTTGAGCTGTACGTCGCTGCCAAACAAAGCATCACTTAGTTCCGTAGCTAACCAGGACTCAGAATTGTCTTTCGAGCCTTCCAGGGTATAGGTGGTGCTGGAATTTTCAGTATGGTGCCCATAATCGCGGCAGAAATGGTCCCTCAAGACAGATACGGACCATACAATGTTGCCATATCATTGACAATTGCGCTCAGCTACTTGCTTGGGCCTTTGCTTGGAGGCGCAATCTCAGACAACACGACCTGGAGATGGATTTTCTACATCAACCTGCCACTTGGCGCCAAGGGTCTTCTACTCATTTATGTCACCATGCCCGCTGCATTTCCCGATGTGTCGAATCCCGCGGCGCTATGGGTGTCCCCGAGCGTCACAAATTATCAGGGGAAAATTGACTACCCCGGATTCTCTATACTTCTGGCCACCTCTGTACTTCTTATTGTGGCGATTGAGGAAGCGGGAATTGCTTTTTCCTTGGATTCGGCTATTGTGGTCGTCTTTGTTACTCTGTCGGCTGCGCTCTTCGGTGCCTTCCTCGTTTGGGAGTGGTACTTGTATAAGTCCCGATTAAGCAGAGAGCCCGTATTTCCGTGGCAATTTACCAAGAATCGAGTTTTTATGGGAACGTGTCTGTAAGACCTCCTTCTGTCCTCCCCTTCTCGATTCAACCAGACTTACCCGCAGAGTAGATCCGCTCTCTTGTCAGGTGTGCCATACACAACGCTCGTAGTAGCATTACCCGAAAGGTTCCAGAATTTGAACAACATGTCAGGGTTCGACGCAGGGGTTCGCATCCTACCATTTACGGCGACGCTGGGCCTTGGTGCGGGCTTAGCCGGTGGTTTGACGACCGGTGCTCGCGTGCCGCCTTTTCTGATCTTTGTATCATCTGCTATTCTGCAAAAATTAGGCCTGGGGCTTCTATATTCAGTTGATCCAGCCATGGCCACGCCCTTGCCAGCAAGGTTATATGGCTATCAGATACTATCTGGACTGGGAATTGGGGCAAGTTTGAATGCCGTGATGTCGGTTATTCCGTCGCTCGTTGCGGGAAAGGACTTATGTGAGTTGTATACATAAGCACCATCACTAGTCAACATATAAACTGACACAGTCTTTTCTCTTTCGGTTTCTAAAGCCATCGCTATGGGCACGGTCACACAGCTACGAATCTTAGGTGGTGCCCTGGGTGTCTCCATCTGCACGAATATTCTAAGCGACACGCTAAATCGACTGCGCGACGATCTACCATCAGAAACAATGGAGCGCATAAATCAGGATATATCTATCATTCAGACACTCCCCGCTCCCGAGCAAACAGTCATTGTTGCCAGTCTGGCAGATGGGTATAAGCGGCAGCTGCTCATGGTTCTAGGATTCTCTGCTGCTCAGTTGATGGCTTTGGCGCTTTTGTGGGAAATGCCACTTCGAAAGCTGTAAGCAATCGCCTGGGGAATCTGGTGTCGGGCCATCTCGACCACAAATACGTACAATATCGCTCTGAGTGGAAAGATGGGTGGTAGGGTTATCACGATGCAATAGAATAATCAGGTGATGAATCAGAAGTATTTCAAGGCATTTTCATGGTACACTTTTTTTTTCGAGCGGAACCGCTGCCAGGATAAGATTTGTACATGATCTAACGATGGAGTATGCTATGATTGGTTGTCAGATAACTCGGAGCTACGAATATAGCCAACGCACCCCAGAAAGAGGGTGTGAGTTTCAGTCCTGCTTTGAGCCTGAAGTAAACCTACGCTCCTCACCACCCGACCACGAAAGGTACGATCATTACTGTGACGATCTCTCGAAAGGAGTAAGAAGTATATTACGTGTAACTTTCGAAGGAGAACCATAGTAGGCTGGGGGCAGCATTTCGAAAAGGTGTACCGCCAAACCTGTGCGACCTTGGTCGGCATCGGCGAGTCGTCAATCACTCTTGACCTTCATCTATGATGTGCGTAAACCAGGACTCAAGACCGGGCGCAGGACGAAGACTTCATATTTACTTTTGGCTTTGAGTCTCTGTGCGAGCTAACAAGGTAACCTTCCCACTTCCACATTATTTTATGGATGGCTTGACAACAAGAGAGACAAATCAGTCACGCGCCCAAGTGCGAAACAGGTCCGGAATAATGACTGAGGATCGCGAACAAACGAATAGCTAATGCTTTTGCTGACAATGAAATCGAGGATCCACTTGCTACTCAGATGTATGATGCTTTGGAGGAAATGGGTGTCATGTCTGCTGGACCCGGAAGTCCACAGGAGCTTCGCTATAGAGGCTTCCGAGGAAAGCCTTGGGCCGAACCAAGTAACTGTGTTATCTTAGCTTCTGATGACATTCCCTGTGTGTAAGCTTTTCTTTCCTTCTTTCTTTCCTTTTTTCTTTCCTTCTTTCTTGCCTTGATTCTTTGTTTTTTCTTTCGGACGCGGGAAAGTATAGAAAGACAAACGAATCAGGCATAGAAGGCTTTATTTAGAAAGCGTGGCTCAGAAACATATCATCAAGTAAGTATTTATGTGATCAATGCCACAATTCCATGTCGAGAGAATTCGGCTAGCGGGGTTGACGTGATCGACTCTTTCAGTAGATAAGACCACCCTCTCGCAGATATTCGTCTTGGCCTTAGCGCAATGGCAATCTAGGCTCTAGGGCTTTCCCGCATGAAGCATTGCCCAGATGCCTTTAGCGCGCCAACTTTGCTCTCTGGCATGCCTCACGGCTGACGATTATTGGTGCAACTAATCTAAGGCTCGGAGATAGGTCCGTTTCAAGCTAAACAGGCCTGTCGGCAAATATCAATGGACACTATCTCATGTGGGGTTTGTTGGAGATGCGGTGTTTCGTGATATGACACCACTCACGCGTGATACTGGGAGATAGTTGGGGTTGATGATATTTATTTTGGGATGGAAGAACAATATCTTTCTTTTTAGGGGGTCTAAATGAAAAGTGTTTCTTGAACTTCTATTTACTGTGTCTTGTGTTCCGTTTAATTGGGCTTTCTTCTTGTTACCTGTCCTGTTGCGCTTAAGATGGGGAAAAACCCATGGCAGTCGGTCTGCTCGTCCTGCTACTCATCTTGTACCAGAGAGGAAGTCTAACCGGTCGCATAGTTCCGATCCTTTATATGGGATACAGACTCCCATCTCAAATCACCCGAAGAGCGATGGCTATTGAGAAAGTTGGATATTGCGCTTCTCACGACAGGATGTTTAGGGTTTTTCGTACGCAACCATCGAATGACCGACTTAGGAAATCGAACAGAAACTGATATGCATGACCACTTCTAGTTGAAATATCTCGATCAAACAAATCTGTCAAATGCATACGTTAGGTAATTACATACCGTCAACTGCCTGAGGCGTTATAATGAGAATGAAGCTAAATGTCTTGTTCAGTGGAATGCAAGAAGATCTTGGGATGTACGGGAATGAGTACACTTATGCTGTAAGGGATTGTTAATTCTCCGGCGATCCGATAAATCTCGCTGACAAGAAGTAGGGAACGTGTTACACTGTCGCCTATGCAATCATGCAAATCCCCTCGACATTGATCATTCAGAAAGTCAGGCCACGGTACTGGCTTGCGGCAATGGAAATCGGATGGGGCGTCTTCACAATAGCACAGGCTGGTATGCATAATGTTGGAGAATTATATGCCTTTCGATTCCTTGTCGGTTTGTTCGAGAGTTCTTTTTTCCCTTGCATGCTTTTCGTGTTGGGATCATGGTGAGTTCTGCTTGGTCTACGGTGGGTGGGGTATGAAGGTCAAAAGCTAATAAGACATAGGTATACCAAGACCGAACTGGGTAAGAACTTCCTCTTATTATCATCAGCATTCAACTGACGGGAATCTAGCAAAACGCATTGCCATTCTCCACATGACTGCTCCATTGGGTTCCGCTTTCAGTGGATATTTGGTGAGACCCGCTTAGCCTGGTTGTCCAAGATGTCTTGCTGACCAGATGGAAATTTATAGCAAGCTGCCGTATATAAGAATTTGAACGGAAATCACGGTCTTGAAGGATGGCGTTGGCTGTACATTGTGTGTGGGGTACGTATCCCTCCTCACTAACACGATTTATATCTCCCCCTATTAACCTGATCGCAGTGCATGACCATCCCCGTCGGCGCGCTCGCACTCTTTTGTTTCCCAGACGTTCCTCACAACACCAAGGCGTGGTTCCTTACCAGCCAGGAGGTTCAAATGTGTCTTGACCGTGTTGAGCGATCGGGAAAGGCGCCTCCAGCCAAGTTGTCGTGGGCTACCTTTCGTCGTGTGGCGAAGAAATGGCGTATGGTTCAGAAGCTCTCAGGGAGATATTGCTAGACCTAACATCACAATTGTAGGATGGTACGCTTTCACACTGGGCTACGTGCTATATGGCTCGTCTTGCGCAGCAAGCAGTTACTTTGCCATTTGGCTGAAGTCCGAAAACTTCTCGGTGTCAGACCGCAACATTATTCCTACCGGCACAAATCTTATTTCCGCTTTCTGTGTGGTTCTGGTACGTATATCCCCTTGACTGGCCTTTGCTGGATATAATTGCGGTCGCTAACTGAGTGATCCAGTGGGGATTTCTAGCCGATTTCACAGGGAACAGATTTGCGCTGGTGATTTTGCCGTTGGTAAGAACTTTTTGATGACATCCTATCACTATTCTTGACGTCGCTAATGGGTCCGAAGACGTACGGCCTTATTCCAAACGGCATTCTGGCAGCGTGGCCCGCTAGCATCAAATTGAAGGAGTTTGCCTTCCTAACGGATGGGGTCCAGCTAATGACAGCCATCTTGTAAGCTAATTCCATTGCCCAATTGTTATACGGACAGTGTATAATTAACGTGAATTCCAAACAGCTATACATGGGCCAATGAAGTATGCGCCGACGACAACGAAGAACGAGCTCTGGTAGTCAGCAGTATGAATGGATTCCAGTATGCGGCACGTAAACCATCGCCAATACATTATTCTGTGATGAGATCTAACTAACGTCTATTGCGCCCTTTAGGTGGCTGCATGGCTTCCCATTGTCATATTCCCGCAGACTGAAGCACCTTCATTCCGTAAGTTCATCCTCATTGCTCCTGGTATCTCTAGGCCGCGCTGACCATCTTCTGCCGTTCAGGCAAGGGCTTTCCTGCTACGTTTGCCTTTGTTATCGCTGCACTTATTTTAATCGTAGCCATTCAGCTTCTCGCGGTCCGAGAACGAAGACTCAATTCTTCAAAGCAGAGAGAAGATAGTTCGGTAGGAGAGGGTGACGTCAGGTCTCAGCAGGGAGGATCTGATGATGAAGAAAATAATAAGGTAAGAACCTCTCGGCGGTTACCTTACTGAAAAGCCACTAATATGAGCGATGTTGCATAGGTTGCCAAGACAACTGTATCTATTCAGAAGGATACTTAAGCAGCTTTCTTCTGGTGATAGCAAAGACACAAGCTGGAATTATCAAACGACCAAAATTGCCTATCTGAACGTCTGAAGTGATCAATAAGGGTAGTTTGGTCGATATTATTGGTCTGAGCCCTTTATTTGGAGCTAGAAAAATAAGGCATGAATATACCAGTGAGATAGCAAAGCATGGCTTCATAGGTGCCGAAAATAGAGAAGTATTTGTCGAAGCCAAATAAACAGAATATTCTAACAACATAGACAGTTTCTCACTCATTCAAAGTTTGATTTGAAGGCCAGCTCCCGCCTGCGATAAACTACAAAACATCAAGCTGGCTCCAAATGCTCTTAACCTAGGTATAAACGTAGCAAAACGGGCCCCCCGTAGTATCCGAAAGCTGCCTTAGGGTCTGCGGCGGCGCCAAAAAGCTCCCCATGTCCACCACATCATCTAATGTAGCATTGATAGACACTCCATCTGGCGTCCAGAATCCAGTAGCTCCGTTAACCTGGTACGTGCGCTTCACGGGGTCTTGGTTCTGCCAAGTCCAGAAGAGCCGATCGATAGCGGCGTGGTGGAGAAAGAATGCTGGGTCGCCGGGGGAGGTATAGAAGTCCTATGTGTGGTAAAAGTATTAGCTGATTACTTTATAAGCGACTAGTAGAAGGAATCGGAATGTTATGGGACTTGGAAGGGGTCATACTCCGCCAGGATCACCACCAACGGTGAAGTGCCCTCCCGAGTGGACACCTAGGTAACCGGGCGTAGCGACCATGCCCTGCAGGAGGGTCTCGAATCCCCAGATATCCTTTTCTTTGAATAGATCCATTACAATTTCAGTTCTGGTCCACTCTGCAGCTGCGATATTAATGTCACGTCGGAGACACCGGGGGTTGTAGTTCAGTCCGGATCCGTTCTGTGACTCAACTCCGGGTACCTTCAGGCTGGACCAGACAGGACCGAGGTTTACGACCCAGCTGATGGTGAAACAATTAGCTACATTAGAAAGCTTATGTAAAGGGATGAGACAAAAAGAATCTAGGACTCACTTTTTGAAAGGGCCCTTCTCAACACACCCTCCACCGCTTCCAGATGGTATAAACACCCCCGGCGCGATCTCGGTATCATTATGGAGGATATATGCTCCATTCCCAGAGATGCTGTACGGAGAGCCATCAAACAGCGGAGAGCTCAGTGGGTCGTCGGCATACTTATTCCACGCCCAATAGGGCTGGTAGCCCTTGTAACCGCATTCATTGCGCAGCGCTTGCTCGTAAGCCCAGGTGAAGTAACGGTGCCAGGTTAGGAAATTGCCCTGGTTTATCAGTAGGTGCTCAGTAATCGAAGATACCAGTTGTACTGAGGAGGCTCATACTGTCCCGTGAATGTACCACGTCTGATTAATGTGTGTGGCAACGAAATCATCGTGGCGGTTCCGTGCACCAGGAGCAAACGAACGAGGAGACTTGGATGGTTTAGATGCCAGACACAATGCTGCATCGATGTAATTCTTTCGTTCTATCTTGCTTAGAGACCCCCTTTCTTCATAGTTAGCTCATCTATTGTCCTGAACCAAACAAGTTTGAGTGAAGGAGGTATACCATTCCCGTCTGACACTCGCTGTGTGAGGGTTACAGTTGTTTCCACCATTGGGGTCTGAATTATGGTAGTGAGCTTGCTTTGCTAAGGAATTTGCTGTCAGGGCGTCCCAGGGATCAGCTTGGGAGGGCGCTGCTGATGATACAGCAGTGAATGCCACGAGCGTCCATAAAGCTGATAGACGCATGATTATGTTTGTCGCCTTACTAGGTTTACCTACAGATGGCGTGTAGGGAGCCACTGTCTAGAAAGCAAACGAGAACATTTAAACTGTCGATGGCGGGTTCCGCTCTTATAAGCTGACCTGCTCACTTGTGGCAAAGGCTCTTCCTGAATCCATCCTGCCGCACGGACTACACTGCAGGAGCGGGATAATGGACCTATATCAGCCATGACTCCTATAATAATTTAGACTGAACTTGATGGCGCAGGAAAAGAATTCATAATAACTCTGAAATCTGCTGGGTTTGAGAGTAACCTTTTGGGACATTAACCTCCTTTCTTTGTCTCTCAGAGTGGGCGCCTTATCTTGGAGAATATCCCATTTGACCGATCAGGAAGCCATATGTAAAACGACAGCTTGGAAAAGACCACATCCCACAAACGTCTCTAATTCTAGACAGTAAATCTGAGTCCCCACGGGCCAGCCTAGTAAGATCTAAGGGAGTCTAATAAAGTGCACCACTTCCCAATTACCGTGGATGATTGGTGGACTGAAAAAACCGTATCCTACATTCCGAGCCCTAACACATTTAGAGACGTTTAGAGCCACCCCAGGCTGCACATAAATTTAAATCAATCTAATCTATGGCTCACCGTTAAAACCCTGAATCTGTGGGCCAATCGCTCCGAATGGCTAAGATGCACTAAACATTTGCACTAGCTCCCGATTTGCTGCCAAGACGTGCCTTATTAGCCTCAATACCGCCAGATTGCCAATATTATTCCATGGGCAAGGGAGCTATTGGTCTCCTGCTCGTGTTTGAAAAACGCTACTGTGTAGCGTGCCCATGCTGAAGCTGTTGGGCAGAAAGACGGACTTATGGGGGTTCCGTTATACCATCCCCATGTGCACTATCCATTCCAGATGGCTAACACTCAAAAAGCCATTGTAGACATGAACTTTGTTGCAGCTCATTCCGGGTTTAGGAAACAGTAATCTTCTAGCAACTAGCGCTCTTTGCTCAGATCACTCAACTTACTTGTCGTCTCACGCATGGGCACGCCGCTTTGCAATATATATCATCCAATGTGCAGGTCTTATATCCAAGAATGCGGCGAGGCGTCAAAAATATCCACAAAGTGAGTAGAAGAACAAGACATAACCGCAGACCATAATAGTAGATCCTATGACGAGTTCTGTAATCAATCCATCGCTAGCACTTTTTCCTTTTTGACATGCGGTAACAATCTACAATCGTCTGAAGACCTCTAACAGCGAGTATTGCCGCACGAATTAGTGACTCGGTATATAGGTTTGTCTAATCTGGTAAATAAGGATGGGAGCATGGGTTGAAATCTATAATTTGGACAATCGGTAAAAAGTGAAGATGACATTTCGATTCTTTAAGACATATCTAATTGTACAATGCATAATTCGTCGATTACTAAATTATTAGTATCGTCGGATTTATGCAGGCCCCACATATGATGGAAAATAGACAGCTCCTTGAAGATGATCATCCAAATGCAGATGACCTAGACTTTCTATCTACTGCATCCCAGCCCTCTGGAACCAAGATCTGGGCGACCTTGACTGAGGGTGGATTGTCGGCAGTCATCATGACGCGCCCGAACCCGATGATGTCAGTGACTCGGCAGCTCATATGTAACCCTGCAAGATCAACGTAGTATGAATGTCGAAGACTTGAATTTCCTGTCGCACATCACTGTCAATTGAGCTTTATTGTTCTGTTAGACAAAGCATTAACGTTCCCTCGTTTTGATCTCCGGTCTCTAAGAAGCAATTATCCATATTACCGCATCTTCGATCGCAAAATGCCCGCCCAGGAGAAATACACCGACCCCGAACTCCGCGACGAGGTCAAGGAAGAAGTCAAGCAGGGCGATAAGGGCGGAGCACCGGGACAATGGTCGGCTAGAAAGGTAGTCCTTCATCATTCTTGCTTACAACCCACCGTGCTCTTTGGCCATAGTTAACACCATATAGGCACAATTCATGGCTTCCGAATACAAAAAGCGTGGAGGAGATTACAATACCTCCAAGGAAGAAGGAGACAAAAAGGACGAGTCCCAGCGGAGTCTCAATCAATGGACAAAAGAAGATTGGCAGACAAAGGAAGGCTCAGGGCATGCGAAGCAAGACGATGGTACGGAAAAGCGCTATCTGCCGAAGAAGGCCTGGGAGAAAATGAGTGATGAGGAGAAGAAGGAGACGGACGAGAAGAAGCAACAAGAGTCGAAGGAGGGGAAGCAGTTTGTTTCCAATACCGACAAGGCACAGAAGAAGAGAAAGAAGGCGACGGAAGAGACTGAAAAGGAAGGGGAAGGGGAGGATTGCGAAGAACAGGATAGACAGGAGGAACAAGACAAGAAAGAGTCGAGATATGATGGCAATGCGGAGGACGATAGCGATGATCAAAAAGAAGATGGCTTGGAACAAGGCCAGAAAGCCTCCAAATCCGAAGATGAGGAGATGGACGATGGCGACGATGGGGAAGAAGATGATTTGGGACAATATGAGAAAGCATCCAGGTCTGATGGTAACGACGGGGAAGATGGCGAGAATCACAGGGAAGACGGTTCAGCACAAGATGCGAATTCTGACGGCGAAAAAGATTCCAAGGCTCAAAAGGGCGGCAAGGGGGGAAAGGATCAACAGAACCAGAAAAAGCAAAACAATCAGAAAGCCGAGGCTGGGACCAAACGTACTTCCGGCCAAGAGAAGACTCCAACCAAGAAGCCTAGGACACGCCAGGACAGCAAAGCTGAGAACAAATCGAAATAGTTCTCATTGAAGTGGGCCTAGGTTAGATAGTTTATCTGCTGTAATTTTCTATGAACGTGAACATACTCCCACTGAACCTTTTGAGATTTAGGTTAAGATTTGCACTCTCATATGGACCTTCTGGGTTGTTCATACTGTTCTGCTTCATCGGACCATATGTTCAAGTCTTTTGTTCAGGGGTTTCGAGACACACTCATTTGGTGGTAGCCTTGTCTCTATATTGTGGTAATAACTATTATTAGGTTATATATTCTCAGAGAAAACAAACAATCAGAGGCCAACACCTACGCCTCAAAGATCTATATCATACTACCTAACCAAAAGGTAGATCCCCGTTGATCAACGCGGCCACGATCTACCCACAGCACCAGAGCTTGCACTAAGCGATCGACTCTCCACGTCCTGCTCGATCGCAGTGTGGACCGTGATCCCACGTAGCTCAACATCTGAACTGCATCTACCAGTGGGCTCCGTTGTCACCGTCACATTCTTGTTCGCTCTCAAATTATGAGGATCGCTGATCTTATGAAACCCGTCTGGGGTCTGGCTGGCACTGTGCATGTAACGAGGCGTGCGGGAGGTTCGAGTAGATTGGCCTTTCACCTTTCCAAGGAAGCCATGCATAAGGGGCTTGAATAATGGTAGGCAGCCACAGATGATGGCAACGTCGAGTTCTAGGGTGGTCCAGATGGACTCTTTGGCGCTTGATGCTAGAGTAAGGAGAGCTGTTAGCTTTCTGGGAAAGAAAAGGTATTTCATGAGGGAGGAACTAACCCGCAAGGTCGTTCGTATGGAAATTATTAAACTCGATGACTCGCATTAGACTGAAAATGCAAACTCTGCACAATGGTTAGCTCAGCGACGATGATGACAAACATGTGGAAAGACGCACAAGGCACCGAGAGAAAAGACTACCGTGAGTGTCATTTTTTGCCGAGTGGTTATTTGCAGCCCCCAGACGACTGGCATCGGTAAGACTAAGATTACCATGTCTTCTACCAAAGACAAGGCGGCCGATGTTTGGAACAGCTTTGTCTGCCCGGCCATGCAGTGCCCGTTCATTCGCGTGTCGTAGTAATACTGGACCGGCCAGCATTGAAAGATATTTCCGAATAACTCGGTCAAGGCCCAACACACGGTGAATACCATAAGACAGGTGACTCCAACTCGGATCGACCTGAGAGTCCCAAGTAATCGCCTCAGGAACACAAGGATAGAAAGTTTGACAAAAGCCATTGAAGGTGGCCAGAACTTCTGGATCATCCATGATCCCTGGAAAGAGTTGGCATAAATTTGGCAGCCAAAGAGACATATACACTTACGAACTGGAGGCGAATTCGTTCATCCTGTGGCAGCTCGTCACCTGGAACACCCACACCATTAAATGCAGCTGCACGACCGGTAAGTTTCGGGGTAAGACATACAAATATGCACTTACTGACTGTAAATGACAAAGGCGGTCGCTCCATACGATAGGAACAATCCGATCCCCATCAGTAGCTCTTCTAATCGCCATCCGAACGTGGACATTCGGCATGCGACAAGTCGCAGGATGTATACGAATGTTGCGACCGCTGCCCCCACCACGGGGACAATAGTGACAACATTTCCCCAGTAGGCGTTCCGAATAGCCATGGAAAGAGTCTATAGACAGGGATAAAACTCGATCCGAAAGAAACGAGGGTCGGTTGTGTTTACTTCGGACATAGGTCTGGGGGTGTGCGATAGTCCGAGCCTGCCAGGCACCACCGAAGTTAAGGAAGTCAAAACAAAACATTCTTTCTTCGCTCCCCTGGAAGGATACGATTAATTTAATTGTTAAATTAACAGAACGTGTCGGGACCTGGGAGATGCGCCAATGCAACCTCTGGCAGGGTTCAGAATCCATCTACAGCGACACTAAACTTGACGGGTAACGATCTGCCCCGGGGGTTCCGAATCGCGCGGGCTTGTTTGCTCTCTTAAGCTCCAAGGATTCCTGTTCCCTGTCCGAAAAATTCTCTTCGCAGATTCTATTGTCTCATGTTTGTCGAACGGCCCCCATGATGGTCCATTCCAAGAGCTCGATCATTCTGTTCGTTGCCGTCCATCTCCTGGGCTGTGCTTCCGCGCGGGAGAGCTGTACTTTGGACAGCTTCAATGCAACTCTCGGCGGTCGCGTTCAGCCGTTGAGGCCTTTCTCTCTGCCATGTTACTCCCAATATAATGGCACGGCTGTGGCGTCGGATCAAGCCGCGTGTCAAGTGATCCAAAGCAACTACAGCGATCCTTTTTTCAGGTCGAACTCCGCCAATGGATTCATGTACAATCAAGTGGAAACGTGCGCCTCCGACCCTTCAAATCAATGCCTCCTCGACAACACGAATACTGCAAATTCGCAGGCTTTTAAGGGCGACTGTAGACAAGGCAATGTTCCATCTTTGTCACTCGAAGTCCAACGCCCTGAAGACGTGGTTGAGGCGTTCAAGTTCTCTCGTTGTTCGGGGACGCGCCTTTCTATCAAGAACAGTGGCCATGACTTCCTGGGTCGCAGTAGTGGCGAGGGCACTCTTTCCTTATGGACTCGGCACCTTCAGTCGACGCATTACGACTCTTCCTTCACACCGACCGGCTGCAGTGGCCGGAATGCCTCGACCTACAACACAATCACCGTCGAAGCCGGTGTGAACTTCGACGAGGTCTATACCTTCGCGCATGCCCATAACGTGACGTTCATCGGTGGCTACTCTCCCACTGTTGGTGTTTCAGGTGGATGGGTGCAGACGGGCGGTCATTCTATTCTTTCACCCGTATATGGGCTCGGGATCGACCACGTTGTGGAATACAAGCTTATCACTCCCGACGGCCACTACCGCATCGCCAACGAATGCCAAAACCAGGACCTGTTCTGGGCTCTACGGGGTGGCGGCGGTGGCACTTTCGGTGTTGTCCTGGAAAGTACCCATCGCGTTGAACCGCGCGTGAGTCTAATTTCCGCCTACATCAAGTTCCCTCTAAAATCCAACTCGAGCAATGTGCTCCCCTTCCTCGACATTCTTGTGAATAATACTGTGAAATGGGCCCACGAGGGCTGGGGTGGCCATATTAACGGCAACTCTTTGATCAACGTTACCCCGTTGCTCTCCCTATCCGAGGCAAAGGAGTCGCTCGCGGATGTGGTTGCGTATGCGACGTCGCAAGGTGGAACCGCAGTTATTGAAGAATTCTCCTCCTGGTACGGATTCTACGAGAAATACGTCGCGGCGAACGCCGTGACTGTGGGTAACACTCACTTCGCAGCAACGCGACTGATCCCACAATCGGTGTTTGAAACTGCACGTGGTCGCGCTGACCTGATGAACTTCTTTTCCGTGCTGCTGTCCAAGGGTGGAAGCGTGTACATTCCAGTTGTGGGGCCCCTTCTCTACAAAGACGCCAAGTCGACATCTGCCACCCCAGCCTGGCGCGAGGCGATCTGGTCTCTCGGAGCCGACGGTTTCTGGGCCTGGAACAGCACACTGCAGACACGTGAGCAGAAAGTGGACGAGCTCAAGTACATGACAGGCCTCCTTGAGGATCTTAGTCCCGGTAGCGGGGCCTACAGCCCCGAGGCTAACCCGTTCACCGAGGATTGGCAGGAAGCTTGGTGGGGTTCGGAAAACTACGGCAAGCTGCTCAAGCTGAAGCAGAAATACGACCCGGAAGGCCTGCTACATTGCTGGAAGTGTGTTGGGTGGGAGGAAGCCGACGCGAAAAGCTCCTGCTGGGCGGCATTCGACTAGCTAGCGGAGTAGTCTATAGGCTAATGTTTAGCTACACAATGTATATTAATGTCTCTCTTACGGAACACGGTGTACTCCATATGAACTTGCCATGTTCCGAACAATTTTCTTTCCAGTTGGTAGTTGTAGAATTCCACCGTAGTTAAAGGTTTTTCATTTTTAAAGACTTCAACAGGGCACCATATCAATAATTCTTCCCACCACACCTTCGCTTCGAAGGAACTTCAATCCTGCCAGCACTGTAAACATTACTCGAAGTCTCAAAGTCTCACACCCCCTTACGCGCGCATTGATCCTTTCTCCGTCTCCATATCGAGCCCACCGACCGAAATCCTGGGTCCACCATATACCCCGCACCTACCTCGGGATTGGCCGACAGGGCTGCTGTTATCTCGGATGCCGATCCGAGTGGTGGCTTCCTGAGGCCCACTTTGGCTTCGTGGAATCCACGGTCCTGAGTTAGCAATTTAGCACAAAGCAAGTCCAACAGCCAAGGCCAGGAGGTGCGTACTCCGTAATTCCCCCTGCGCAAAGATGGGCAAAATGCGAAACCGGCACCAGCACATGACCTGCCTTGGGAATTAACTTGGATCCGTCAACGATGAACTTCAGTTATGAGATTTTCAACATTGTAAGCTATACTGGATCATGCACAGGATATTGAGCTACTAGTTTCTCAACCCAAGGAAGAGCTCAACTACAAACAAGGCTTGTCCAAAAAATTAGGGCGCGCAATCCAGCGCTACGATCGGAGCTCAAATGAAAAATGACCTCGTGTAACATGGTTTTGGGATGCATCTGTAAGTATTGCTGTATTAACATTAAAAAACTGACCGACTACCTGCAAGTACCCCTCCCCAGTCATCTGAGCATGGCCACGTATAACGAATTGATTCGATAACTCCATGCTGCCATCATACCCAGAATTTCAACCCCTAGCAGCGAAAGGCAACAACAAACGTCTTAGAATCATATCCATTGACCCATCTGAGTGATATCCTGTTGTATCTTTAACCAGCGATCCAAGCTTAGATCAGAGAGTCAGTAGTCTGGATGCGAAAATGGGCACTGTGACAGATTCAGAACAGACACACAACGGTCTGGATACTAGGGATAACAATGAGCGCTTGTTCAAAGGGCCACTGCAACTCTCGGGTGTCTTAGAAAAGTACAAATCTTTTGATGTCACCCCGATTATTGGCAGGGAGTTTCCCGATGTCAGTCTTAGGGATTGGATAGAGTCGCCCAACTCAGACGCATTGCTTAAAGATCTAGCAGTTACAAGTAAGTAGCTATAGATAGGTTTACTACAATTACCGTGCTAAATAGTCTAGTATCCCAACGAGGCGTGGTCTTCTTCCGCAAACAGAACGATTTGACCGATGAGCTCCAAAAGACTTTGGTCCAGCGACTAGGAGAGTTAACCGGAAAACCGAAAACATCCAAACTACATATCCATCCATTCTTCTATTCCGAACTGCCTCTCGGAGGTGATGACGATGAGCTAAATATCATAAGCACTGCGCAGGACCAACTGGTCTTCGGCAAGCCGAAAAGATTTGTCAAGAGACAGAACGCCCGTCAGGAATGGCACACAGACAATCTCCACGAGGTCATTCCCAGTGATTACTCCTTGTTGCGTCTCGTGGAGTTACCAAAGGGTGGAGGTGGAGGTATATATATGGATTTAAGTCAATATGCCGTGAATGTAGCTGATACTCGCAACAGACACTCTGTGGGCCTCGGGTTACGAAATCTACGATCGCATTTCAAAACCATACCAGCGATTCCTGGAGACATTGACTGCCACCTGCGCCCAGGCGAGTTACGAAAGACTTGCAAAGAAAATGAACCGTCAGCTTTATCCCGAACCTCGAGGGTCGCCAGAGAACACCAAGTCCACGGCAGTCCATCCAGTGATTCGTACAAACCCCGTCACGGGCTGGAAGAGCCTTTTCACTGCTGGGCTTTACGTCAGACGAATCAATGACTTGGAACCGACCGAGAGTGAGAATCTTCTTCGGTGGTTTATGGAGATGATGACAGAAAATCACGATCTGCAGGTGCGACATAGGTGGCAGAGTCCGAACGATGTTGGTAAGTTGTGGCCTTGCGAGAATGTCGTTGTTTAGGTCTAATTCAGGACATGACAAGCCATTTGGGATAATCGATCTGTCTTCCATACGGGTACTCAGGATATTGATATCGATGACCAACGGGTAGGTCATAGGGCTTCAGGGATTGGTGAGCGCCCGTATCTGGACCCGGCGAGCACTAGTCGACGGGGAGCTCTCGACCTTCTTTGATAGTACGAATGAACCTACAGAGACGATGATCAGAAATGCTTTTGCCTTATGGGGCTCGGATTATAGTTCGGTTGAAGTTCACAAGCAGTTCTTTTGACTCTATTATAAAATTGCCTTGGTATACAATATTATGGTAGGCATGTCAAGATGAAATGATTTGAAAAAGTAAAAGGGGGCCAAGTGACTATCAAAAAGCTCACGCAGCAAGCCAGAAAGGGTCAGGTGAAGCTATTTAGAATCATCAATCAAAAAGAGAAAGTGACTCGAGCATAACTGAGGAAAGACTTGAGTTGTCAACTGCCTTGATCGTTCCGCAATGGCGCTGGAAACACTCTCGCCAGGTACTCTGCCACGTCCTCCTTTTTCTCCCCAAAGTCACAGTTAGTATCCAAATCAGGGATAATCCAATAATTCAAATGGTACCCCGAAGAGCCCAGCGGCCGCTCTACGAAATGTACCGAGTGTTTAACCTCGTTGATAAGTCTCCTCAGAATATGACCAGCCAGAAGAAGAAATTCGCCAGGCTTGCAATTGGCCGGAACGAAGCGCGCAGTGTCTTGGACGGCCGTGGTTGAGATGTTTCCCGTAAAACCACTCATATCTGCGACGTTGAGACCTGCATGCGAGTCTTGGAAACAAAACAGCATGGTTGTAGGATCGATGTGGGGAGGAACACGGAGAGTCGTGGTGTCCTTGTCATCCTCGAAGTAGTAGTAATATGGAGCGAAGAATGAGTTTCGTTTGCTGTGTATGGAGTTCAGGGACTGAGGCAGTTCCAGATTTGTAGAGAGACATTCAAGAAGGTTGACATGAATGCGACTGCACTCCTAATATCGCACCTCAATAGTAAGGTTATTGTTCCGTATATGATGCCAAGAAAATTAAAAGGGGTAATGTTTACCTCGTGCATATCCTTCGAAGCATTCACCAGCTCGTTGCCTGGTACAGACCAATTTCTACCTAGTTCATAAACACCGTATCGGAATTCCAGGGTTTCGTCCAAGTGTGTCATTCCGCGAATCTTTTCGCTTGCGTATGGGACGAATCGAGACTTGCTTGTCGCGCCCGAATTTGCGTAGTCCACAAGTTTATCTTCGAGGGGTCTCTCAAAGAAGCCACTGCTCTAATTCAATAATTAGTACTGTCCAGAGTATCAAGAAACCATAAAGGCAAATTAACCCACTAACCTTTGCGAAGCATTTATCAATAATACCCTGTGGGACGGTATGGTCCCGAATTCGACAAGCTCCATAGGAACTCAGCGCCTTGATAAGCTCTGCACTTGCAGAAGCTCGAGTGTCTCTATCATCGTGTAGAAGCTCCGTATAGCTAACTGATGGAAGTGGGTATAATTCTTCGAGAGACCCCATGTTTGGTGTGGAACCCGATTTGCAATACACGCAAAGCAACTTGCTCCAAAGGTGAATAATATTGGGGCGTTATGAGCTCATTTCACCCTATTTAAAAGCTGATCTAATTGGCACTGCACTGACACGTCAGACACGGCGGCAGAGCATTCGTCGGAACTGTATGCATCTGCTCACCTCTAGGCGGGTCAAAGCACCGTGTTCATGTTATTTTGCTCGAGGCCCACGTTTGCGGAAGGCTAATGGAGCTTGAAAAAAGTGAGATAAACATTTGAATGTATGTTAAATAGGCTACCATAGATAGATTATCGTTATTATAGGTAAAAAAGGCCCATTTTCGACCGATCTAACCCCAGAATTCAACACAAGATATCTTGGTTACAGTACCCCATTACAAGCGAGTCAGTGTGGTTATAACAATGCCAGCTGTTGACAAACCTGCATAATGACACGCCCTTGCATATCCCTTGCATTCGAAGAAGCGTTATCGGCCCTGCCTTCAAAGAGAATTCCAGATCAGTTACCTCTAGAAATGCGATACCCATAATGTCAATATAATTTCAGTCTCCAAATGGCACTATTGGCCTTCCAGTGGTGGATATACTCTTCTTTAAATCACAGTTGTTGCCGATTTTTTTTTTTGCATTATATTGTTGTGTTTAGAATTGTTGTGTTTAGATAGTCGGTCAGACCACGATAGTACATGTCGGAATCATGCATTAATGCCCGAGAGGTCCGAGCCGGTGAAATGTTACAGAAGATTCATATGAGGGCTTCCATAAAGAATACGCTCATAGCTGACCGTAGAAGAACTTGACATTTGCTGTATCATAAACATTGGTTCGCCTCGCCCTTCTCTTGTGGTAGCTTTATAGGGTTGGCGATTTAATAGCTTACACCATAGAAAGCTTCGCGCGGCTACGAATAGAATCCGGGGCAACTACAGGGTATTTTATACTGACCTGTGTCTTGAATGAGCTTAATGATGAGCAAAGATGACAATACGAAAGGTGGAAAGTAAGCTTCAATTATCAATTTGACGCCGTCACTTGCAGCTCAGAATTTGGCGCTCTCGAATTTCAAACATGTAAAATAGACACCAATAAGGCTAAGTCGTACAAGTATTAATCTTTAAGCGTGGCTTATATATAAAAACATTTCAGATTAAGCCGAGAGCCCTATTCTTTTCGCCTCGCAGTTGCTGCGTTTTGAGGTGACATATTGTGCTCGAAAAGGAAAGCGTTAACATTGGCCACAATTATTTATCTAATATAGGCTCTAATCTAACAACATTTCTAAACAGACCCTAGTGCCCATGAGCTTATGTATATATCTAAGAGAAATCATTGATCAGGGTGTCAATGTTGTTTGAATATCGTGATCAGCGAGAGCGATCGTGAGGCAAAGTGGCGGGCAGCTAACAATGAAACCCAGGTCCAGATGTATGAATGATCAAGAATTCTTAAACGGAATTATCGACGGTTGAATCAAGCGAAAAGAAAAGACACCAGTCAAGAGTCGAAGATTGCGAAATCAGATAGATGGTAGCGGTCACATGCAACATGGAACCCTAGGTAGCCCTGAATGAACTGTTCCACATTGTCCTTCCAACGAGGATACTTCAATAGAGAAGCACGTAGGTTACTCACGCACTCTTTGAGTAATTCGCAGTGATGAATGAGCGACTCCTTTGACGAAACTGAATGTGCGTCGGCGTACTGATGAATGCAGTTATCCCTGTCATCCGCCAAGATGGACTCCTTGTAGAAAGATAAGATATCGTTGCCCGTGTCAATGAAATCAATCAAACCGGGCAGGAGAAGGATATACTCGTCCAAAACATCTTCTCCGTTATCAAGAGTTGGAAAAGGGAAAAAGGCAAACGCTTCTGGCATTCCTGATTTGAGCCGGAAATATCGAGGGAAGCTCGGAGTGCTCGTAAGTGGCGTAATTTTTCCTGGTAGTTTAACTTCTACCAGGTTGGCGCTGAGAAACTCAACCATCGATTTGAGTATCATGTCCGAGGCAAATCGGCCATAGAATTTGTTCATTTCCGAAGTAACGTCGAAACATAATCGGAGGACAGGATGGCTTTGTGGCCGGCCGATGAGCAGATTTTGGCAGAAGCTGCCGAGAGGCTCGGCGATCTCCGCACTGAGATCGTCGATCGCAAAGAACATGGATGTATATAACTTGGCGGCGAGTTTGTTCTTGTCATGAAGGAAAGGAAAGAACCATTCACCGCATTCAGCACCCCGTCGAGCAATAGCAACCATCCGCTGAGAGGTCAGGCCGTAACTCGCGAAATGTTGAATGATACTGTTCTCAATCGCAGTATCAACTTTGAAATCGGTGCGCTGTGTCAACGACACATCGGAAATCAATCCTTCGACAATAGATTGATACTCCGATTTCGATACCATATCGGATAGCAGATCTAAGGCAATTCAGTCGTGAAAGGGAAGATGTGCTCGTAAAGTACAAAAGTAGATACTAATAGAATCTAAATATGCCAGATCCTCGAGTCACTTCCGGTCCTTTAAATATTGCTATTTCACCAACAGAGTAACTGTCATGTTCTACAATGACATGCCGCATCTAATGTGTCGGTGATGCAATGTGGCAAGGTACGGTGTAAACATCCGGAAAGAGCATTCTCCTGAAGTCCTCTACAGATATCCAATGTTCGGTTTACACGCATCAACATAGAGTTGTCGGGGCGAGAGTGGCTGCATTGTACTCCATAAGAAATCTTATGAAGTCGAAGAACGTCCAAGCACTTTCCGGATGATGGTATCCACAGCGACCTATAATTTAATCTGGAGCCAATCCCAGTAGCAAAGTAGGGATGACGCATTTGTCGGGCGGCTGTGTGGCTGCTCTTATCATCATTCTGAATCTTGACAGTATGCTACCCCTGTCTTTGCCTCACGCTCTATATACGCAGCTCTCTTATGTGTAGGGGGGAATTAGTCCGAAGCCAGGGATACGTATTGTAGCTGACGGTCAGTTGACCGACCTGCAAATTATCATAGCGGTATGCATAGACTATTTGTAATAGCACGGAGTTCAGATTTGCTTAGTTACTCATCTACGTATATAAGGTGGACATCATTCATAGTATGTGCTTTTTTACGGTAAGATAGAATATGTTTTTCACATTCGCGACTTGCGGGATCTGTATTTCCTACTTCAAGTTCCATCTATTTTTGGCTCTAGACTTGGGAATGTTATGCAGATGCATCGAAACCATTCTTGAAGAACTTAGCCACAAAATAGCAAAAGTTACGTATACTGAGCAAGTATGGGACGTGCTCATTTGTCTTTTGCCATCCATGAGGGAACCCAATCGCATCTATAAAGGGCCACTCGTGAGTGTTCTTGTCCTTGTAGCGTGGCTGAGATGTTGTGCGACCTTTGATGGGTTCCTTCCTTTTTCGGATTGCAATACTCATTGATGGACTAAATGAGTGACGTCGATTAGAAGAGAATGCCGGGAAAAAAAAACTGAGTACTGCAAGTAAAAGTAGACTCATTACTATGTCTTACTTCGGATGCTAATATTCATAATTTTGTGATGCTAATGGCCAAGGTCTTGTTGAGCCAAACTTTACTGTGAAACAGGCCATCGGGCCCACAGAGCCATCCTATTGTGACGCAGGAGGCATCCTATTGTCCTACCTAAACTGGGCTTCATCTCACTTGATGTACTTCCAACCGATCAATTTAATGCGTTCTAAGGAGCAATATTGCGAGCTGTACATGGTTCCAAATATATATCTTATAACCGCCATGCTCAACTGTCTATCGCATTGTTAGCGTGTGAACCAACTAGAATCTAGTCGGTTAGGTATCGGGATGCTGTTGCACGATGTATGTTTGGTCGCAATTTGACGTTTTCTGCGTGAGTTGTCTTAGACAACTACCAAGATAGGCCTCCGCTTGAATGCTTATCCGAGGATCCGAATCGGATGAGAGCACCCTGTCATGACATCATCAGATAAGATAGTCGGCGGTTGTTCGATTGGCAGGCAGAAGTTTCCCGATAAGCTAAAATCCGACGCGGAGGAGGAGATTTGTTATCAGATAAAGTACAGATCTTCCCCTAAGATTAAGCTTTGTATAACTGCAAGATCTTAGGCTGAACCAGCTCATTCCCACTGAATTGTGGCCAGTCTCTGCTCGTCAGTCCCGATTTTCTGCCACTCCCCCTTACTTCCCCGCGGAAAACGGCAGGAACCGCCGATCATTTTACCAGGAACGGGCAGGCGGTCAGGGTTTACCGCGGAGCTCCACCCAATGTTCGATCAGAATTTTTGCAAACGGCCGATGGCTCATCGCATAATCTTCAAGATGGCTGGGCTTGGCATATCTGCGTAAATTTTATTCAATTGGCTTGTTCTTCTTCCGACAAAAACTTGTTCTGCAGTCGGGCCGAGATCACATCAATATTTACCCACCATGAGTGATGTGGAATCGTATGCGGGGGATAGGAAGGATGCGGAGAAACAATTGCCGGCACAGGACCTCGAGCCGTTTGGCAATGAGGAGACGGCGGAGGTGAAATATCGCACCATGAAGTGGTGGTGAGTGTCTACTTTCCTCATAGGGATGTCATGTCCGGTCCGGCTAACCCTTGCATAACAGGCACTGTGGCATGCGTAAGTTTGGCTTTCTATAGGCCCCGGAGCATGTCTGATCTCACATTCTAACCCGCTGGCAGTCATGATTGCTGAGAATGTCTCGGTGGGAATTCTTTCGCTGCCGTCTGCTGTGGCCACTCTTGGAATGGTTCCGTATGTATACCGTTTTGTTCTAAGCTTTACATGACGCGCTCTTGCTGACATAGGAAACTAGCGCTGCTATTATGATCCTGTTCATCTCGGCTCTCTCATGGTACACGGGTTATGCCATTGGCCAATTCAAGCTGCGTCATCCTGCTATTCACAGCATGGGAGATGCTGGCGAACTCTTGATGGGTCGTGCCGGCCGAGAGATTTTCGGCCTTGGCCAGCTGCTGCTACTCATCTTCCTGATGGCTAGTAACATCCTGACATTCAACATTCTGATGAATGTCCTGACGGATCACGGCACCTGTACCTTGGTGTTCGGTGTTGTCGGTCTGGTCATCTGTTTCCTGGGTGCCTTGCCGCGTACTATGGACAAGGTGTATTGGATGTCTGTTGCTTGTGCGTATAACCTGAATCACGCTGTCCTGGTATTTGTTGCCCAGGATCATATGACTAATACCTTGTTCAGCCTTCCTGAGTGTTCTCGTTGCTACAATCGTGACCATGGTCTCTGCCGGAGTGGAGAGCAAAGGCCACATTCCTATTCATGCCACTACGGACGTTAGCTTCCGCGAGGGTTTCCTGGCCGTGACGAACATCATCTTTGCCTACTGTACGTTGAACGAATATGATCATGACCAGCAACCCGTTGTCCCAAGATCACTCTTTTTGTTGTCGAGGTAAACGATGCTAATGTCTTCCCGCAGTGGCCCATGTTGCCTACTTCGGCTTCATGTCGGAGACGGAGGATCCGCGTACCTTCAACAAGTCCCTGGCCATGTTGCAAATTGTCGATACCGTCCTGTACCTTGTTAGCGCAATGATCATCTACAACTACATCGGCCCCGACGTCAAGTCCCCGGCTATTTCGTCCTTGAGCCCTGTCATGAGCAAGATCGCCTGGGGACTTGCCATTCCTACGGTTCGTTAATTCCCTTTTTTGCGACATGTTGCCATCTCTATAAAGACTGACCACAAATAGACCATCCTCTCTGGTGTCGTTCTCGGACACGTTGCGTGCAAGTATATCTACGTGCGGCTCTTCCGCGGATCTGACAAGATGCACCGTCGCGACCTTATGTCTATCGGATCCTGGGTGGCGATCTGCCTCTTCGTCTGGCTGGTGTCTTGGGTTGTCGCGGAGTCGATTCCGGTGTTCAACGACCTGCTCAGTCTGATTGTATGTCTAGAATCAAATTGCATTTCTGCTCTGACCTCAAGATCTCCTGCTAACCCATTGCTCTCTTACAGAGTGCCCTTTTCGGAAGTTGGTTCAGCTGTATGATTAATCCTGCCCCCTGATTTTGCCTGCTATATACTGACCTTGCTTCAACAGTTGGTTTCCCCGCCATTTTCTGGCTGCACATGAACAAAGGCGAGTACACCCGCAACGCGAGGAAGATTTTCTTGACCGCCCTCAACATCGCCATCTTGGCTATTGCCTGTGCTATTGTACGTCCACACCTAGGCCCCTTGTTCTATGATCTCGACCCTTAACTAACCGGACGCCTTAGTGTGGTTTGGGTCTATACGTCTCCGGCGCCGCCATCCACGACGATTCAAGTTCCAGCAGCTGGTCTTGCGCCAACTCCGCCTAATTCAGGTAATGACTACTGAGATCTCACCTCTTCACTAGATGGATAGATATAAATGATGTTCGATGAGATAGATGAAGGCTGCATCTACCGGCTGGATGCTACATTTTGTTGTTTTGAGTACCCAGATATCCGTTATCATCGCCAGCCTTGATGGTGTGAGGCGTTTCGGCTCCGTGGGAGGGCCGTTCACGTTCGTTTTGCATCGGAGGTGCATATGCATGTTTTCGTTGTATATAAGTTGGAAAGTTTAGTTGGGTAGATCACTTAGAGGGAATTATATACATGTTTCTAATAGATGAGTTTGGAGCATGTGCGTTTACAGATGTAACGGGTGTGGTTGGATTTTACCGGGATTTGAACATGCTACGACTACAAGGAGAGGACCTCTAAGCTAGAATCAACACAAAGCACAAGACGTAAACTTTGTAGGGTAACGTGGTATGAGTGCGCAGTGAAAGGGGAGCAGTGATGACCAAGAAACAAAGGTACCATCACTACTGGACCATCTTTCACTTCAGCACCTCAACAACCGGCAGCGTTCTAGGACATGGAACAGACTCGCATGCATACATGCAAGTACCACGCTTCTCGGAAGAGTTCTTGTGAGTCTAATCCACTAGTGCGGCGCATGCGTGGTCATTTACTCATTCCTCCGTTTATCAATGAGATGGGAAACAAACGCCAGACTCGATATGGCTATCTAGCTGAAACAGGATCGGCCCAGATTGCAACCATTCGTGCGTATTTGCATCCCCAAAATGGCAAAGCCATCCGGCTCAGATAAGGTATGTAGTTGTTTATTTGGCTAACGCAGACACTAGTTTTGGATTCAACGCCCCCAATATTCTATTGAGCGATATCTTATCTTGTATTATCACTATTACCAGGGTTACGGAATCATGAGATGGTCCTCTTTGATCGAATGGGTCCTGAGGTTGGAGAAGGCAGCAGCGGAACTTCCCCCCATCTTTTGCCAGGCATCGCAATGATCATAGCGAGAGATGCGGAGTCTTACAAAACAAAGCTAGCCTGTCAGCCTCTCCACCAGTCGTTAGGGGATCCCATTTCTAGGAAGCTTTCTTCCCCTCTTTCCATATGCTGTGTTTTCCGAATAGGTCAACTTGTGGCACCTCAGCGGTGATTCTGAGCTGTGACAGACTCTGGTAGCTCTATCGCGGCATGCTGAATTTAGTGACTCCCCTCTTTACCCCTCGTTAACACCAATCTCTCTCGTAGGTGTTCCCAGTATCACTGATTTAGTTGAGAAGGTAAGGTACAAAACGGAGCCTCAGGCAGAAAGGCTGACCATGATGCGAGCTGCCATTGGGCGAGACCCCACAAGGAGGCCCACCCAGACTCGCTGAGTCAGCACTAAGCCCGGGGCAATGCAAACCAGCCAAACTCGCGACCGCATTTCTTCCTTCTTTCTTCTCCCCAAATGAACGCCTTCGTGCAGCACTCCAGAGGGGGAGCCTGGCATTTCGCTGGCCTCGCCTCTTCGTTCCCGGACATCCAATCGCACGATGATTGTTCGCTGATCAAACCACACTGCAAAGCCTTCAGCATCCCCAAGACCAATAATGGGCCCAGCAGCGACGACAAGGCGCCAATCCCAGCCAACCTGGATCGCCCCGGCCGGGAGCTGAAGGATCAAGTCCTCGTGTTTAAATTCAAGGGTAAATTCCACGCCATTGATCATGTGAGCACCCTTGTTTCCTCTCCCCGTAGACATCCCCGCGAACCCTGCAGGTCAAGATGTAACAAGGCTGACCGGGCTTGGCCGCCAGCAATGCCCCCACTCGGCGTTTCCGCTCTCACGGGGCAGCTTGTTTGATATCGAGGATTTTGGCATCACCTTGAGTGCGGGGATCACGTGTCCTCAGCATGACTGGTCGTTTGATCTGTTCTCCGGACAGGGAGATCGCGGGAATTACAAGCTGAAGGTTTGGGAGCTCCAGCTGCGTGATCCGAGTGCGACTAACGGGGCTCCTGAGCCGGGTGATCAGGAGGTTTGGGTGAGGCGAAAGCAACGGATTGGATAGATGGGTTCGTCATTTGCTAGATTTTGCATGCTGAGGAGCGGTGTTTAGAAGCTGGTCATCGCTTGGGTGTGATGCTCTGGATGCATTGTTTATATAGAATGGTCGTTTTGGGCACAACGATGTGAAAAGACGGGCCGAGAAACTGGGTCGTAATATATGGCATTATAGATTTATGAAATTCCCATGAGCTCGATCGTTTCTAATCTTCTCTAGACTTGCCAGACACTGACTTCGGACCCCGGATATTTGCAGTGGTCAAACTGTCTAATCAGGATCTCAAATGCAAATCGATCACCAAAAGGATTACGTCGCCATAGTCTCGTTGCAGTGAAATCATGTGAGACGCGACCGGTCTGTGCCAGTAAAGATCAAGCCTATATCCTTCCAGCGAGGGTCAAGATTGAGTTGATGTTAATCTGCGGTGGGAGCTTTCGAGAACGGCAACAGCCCACCCACATTCAATTGCTTAGCAACGGCGGTTCTTTGCTCTTACCGTTAAAGGAAAACGAGGATTTATTCGATATCTTGCGCCGGAACATTTTCCTCGAGGATTGACTGGGGATAAAAAGGTTCTCAAGGCGCGAAAGTGGTCGGCCTATCGGAGGTTATGGCCGACTCTCGAATAGAGAATCCATGCGATGATCAGATGGCTAGAAAAAGTAGATGGTTAAATGCAAAGCTGGCAGATAATCGGCTATCTCCGGGTCTCGATCCCGGCTGGATGGCTCGAAGCCTCGAAGATTCTGACGGTTGACAGTTGACAGTTAGATGAACATGGCTTTGATCGTCATGGGTAGAACAGGTGGTTTGCCCGGAGATTGATTGCGGTCGATGTACCGTGGATATTCGAACTGGCTGAATTTAATTATTATTTGGCGAACAGAAGCCACTGCCTTCCAGGGGGACCCAGTGCTTAATGGGATTTTTTTTTTCTCTTTTCTTTTTCTCTTATCTGGGTTTGCCCCGTATCGCTAGCGCCCTTCTCTCGCCCGTCATTGTCAACGAGTCAACGCCCCTTATGTCGTGGCGGTCTTCTCCGGACTCGGAGTGTGCGAGATTTTCACCCTCCGAGCCACCGTGCACGCCGCAGGGTTACGTACCCTGTTCTTTGAACTTAATAACAGCTCCTGGTATAGGCGGGGATGTGGCGTGCTACCTCAAAGGGGCTAGCGAGGCTGGGACGGCACAGGAAATGAATTAGCGGAAGTCATAATATCGACGGGGGTCTTGGGCTTTTCTGGAAGAGCCAACGGTAGTCCTTGTTTTTCGGTCACTGGGATTGCTCGGCTTACAGGCTTCCACGATAAGTGTCTTGGCTGGGGAATGTCTCTTAGCAGCTGTACCTATCTTGCCACCTTTCTCTGGCACGGATGCTTGGATTTCAGTCAATAGGACACTTCCCATGACAGCGTGACTCTGCCCGCACCAGAGAGCGGCATTCCAAATGGGTGACCATGAACTGAATGTACAGTACTAATCAGTAAATAATAATACCCCCAAACCCCCGGGTCCAAAGCTCCGCCACATGGAACGTTAGCGCCTTCCCCAGTCGCAGGATGACTGGTTGGACGGACTTAGGGCTTGGCTAACAACGCTGGGCCATGGCTCGGTCGACCTATCCTACCTCAGAATACGACGCCGTGAACTGCACTCATCTTTTAGCTGCAGGAGGCGGAAAATTTCAATCGGTCCTTGTCTAGCGTCGCGTACATAAAAATGCATGGATAAATATTGCGGTATCTCCCACTTTTGGTTTGGATCTTCACCATCTTGGGATAAAGAATCCCTCTGAACGTGAAAAAAACAAGATAAGAGAGAAGCGCTTGAATTCCACGCGTATTTCTTCCTATTTCTTTGTTTCTCTTCATAGCTATTCTTGCCCATTCTTCTATTCCACAAGCAGTCCGAATCTTCCCCCTCGTCCGAGTTCTCTGTCCTTTGCGCCATAATTCCCCACGCGTCGCTCTTCCAACTAATCCAATGCGATTCACCCCCCAATAGCTGTGACCGTCAATTGCCCGCTTTGTCGCCTCGAAAACCCCATTCCCTCTGGCCAAGATGGCACCCAAAGAGGAGAGCGACCCTAAATCCCACCCCTCCACCTCTACCGATGGCGTCAGCGTCGAGGTCGGCGAGAGTATGGGAAGCCTACAGCGCCGACTCAATAACCGTCAGATTCAGCTTATCGCCGCCGGTGGCTCGATCGGAACAGCCCTTTTCATCAGTATCGGTGGTGGCCTCGCCAAAGGTGGCCCCGCCAGCTTGGTGATCGCCTATACCCTGTACTCCGGCGTACTTGCCCTCGTGAATAACTCCATCGCCGAAATGAATACGTATATGCCCGTCTCGGGCGGATTTATCCGCCTCGCCGGTCACTGGGTAGACGATGCCCTGGGCTTCATGGCCGGTTGGAATTTCTTTTTCTACGAGGCCTTGCTCATCCCATTCGAGATCACCGCTCTCAGTTTGGTCATGTCTTTTTGGAACTCTGAGGTCGCGAACCCCGGTCCGACGGCTGGCGTCTGTGCGGCGGTGATTGCTTGTTATGCGTAAGAACGACTTCCTGGGGGACTTTGCGCCCCTTTGCCAAGCTTGCTGTCAAAGCGCTGGGCTCTCTGAGAATTATTCTCTCTCTCTCCCCTCTTCCTCCCCTTCCTTGACCGCTGTTAGGATGGGCTGGAAGCTATTCTGAGAATAATAAACTGACCCTGGCATTCTTAGCGCACTTAACATCGTTGCCGTCCGATTCTACGGAGAGGCCGAATTCTGGCTCTCCGGAGGCAAACTGATTCTTATCTTTATCCTCTTCGCATTCACCTTCGTGACCATGGTCGGAGGGAATCCCCAACACGACGCCTACGGTTTCCGTCATTGGAAGAATCCGGGCGCATTCGCCACATTTCAAAACGAAGGTGACCTAGGGCGGTTTCAAGGCTTTCTAGCTGCGCTCTTCAGCGCTGGGTTCACCGTCGTCGGTCCCGAGTACATCTCGATGGTCTCCGCCGAGGCCAAACGACCCAGCGTGTACATCAAAGCCGCCTTCCAGACCGTATACTACCGATTCTGTATCTTCTTCATCATCGGCTCGCTGGCCGTCAGCATCGTCGTCGCATACAACGACCCGGCCCTCGTGGAACTCTACTTCGGCACCGGCGGCGACAGCAACAGCGCCGCCGGCTCTCCCTATGTCATGGCCATGCAGAATCTCGGCATCACCGTGCTTCCCGATATCGTCAACGCACTGATTTTTACCTCAATCTTCTCCGCCGGAAATACCTACACCTACTGCGCCACGCGCTCGCTCTACAGCCTCGCGCTCGAGGGCCGCGCCCCTCACTTCCTCCGCTACTGCAACAAACAAGGCGTTCCGATCTACTGCTTCTGCGTCGTCATGATCTTCCCCTTCCTCTCTTTCCTTCAAGTCGGCAGCAGCTCTGCCACCGCCATCACCTGGTTTGTCAACCTGGTCACCGGCGGCGGCATGATCAACTTCCTCGTCATGTCCATCACCTTCCTCAACTACTACTACGCCTGCAAGGTTCAGGGCGTCGATCGCAAGACCAGGCCGTATTACGGCTACTTCCAGCCCTACGGCGCCTACATTGGAATCTGCATGCACATCTTGATGCTTCTGTTCTATGGATACACGTCCTTTACCCCCTGGAGCGTCGCGAACTTCTTCTCTAATTATACCATGCAAATCGTCGCCCCGTGCCTGTTTATCTTCTGGAAGGTGTTCAAGAGAACGAAGTACGTGAAGCCCCACGAGGTCGATCTCGTCTGGGAGAGACCGGCCATTGATGCGTACGAGAATTCGATCACTACGCCGCCTGTTGGGTTCTGGACGGAGATGCTTCGTTTGGTCGGGTTGCGACGGAGGAGATCGGGCTCTGAGGGTGAGTGAGTGAGAGCTCGACTCAAGGAGTGGAGTTAGGAGGGTAGAGAGGGGGTCTATGTATTTATGGGACGAGGCCCTTTCTCATTTTGTCTTCGTCCACCCCCAGCATGAATATTGGGTGTCCAAAGTACATAGTTCCTGCTTCTTTGAGATGGTAAATCGGACTGACCGACTATATGTATGTATCATACAGTCCAACTACTGCATACATTCAATCGCTCAGAGCACCCTGTATAGGTCTTTGCTTGGACAAATGCAATATAGAGTATCGTATTACTGTCTGTGTTCTAGGTAATCACGGCTGACGGCGTAGAGTAATGACGTCATTACTTCTTGTTCTGTCGGTCACGTGAACAGACATGTTCAGCTGTTGGGATAGGGTATGAGGTGGTTACATGCTATATCTTTCGGTTCTGGATCTTGGGCTTAAGGGTGAGATCCAATACTGTCTCAGGATCAGGCAGGTGGTATTTGAAATCATCGGAAACGGAAGATGCGAACCTGATAGCGGGATCGCGGAAAGTTGGAATCACAGACTATACAACTTGCCAAAACCGACTATTTCGATAACCTCCCCGAATGCCTAACTAGGAAGGCAAATGATAATTGTCTTAGATGTTATTGGTGGTACATAGATTGTCGCAGGCTTATAGGATCTGGAATTTCAATGCCGGAGGTTGTACTAGTGAGGATCCAGGAGGATTCCATGTGTTCGCACTTCTCGTTTCGAGTTGGTAAATGAGATCGCATATGCGTCATAAATAGAGAGTCAGCCGGAGGCAAAGTCGGAAGTTGGTTGTCTGGCTATGGTTGCCTGTATATAACACTGGGGAACTGAACTGGTGCTGACAGTTAGGGCTATCGAGTCACATGTCACGACCGGGCGAGTCGTGTAAGTTGATCCCTTCCGGTATATAGTCTCGAAAAATTGGAAACGCGTCAGTGTCAGACACAAAATGGTGGTTGGTCTGTTTGGGTATCTTTACCCTGCGGGTGGTTTTGGCAATCTGTTCCGTCGCTTGTTGGAGGAACGAGGGCGCGTTGCTTCATTTGCCAGAGCTCGGTAGAGCAGGATAGACAAAGTCCAGCAAGCCGCATACCATCGAGTATCTCTTTTAGACACAACTATCTATTATACATATGAATTGTAGAAATCAGCTGGTTGATAGGTTGGGGAGTGGCATCTATCTTCTATTGCACTATACCAGATACTCTAACGTTTCATACAGTACGTGATTTGATTACGAAAAGACATTAGCATAGTCATAAAATCAGCATAAACTATCTACCCAGCCTGGTTATTAGATTGGCCGGGGAGAAGCGGCCTGTTGCGGACAACCGCATTCTCGGGAAGAAGATACGTCGGCCACATCTCAATAAACATATGTGTCGATTCATACCTCATAATATCCTCCAAATAAATCCCCGACACAAAGAACCATTGCCGTAAAATTGGGTCATTATTCACATGTTCCTCCAGTATTGCGGCCTCCCCGTACGCCATCACCGGTGGACTAGACCGATACCGGCTTATGATTTCAAACGTGGCGTCAGACCGGGCGAGTAGGCCCGCAAGTACTGGAGACATGCGTGTGCCCGGGTCCAATTCATTCAAGGTTGCGTTATGATCTAGCAAGGCTCTCACGCAATCTACCTGATTGCGCGTAACAGCGACATGAAGCATATTATTACCGAAAAGCGAGCAACTGTCAGGGCTAAAGCCTCTGGACAAGAAGGCCCGCAAAACTCCGCTCCATCCGTTCTCAACGGCCCACAACATGGGCTGTTCAACGTAAGGTGCTTCAGAATCATAAACTAGATGGAAACGCGCAGTCCCGAAGTCATGGACCATGGTAAGGTAGCGAAGATAATCTTCTCTTGGTGCCAGCGCGTCCTGCCCGAGACGTGTCCTTCTCTCACGTGTAAGCACTGCCCGTATTCTCCTGGAGGTCGTGCTGAATATATGCAAGTCGCCAAATCCGAGATGTTGTCCAATCATGTCAAGCAGTTCCACTGGAAGCCACCCTAATCTGCTATAGTTCTCAGGCAATTGATTAGCTTCGGAACTACCAGATTGAGGTTGTTGTTGTGTATTGGAAGACTCACCCGGCCCAAACTCCGGCGCGGCAACCAGTTGCAAACTATCTTCTTCTTCCAGCGGACCTGGCTCTTGGCTATCCGGAATTTCGTCGTGGTCAGAAACAGACGAAGGAGACTCGGGTGGGTGCTCTTCTGCCTGATCTTCTTCTGCGGGAAAGCCTGGCCCTTGGCTATCCGGAATCTCGTCGGGGCCAGAAACAGAAGAAGGAGACTCGGTGGAGTCATCTTCTACATTATATTGATCTGCAGGAGAGCTTGACACTTGGGTATCGGGGATGTCGTTATGATGAGAAACAGATGAAGGAGACTCGGAGGAGTCAACTTCCTCTGCCGGAGGCCCAGACCCTTGTGTTTCCGGGATCTCGTCGTGTTCAGTGTAATGCTGGGCAGGCTCAGGGGAAAACAGTGGTGGGGAATCTCGTTCTACCGGAGTGTCAATCCCTCCTTGGTTATCGCTCCAAACCCCGCGGCTAGATGAAGAAGCCACTTCTTGATTGTCTTCTTCTCCTTGGGAATTAGATTCTTGCGTATCGGCAACCTGGGCATTCTGGAGCGAGGCCCCGAGATAAGACTGAGGTTGCCTTTCCAACTCGCTATCGGTAGGAAAGTCATTTTGCAGGTAAATCCACCTTCCATTCCGACGGTCATGAGGGTCACCTTTTCTATGACTCAAATTGCTCCCCGGTGAGCTAGTGCCGTCGCTATCCGTCTCATAAGCCTGGTTGAACTCTCTATGTATAACCTCTTCTGGCCTGTCAGGCCTCACCGGATTCCCCTGTGCTTTCATCTGGGCCAAGTATTCCCTTTTTCGAGCGACGAGTGCTACTCGAACACGTCTCAGTAATTCCTTGCCTTTGGCCTCATATAGGTCATCCCAGCCGTCTGGCTCTCCATCGAGCTCTGTTCCTATACTGTCGAGTTGTCTTCGGAGAAACAATTCCACGCTGAGTCGATTTTGGAGTTTTCGCAAGTCCAGTACGAGGATACCCGAAGCATATAGCCTTTCTATCAACAACTCGAAAAATTCCTCTCTCTGACGTGCTGTCCATCCGAGTCGGGTCCAATTCCAGAACTGTCGTTCCCGTTGTTTAGCGGATCGGGGTGTTAGTCGACGAGGCATCTTCAGGATTTCTTGTTTGTGGAGATCAGCACGAATAGATTAATGTTGGGTATTCAAATTGGAAAGATGTTGCTATCCTGGTCTTGGGGAAATGGGTCTCCATTTAATAAAGACGAATCTTCTTTGTTATGTATATCAACTTGCTGCAAAGCTAGCTATCTGCCTACTGTACGCATTTATCTCTTTGAATGAAATAATTGTTTGTTACTTAAAGGCGTGAAAGATATCCGTAGAGCACAATGCATGGCTTTCGCCTACTTCAAACGGCGCAAACGAAGTCCTTTCGTTATAATTGATAGGAGAAGTTTGGAAATCTAGTTTGCCATCTCTATTCACAAATACCTGGACTCTAAGCGATGCCGTACATGAGCCATGAGAGATTCTAGAGGCGTTCCTATCTGCAACACTAGCAGTCCTAAAATATTTTCATAGTGTATGTAGCTGGAGGACATGTGGCTAAATACGGAATTGTATCAATCAATACCTAAATCGAACTTCTTTATCCTGCTACACACTTCTACTTTGCACAAGGGTTTTATTTGCCGATTGGTATCCATCATAGTCTATTATACACGCTTGTGGCTATATCTCTCTCTAATCTGTTTGTTTGCGTGAGATTGAACCGTCAATTCCGAATGCTTCTGAGTCACTGTGACAGTTTTTCCCTTCCTTGTTTATTATCTTATCAAATCTCTTATGCTTCTCAGAGAACAAATAAAACAAAAGCGTATCTAGATCCTCTAACCTTTCAGAACAAGAACGACATAATGCACAATAAGCCTGTTATCATACCAAGGCCACAAGATATGGAGCTAGAAAGAATCGATAATGCTATACAGACAAAGCAATCTGAAACCTGCGTTTATGTCTTTGGCACAATGGTTTCATCAATGTGAGAATAGGTTGTAATACATCCACCAACAACTAAGACGAAATCAAAGAAGCATGTACCCGATGAATGAACATTCTAATCACTAACAATAAACTATGTCGCCTTCATCCTCCTTAGAGCTTGGTTGCGCCAAGGTTTTCCTTTCTAACCGAAACACCGCATTGTTGACACAAAGGACTTTCAATGAATCTCGGCCGCTCATACATACACAGACAGATAACAATGACAGCCGCGGCCGTGAATGTCGTTTGTGGGCCATAATGCGTTTTACATGTTGCTCTTTCGCCGGCACTGCATGGTACATGTTCATCGCTGGGGCTTGGCCGCCAAGGTGAAAGATGTATTAATCGCAGGAAGCCATGCAAGTATGTGGGAGATAGCAGTTTGCAGGAGGTCGGCGATGTTATGGACAGGTGACGTTTTCTCGGTGTACTCTCGGACATCGTTGACGAGTTGCTGTTTCCTAAGATTTGAAGGGGTTGAATTAAATCGATAGTCAGAAACAAAGCATGGTTGCTATAACAAATGGGGATGTGCAAAATCTGCAGGACAGCCTTTTCTATGTCTCGTTGAAAGATCTCTATGCATGAAAATAAATACGTCATTCATTCAAATCTCTATTTTACTTGGTATATCCCAGTGTTGAAGCCATTCCCGTACCAAAAATGTTAAACCAAACAATTGCTGACGCCGTTTATGCAGTTGTCGCGAACTCCTTCAAGAATGCCACCAATTGTTGAACGCCAGCTTCGGGGATGGCGTTGTAATTCGAAGCACGGATACCTGTCCCTAATTAGCATGTCACAGATTATCATTGTGGGGGGCTGCATACCTCCAACGCTTCTGTGGCCCTTAAGACCGAGCAATCCACGGTCCGTGGCACCCTTCAGGAAAGCCTTCTCGGCTTCGTCCACGTTGACACCCTGATCCTGTTAGCCTTTTTCTTTGTCGCGTGAAAGGGACATGATGGTGGAGCATACCTTGGTGACCCGGAAGCAGACGTTCATTCTCGAACGAACGCTCTTGTCGGGGACGACCCTGTACACGTCGGGGTACGCATCAAGGGCATCGTAAATCAGGTTGGCCTTCTTTCCAGCCACAGCCTCTTGGCCTTGAACCTTGTCGGGAAAGGTGGCGAGAAGCTTCTTCAGGACCTGGCCGGCCACGTAGACACTGCCGATCGTTAGGATAAGCTAAAGACATACGACGAGGAGACTTACTCAAAAATGCTGAGTGTGTTGTACAGGCTGTTGTTCTTGGCAGTGACCGCGTAGTCCAGGATCGTAGGCGCAACAGGAAGTCCCACCCGACGAACAATATCGGGCTTAACCTGGCCCAGAATCGACAGCAGGCTCTTCTTGATAATGACGGGTGTGATACCCGGCAGACCCAGGTTCTTCTGGGCGCCAAAGAACACAATCGAGAAGTGCTCAAAGGGAATGCGACGCGAGAGAATCGTCGAGGAAAAGTCACCCACCACGACCGTCTGGTCATCCGCGGCCTTCGACTCCAACGCCTTAGGGAACCGGGGAAACTCGACACCATCCACCGTCTCGTTCTCGCACAGGTACACCAACGCAGGCTTTTCGCTCAGCGTCCACGTCGACTCCTCGGGGATCTTGCCGAACTTGCCGTCGTTGATCTTCCGTGCGTCGGTCGCAACATTCACATTGTTTGTGCCCAGCAGGCGCCCGGCCTCTTGACTGGCCTTCGCCGACCACGATCCGGTCACCAGGTAATCCAGGCGCAGTTCCGACTGCACTTTCTGTTGTAGCTGCTTGACAAGCTCCTCCTCGCTGATCTCCCCGTTCTGCAGGATCTTCTGGCGCTGGTTCTCGACCCAGATCGCAACCGAGTTGTACAACGTCGCGTCGAACTGTCCCGATCCACCACCTTCGCACAGTCAGTCATGTTATCAGCGTAACAGCACGAGAGAAAAAGTACCTTGCATGATCAAGACATCGTGAGTCTCAGGAACATTCAGGAACGACACCAAATCTGCCTTCATAGTGTTCAAGATATCGTTCGCAATCCCGCTGCGATGGCTATGCTCCGCGACACCCCTAAGCAAATCAAAACCGTCAGTTCAATTGCACGCGACATCCGAGATTCTTCTCCCGCGCTAGCTAGCGCATTAGACTCACAATCCGGTGTCGTCATAGTTCTGCAGGGCATCGGCGGCCTTGGCGAGCACATCCGTGGGTAGGGCAGCGGGCCCAGCACCAAAGTAAACAACGTCTTCTCTCTTCATTTTGTGAATTGTGTTGTGTTACTGAGAAAATTGCGGGGGACAGCAGACGGCGGGGAGGAATGGAGTGAAAGTGGGCGGGAGAATCAGTGAGTCAATTCAGTCTTCGGAGGGGAAATTTGTCCGCCTTCAGGCGCCGATTTCTGGCCGAAATTCGAAGGCACTCGGGCGGTGTGGCTCTTGCAGACGGGCAGTTTCTGGCCGCCTGAGATGGGTTACTCTTATTGGGTTACTCTTGATGGCGTGATCACGGATGGCCCGATCGGGGGGATTTACTGCCGGCAGTACTTATTGTATGTACTGGTGGGTTATGTCTGCCGTATCAACACCCACCGCCTACTTCAAGCAGATGTGTCTGCACAGTATAGCCCTAACTTGCAAGGTCTTTGATGACCATGTCAAGAAAATAGGAGCTTGCAATTAGAAAGGAAACATCTCATTTGGGAAATGATAGGACTAAAAATAATCATGGACCTGCCTCTGCATTTGCATCACAGTATAGGGAAACCTACGATAGGAGAAAACCTACACCGAGGCGATACATATAATTTGACGAACGCCCAAGAAAGCATTAACTAAGCTTGAACACTGCAGGTGCAACCCTAGGAGTTTCATGCGCTCTTACCCTTGAGCGGAGAACTACTGATTTGATTCATTCTTGATGTCGATATCCGAAGACTCGGCAATGGGTTCAGGATCAACAATAGGGCTCTGGCCAGGTACCATAGCCCAGATGCGGTAGCTACCACTGAACGAAGACGAAAAAGAAGTCAGATTTTGTTATGTGGTAGAGATGGTAGTTGAAGGGAATAATCATACCCGGTGGGCATATTCTCGATGGTCCTTCCATCAATCTGCACATGATCATTTTCGTGGATGTTTATCGCGTCGGTAAGTTGCACGGGAGCGCGATAAGGAGGGCTGTGGGAATGGGTGATCCAGAAATCGGCATACTTAGGTTCAGATCTGAAGGCCATCAGCTTTTTGAGCGATCAATCTAGAGGAAAAAAAGACGATATTGTAGTACATACTCGACAACATCTTCCCAACGGATCTCCCATTTCTGGCTGACGTCGACCGTGCCACTACCATCTGGCTGAGTGATCTTCATGATGAGAGGCTGCTGGTAAGGTAGTCTTTGGGTTGATTTCGAGCTATATTGCTGTAGACAATACTGCATAAGTAAGATAACAGCTGGATTATTTTAGGGACCCGCTGAGACTGGTTAACCAACCTTTGGAGGATAAGTTTGTTGGGTTGTGCTGAGGTCAAGGACGAAGGGGGTTTTGTCGCTCTTTATAGAGACCCCAGCCTCCCTTTGATAGAACTTAAATAGGTGCTTCTGCTGCTAAAGCTGCGTACTGTGTCATAGAGAGACCTCTGCGAATCATCTCTTTGTGTCTCGTCCTTTGGCCGGAACAAAATAAACGCTTGTCAGCAACTGCATAGGAAGCTAGGTGCTAGCTAGACCCAATTGGCATATTAACCCATTTAGCAGGGGCCTTGATCAATCCGTTTCTCGAAAACGAATAAGTTTTAAAGCTGTCTGAGATAGGTAAGAGTACCCCGGTTTGCGGTGAAAGTTTCGGCCCGCCATAAAGGTACCTAGCTTCTCAGTAGCAAGGATTAAAACTTCATCCCACATCTACGGGATCGGCTGGCATGTCTACAGTGTAATGCATACACCAAGAAAGACTAGCCACGGTGATATAAAATTACTGGAAAGGCTTTTAGAACGAGCGTTCGGCTGAAAGAAACCCGAATATGTGCCGATTCTGTTCGCACTCAGCTGCCCCATCTCTTTTACTGTTACGCCCGGAAACCACTGATAGACATCATGAAAATGTCATATCCGTATTACACCCACCAGGACGTCTGAAATGGAGCTATGTGCCTTCATGGAAACAACGCACGTTTTATTTAAAACACACCTACAGAAATCAGAATGATGGGTGTCGTCTGTCTAATTCCTGTGATGTGCAACTACCATATCAGCCGGAAACGTATTCGACCAGAGTATCACTAGTAATATTTGCCCGGTCCAATCGGCAAGTCCCTACAGATCATCACCCGGAAGATGCGAATGACGTGTTACATGGAACAACAAAGATGTAATATGTGTAGATACCTGCTGGATGGTATCTAGCCTTGGTCTTTAAGACGCATAGGTAATCCATGCGAGGGTCAACGCAATCCGTGTAACTACCGCTCCACATTCAACTCCTAGGTACCTTCGGCGTTCAATTAAAAGAGCTAACACCGTTTGATCTGGACCACATAAGGTAGGGCTCTTGCATGAAAGAGCAGTCAAACGCCGTAAAAGAGCGATGTGATGGAACGTAAGAAGATAGTGGTACAAATTAGATTCGGTATAAAGACGACGGAACCCGGATATCACTCGGACTCCGAGCACTGGTCTTGATTCGGTTAATGTTATTGAAGAAGGAGCTCATAGCTGACGTAGACCTGTTTCATGAAGGGCCCATTCCGATTTTATCTCGTGATCTCAATCTGGACTTGTTCTCGAGATCCGTTGTTGATAACAAACAATATGCACCGAAGGTGGTAAATGGGAAAACAAGATATTAACGATGCGAGGGCAAAGCTTGACTAGGAAACGAGACCTTGGGTAATCTAGAAAATATGGACTCTTTAATCAACGTGGTAGAAAAAAAAGACAAAATCCCCTACGATGCCAAGACCTGAAGATGATGGGCCGCGGGATCCACCAAAGTCTCCGCGAAGTCTCCGATCTACAGATCCAACGATCATGACGTCCGGAACCCCTGACTATGTCCACATGGAGACATATCGGAGAGATTGCGCACGTATTGGAACCAATAAAACAAATTTGTTGGGCAGTTTATGAGTCAACCTGATCATCCCGAGGTGTCGAGAAGGATAACGACAAATTATAGGAACGATTAAGTATCAGACTTCAGGGGAGAGCTGAAGTCAATCCACAGATCCCAACGGAGACATTTCCGGAGACTTTCAGCCTAGCCAAGAAGAACACGAGCACATTCGCGAAGTATGTAGCAGGCTCTCAATATAAACAGGCCCAACAGATCAGGGGGAAATGACTTTTCATTAAATCAAACATCTCTTTTGTTCTATAGTTGAGAAGAAGCAAAGGAAGAATGGCAGCCCCAGCAATCTACGATGTCCTCATCATTGGCGCCGGCCCAGCAGGCCTCTCAACGGTCCTTGGTCTCGCGCGCCAAACATACTCGGCACTGGTTTTCGACTCAAAGCGATACCGCAATGCCCCGGCAGACCGAATGCATAACGTCTTGTCTTGGGACCATAAATCCCCAGCAGAGTTTCGCGCCGCCGCAAGAGAAAACATACTGTCAAGATATAAGACTGTTGATTTTAGGGATGCTACCATCGTATCGGCTTCAAAAAGAGCAGACGGCCTGTTTGAATTAACAGACAAAGAGGAAAACAAGTATCACGGCAAGAAACTTGCCCTTGCAACTGGAGTTACGGATATGTTTCCTGATATTAAGGGGTTTGGTGATCTATGGGGGAAGTTGATGTAAGTCTTCTTTACTAATAATAAGAGAAAAAAGCGAAAAGTAACATCTACGCAGATTCCACTGTCTATTCTGCCACGGTTTCGAAGAGCGCGGTGCCTCGTCTGCGGGGATTCTAGCGATCGGCGCGCTCACCCAGCCCTTCATGCTCTTGCACGTTGCACGTATGGCTGCTCCACTGGCCGAGCAACTTACAATCTACTCGCATGGAGACAAGGAGCTCACTACGCAACTGAAAGACGAGTTCGAGGGAAAGCCTTTGACGATTGAGTCGCGCAAAATTATATCCGTTGAACGGAAAGGGGAGAATAAAGTTATACTCCAGCTGGAAGACGGCGAGAGCAGAGAGGAAGGGTTCTTGGTAAGTTTGCCATCCAGTTAACAATTCCTGCCTACCTTGTATAGATGCTGACAGGTATGATGATAGGCTACCATGCCTTCGGTCAAGGTCAACGGTCCCTTCCACGAGCAGCTAGGTCTGGAGGTGGATCCGGCAGGCTTTATCAAGGTGAATGCGCCTTTCAATGAGGCCAGCGTCCCTGGCGTCTTTGCAATGGGTGATTGTGGTACGATGATGAAGACGGTCTCTCAGGCGATGGCCATGGGGTCTTTTGGAGCAGCTGGGTTGGTATCACAGCTGGGTGCTATGGGGAAGCTGTAATCTGGATTAGGCGATCATTCTCTCTTATTCGTGTTTTTATTTTAGAAAGTTTGCTCTTATTCCTTCCTGTCTCAAGAAGAAAAATGTACTATGTTAAGTTCACATTACTACTAGTCATCGGTTCTAAGTTGATATGTCATCTGCAACACCAATCATAGGCAAATCAGTCAATCAATGCTTCATAAACTGACTTTCCTTCTCCAACCACGTCCCAAAATCCTTCAACTCCGGATGCTTCGCCCTCAAATCCGCAATATCAGCTTTATACCCCTCGTCTCTAAACCATCGAAACATGAGCCCAAAATCCTTCATACTAGCCATCAACACCGAACAAACTGGCCGAAATGTAGTCGGAACCTTCTGCCCTGTCTTCCCCTTAAAAGCCTTCGCCATCTGCTCATACGTCAACTCATCCCCGGCTAACGACACCGCCGTGCCTTTGTATTTCTCAGTGTTCATGAAGGCCTCAGAGGCTAGATAACCGATATCGCTCGTCGCGACTAACTGAAGCGGTTTATTCTTCAACGTCATGTCCCAGGACGTGGCGAATACCTTGCCCATAAATCCTGGGACGAGGTTTTCGAAGAAGGCGGTGGGTCGGAGGATGAACCACTCTGTATCTGTGTCTTTGGTTTTTGAGACGAGGTGGTGCTCGATGTTGTGTTTTTTGATGAAGTGGGGAATGTTGGTGGCGTTGTCGTAGGAGGTCGCGTCTCCGCCGCGGTCGACGGAGCTGTAGACTAGGAATTTGATGTTTTGGCGGATTGCTTCGTCGATGAGGGCTTTGCCTTGAGTTTCTTCGGAGGTGGTGTTTCCGATGGCGACCTTATAGTTGGTAAGTATTCCATTTGGCATCGGCCACGCAATGGAAGAAACTGGATGCTAATGTTTGGTTCATACCTGGACGCTGAAAAGGCCCCAGAGGGGGTTATCGCTGGCGGTGCGTGCATTCTCAAAGACATCAGCGGGACTGTCGAGGTTTGCTTCGACTAGTCGGATTTTCGGGGATAGTTTGGCTAGACGCTGGGCGGATTCGGAGTTTGAATCTCGAGTAATGGCGAGGATCTCGTACGGTGAGTCCTTGGATACGAGGTTACGGATTAAAGCGCTCCCTTGCTTCCCAGTTGCGCCGGTCACAATGATGGCTTTCATGGTGGATCAACTTAGATTTAAATGCCTCAATAGCGAAGTTGAGATGGGATAAAATGGCGACTATCTGTAGGTGGGGAACAACTGCGTTAAATGTTTAATTCATTGTTATCAATTGAACATTCCAGGAGGAATTTCGCGCAGACAGGATCAGACTTTCGCGCTGTGAAGCCCTACATTCCATACTGTCATGCATTACCTCATCTGTCGGCTTCGGCCCACAACTCACCAAACTGATCTAATCTCGCGTCGATCCGGGGTTGGATATCGTTGTAGCCGAGAGTTCTTTCCTTCCATGACCATCTGAATCTTTCTCGAGTCACAGAGTCATTACTGAACTTCCTCTCGCTGTGAATCTTTCGACGATGATTTCCTGATTGGGGGTCTTGGCGCCTGTTGCACTCATTCTTCACTGGCTTCTTTAGGCAAAAGCACTTCAGCATACATTCCTGGCTGAAGACCGCCATTCTGCAGATAACCACTTGAGATGGCGTGCTTGAATACCTGTGTCGCCAGCGTTCTGGAAGTCTATCTGACCTTATGGAAAACAATCTCGGGGAATGGAGCGAGAGTCTAAATTTTCTAACGAATTCCAGCAGTTACTTTTATGCTCCCTTTCAATATTCGCCCATCGCTTGCCAACTCAAAGAAGCCCGCTAAGTGTACCATCAAACCCATAGAGTCACGGATACTATTCAGCCGTAGCGACGGGCTGCGCCGACGAATAAAACCGGAAGCCCTGATCTGCCAACCCATTCAGTGCATTACCATTGCCATTGCCCACAGGGGACTCTGCAGGGGGTACAGCTCTCTCCGGAACAGCCGGTTCAGGAAGCGGTATACCAGGTTCTGGCTCCGGCTCTGGTTCTAACTCAAGCGGCGACTCCTCAATCACTGGTTCCGGATACTCCGCCGCCGGCGCGATATCATAATACCTGCCCCTTTTCTTCTTTTTCTTCGGCACACTGAATCCCAAGTCCCATTCATCAGTCGGTTTGTTGGTATTCGTATCATCCACGGGAACGCAAACCGCCTCTGCATCTACCTCTACCTCTACCTTTGGTCCTGCTGCTGCTGCCTCTGACTGCTCTTCCTGTTCCACGAGGGTTGTCAACCGCGCCGGAACGCCCGTTGCTGGTCCGTTATACGCGCCGTTGTATCGGCTTTGAACAGGCCAATTAGCCCACGGGTCGTAGTCCCCGTCCGCGGCAGCTGGAGGCGACGCAGGTGGTGGAGAGGGAGAAGAAGGCGACATGGCCACGGGGTCTGGGGAGTGCGGTGTCTCCAACTCCGGAACCGCTTCCCCGTCAACATGATAGCCCGGACTCTCAGGACCAGGAACAGGGCCATCAATTGCATGAGGCTCCCCAATGACCGGCTCCTCCCCTGTGTCTGAATCCCATTCATACGCCTCCGACACATCCGCTTCACTATTTGTCGCCGTGTCCCGGGGGTGCCCGTTCAGGGCTACCTTCCCCGGCAATGCACTCGCATAGATGTCCAGGACAGAGCTCACTAAAAAAGCATCAAATGGATCCCGACCGACCCCGTAGGACGCAATATCCTGTCTCAGCCCCGCCTCGTCGTCTTCGAATGCAATCGCCAACTTCTCCCGGATGTATTCCCAGAACCACACCTCGTCTCCTGGGAGGGATGTCGAGATCTCCCGTGCAACAGAGAGAATGTACAGCGTTGAGACGTCGATATCGAAGACCCGGATATATGTCTTCGCGAGGTCGATTAGTCCCGTTATCCCGTATCGACGCGCCGCGTGGTACGTGTGCATGCTGCGGTGGAATTCACGGGCGCGGGGCGCGCTGTCGATGTCTTCTTGGACGTGGGTGATCGGTTTGGTCGTCTCGTAGGTGTTTGTGTAGAGGTAATGGATGAACGTGTGGCCGACGTCGGCGTGGATGTCGGAGAGGTGGAAGATGCGGGTCCATTGGTTTACTTCGAAGGCAGGGTACGGGCGGAGGAAGTATTCGGGGACGGCGTAGTTGCGGTCGCCGATCGTGATGGTGATGGCTTTGGTGGTGTAGGGGCTATTTGAGCGTGGAATTTAGAGCTGGCCATGGCAGTAGATGTAGGTATACTTGGGGTAGTGGTGGGTCACCTTATCTCGGGTTGAGGGTATTCAGGGATATCGTCCCACTGGGGATACGGTGCTGCTGGCACCGGTTCTGGAGCTGGATCATCCATCTCGACAGGTGCGGGGATTGTCGTTTGGATCTTGGCGCGCTTTTTCGAATCTCTCATTGCGATGTGATGCCCTGCTCCTTCTGTCTCTGCATTGCTGATATTGAAGTATAAGATGGTTCCAACGAGTCTATATACTATCCAAACCCCATCTATTCCTCAACCCTGCTGAAAATGGGCACACAGAATACCCCGCACTCGGGCGCTTACGGCTGTCATTGCTCTCGCATCTGACCAACGCGACGCCGAGAAGCCGATGCTATAATTGGCCATGCATGACTAACTTGTCTGCTGCGTGGTGAGCTGGCGACCGACGCAAGAGCTCTGCTAAGCGCTGCGTTGGAGCTTTCCGTGTCACGCCGGAAGAGACGGAAAGGTGATTTACTGGTTGAGGGCCTGTTTTAGGTGTGTTCTACTATATTCTAAGGCTTAGGGAGGTATGGCGTCCGGCTCAGTTTATACGAGGTCGATGCCTAATCTATTTTGCGTGTGCCTGAGAACTGAAAATGATGTCATTTCTATAGCAGGTCTTCTAACTTGGTGTTATATATCCCAGGGAAGACAAGGAAACCAGTTTGTTAATCAAGATGGTAGAGCTCGATCTTGGGTAGAAACCTTCAGGCGCAGATCGCCAGACATGAAATCATGCCACTTGGGCTCTGCATCTGCAGCCAAAGAATGCAGGACAAGTCATGCTGTTTGCCTCTTTTCACATGTTGAGCGTAGAACCCGTCAACTGAATACTGCATTTACATCCCCGTAAATATGTAAGTAGCCCAGGCAAGTAATTAAATCCAGTCTACATGACTCATTCCCTGCTAATCCGCCATGATCATCCTTATCAATCACCACCATAAACTAAACTCGTGATCAGCTCAGCACCATTTCGCCGATCACTCCAAAGCACCCGGACTCCATAGTTCGTACGGACTATTGCTCCATATGGATCAGAAGTGAGAAACGAACGGCGAACACGTTTGACCCACCGCCGATCACGCCGATCGCCCGTGGTCCGAACGCCGACGAAATTCGGAACCCCAATTTTGGATTCGAGTTGAACAAGCCTAAACGAGCGGGAGTTTGATCCTGTTTCAACTTTTGGGTCGCACAAAAACTGGGAGGACGGCCGTTTTACCCGTTTCGAGAGGTGTGGGTGGGTTATGATATAATTATGTTTCTGGGTTGAGAGTGTGGGTTTGTGGCGACGGGAAGGGGTGATTTAGGGGGAATAGGCCGAGGTTGGAGAGTGAGAGCCTACCTTGCTGTTAGTGGTTGATTATTGATTCAATAATGGTGTTTGTATGGCCTAGAATATTTGTTGAGTCAACTTCGTGGAGTCTGGAGCACGCGAGTGGCAAATCAAGGCGACAGAAGGGTTTCCGCTTGCGGAAATAGCTGGGATGAGTAAGATTGAGGATTGAAAGATGTCAACCATGTGTTATCATGGCCTCTGGGTGTCCGTCGGTACGCGCCATGGTCCTTCTCGAGTGTGAGAAGTTTTAAAGTTTTGTCATCGTGGTGGATCTTGAAAGTATTATGGAGACCTGTCTGAACTCCTGTAGTTTCACCAACAATGATAATAATAACCCGAACGTAACGTCCATTAGAATTATGAATATCTATCGCATAGTAGGTATCTCTAACGATGGTCTAGTATACTAATACAGCAAGAAAGAAGAAAACAACAAGCCATCCGAATCACCATTTTTTGCATCTCACATCTAGTTACCGCTGCGGCACATACGGCCGTTCTCGGCAACGGTCCACGCCTCGCTTCCCACGCCCTTCAGCACGTAGAAGAAGTTCTCGGGGTCATACTTCTGCTTGACCTCGAGCAACGGGGAGTAGTTGTCGCCGAAGAAAGTCTCCTGCCAGTTGGGCTGACGGAAGTTGGCCTCATTCTGGTAGGTGCCGCCGCCGGGAGTCACGGCCTCGAGCTGGGGCACGTATTCGTTGGTGATGCGGTCCTGGTCAGCAATCATATCGGCCCAGGGGGCGGTTTCGTTCCAGCTGGTGCCGAACTGAACGGTGACGGCGGCGCGGCGCCATTCGGGGAAGACAGCGTTGGAAACGTCGCCGGGGGAAGAGACGTTGAGACCAACGCCAACGGCAATCACTCCCTGCTGGGTAAGGTTGCGCAGGGCGCTGCCGATGCCGGACGGGTTGCTGTCCAGAGCGTTGCGAGGCACGAGACGGCCGCCGTACTGGTAGGTCGCGACTTCGAGGTTACCCCAGGGGAGGGGGCCCATGTACTTGTTGTAGTGGTCGTGGTACGACTCGTACTCGGTCCAGCTGGTCTTGTATTTGATGCCGAGGTCGGAGAGCTCGTCCAGGAAGGGCTGCAGGATGGACTGGATCTCGTCGGTAGTCTTGTTGTAGCCGGTGACGGGGTTGATGGCGAAGAAGGCGGAGGTCATCTGGTAGATGACGGTGACACCCTGGTCAATCATCTGAGGCAGGAGCGAGTGGAACTTGGAGACGGCCTGGTCGAAGGTCTCGGAAGAAATTCCAGTGGCGGCGAACTGGACGCCAGCGCCGGAGACCTTAACGTCGGGGTGAGCCTTGACGGTGACGGACATAACAACACCGTAGTTACCGGCACCACCACCGCTGAGAGCCCAGAAGAGATCGGAGTTCTGAGAGCGGTTGGCAGTCACGAGCTTTCCATCGGCAGTGACAACTTCGAATTCGAGCGTCTGATCAGCACCGAGACCGAAGGTAGTGCTGAGCGCGGAGTGGCCACCACCCTGGATGAAACCACCGGCGACACCGACCGTGGGGCACTCGCCAGTGACGACGACAAGGTTCTTCTCGGAGGCGGCGTCGAGGATTTGGTATCCCATAGTTCCGGCAGCGACCTTGAAAGAAGGGCCCTCGTAGTTAGAGTCAGACCAGTCCTGGTATTCAATGTCATGCAGGTGATGCATCCAGACGGAGAGGGCACCGGCACCGGTAGAGCGACCAAAGTAACTAAATGACATATTAGCGCTAGTGCTTCAACGGACTTTATTATTAAAGACTCACTCATGGCCAGTGTTGCGAATGACAAAGCGAATGTTGTTCGTCTGCGCGAACTGGATGGCAGCAATCACATCGTCGCTGGAAGAGACATCGACCGCGTAGCTCACGTAGTTGCCCAATTCGCAGGAGTGAGATTCCGCAGTAAAGGGGTCACAGCTCTGGTTGGCAAAGAAGGTCTGCATAACCGATGAGGAGGAGTCGAGGCTGTACTCATCATGTTAGATTAGTCAGTTTATATACGGCAAGGGAAAGAATAAACATACTGGACTTGGGGATGGTGCCAGTTACCCTGCAAGGTCTTGCAGGCGGCCTCATCATAGGTGGGATCATGGCATGGCGAACCAACAGGCACAGTGGCGACCAAACGACCGCCAACGGTGCTGTTCAGGGAGTTCCAGGTCTCCGTCGAAGGCCAGCAGCTGTCACCGGGCAAGCAGTGACATTGCGACTGGGTCGAGGACGAAGAGTCTGAGTCCGAAGGAGCTGCACATTCCGCGGCGACCGGCGAGAGAGCGGCCGTGGCGACAACCAAAGCCCAAGAAGCCTTCATGGTTCCGCGGGAGGAGCAGGGTAAAAGATGAAGATAAAGTTAAAACGTGGCAGGAATGAAGGAAAGAAGGTTGTCGATCATGAGCAGGTCGTTATTTATTTATATCATTAGAAGTCGAGGACCAGGATAGTGTTACGGTGAGAAGAAAAAGCAACGAGAGGAAGAGATGTAGAAAGAACGACTGGACCTCGGATTAGACCATAATCGGAGGAATTCCATAACTGCAGCCCCAACGTGGGCACGGGAGAGTATCTGAGAAAGGAGTCGGAGGAACAACCGCATCCGGAGATTTTCCCCAGAGCGTCTAGCGCTTGTAGCAAAAAGACGCCCAACTCCAAGACAAGCAAGGGGGGGGGAGCCCGAGAGGACAGATGAGAAGGATCTGGCCGAACTCCGGATCACCCGAGAAAACAGCCAGATCCACGTGTGAGCAGTGCGCCCAAGGCCAGCTCCACTTGACTATTGAGGAAAATGTCTTACGCGCAGCCAGCCGGTCACTGGTCCGTTGGCAATCGTGCATTTTGGCCCCTGCAGGCCTTTCTCCAAGCTTCGAATCAACGAAATTCATTCGCCGCCACTTCCCCACCGACGCTAAGTGTGGCCTCCGTTAGGGGCATTCCGGCGCCGTCCGGAATGCGCAGGAGCCAGCCATGAGCCCTAATTTCCTCTCTGAGTGACCCCTTGCGTCCTTGCAGCCCGACACTAGAGTATGAGATAGATCACCCAAGCCCTCTTTAGTCTCTACGATGTTCTCTCTATGTGTGCGCACTACGCAGGGGTCTGTGAAGCCACATGAATTCAGAATCCAACTCTGTTGGCGCTCTCCTTAATTTAATTTTATATTAGGCAACTGTACAATAGCAGGCTAGATTTAGAGATCTCACTCTGAAGGTTCTATTTTCAAACCAAGCTGATCTCCACAAACCGAGTCACGCTGCTCACCATACCAGCATGCAACTGGGTTATTCTTCGGGTCGGAAATCCTCGATCGGTCTAGTCGATCGGAGACGGACAACGGGGTGCCTGAATAGGACCGTACAACGTGGTCTACGGAGTAATGATTAGGGACAGCATCGGCTATCGTGAGCTACCGAGGGTCGGACTGGCTGTTCTTGACTACTGTGAGGACTAATTTCATTCATTTAGATAGCGCCATGACCGAGGTGGGACTCTATCTACGGAGTACGGAGTAGAAGAGCTCAAGCCAAAAAAGCGTCTTCGGCCGACCGACCTTTCGGTCATATCCACAGGCCCTGCCCAGAGCAACACGGAGCAAATCGCCCAGGTATCAATCCAAGGACCGTCCAGAAAGTGGCTCAAGTCTTAGCCTGCTTGATACGGAAGTGGCTTTCATATATTATTCCTAATAATAATGGCCGCTCGACTCGGAGGCTTCTCATTGTTGCTGCCTTTTCCGCGGCCAGCGTCGGTCAGCATCTGGTCTACATGAATCGGCTAGTGACCGGATACGAGAAACGGCCAAGGCCACCTGAGTCACTAGCACGAGTCTCGGAGATGCTCGCACTCGCAATTCTGCTCCTCGTCCAGGGGCATCGAAATATTCGGATGGTAATCTCCCTGGCCAAGGGTTCCTGCCTGCCGGTGGATAGTCATGCTCCGACCGCCATTCAGGTACCACGACTCACGAGCACACCCTAACAGAGTACCAGAGAGTGGCCTTACATCATGTGGCATGTAGTCTGCCGATCTTTCCTCCCACGAGTCTGACAACACATCGCATGCTAAAGTTAATCTGATCAAAGGCAACGGCGAATCAATCAACTGGGGAATCTTCGCCGTTGCAGGTACCACCATAACCACTGGAATAAAAACATCTAAGAATAAGACGATCCCAAATTCCGTTTGCATCGAAGGCCAAACCTTGAGAGGCACATTTGACTTTCTGCGGCGCCGCGAGTGGGTCCCTCCACACCTATCATTTGCCCGCATCCCCTCGTTTAAGTTCAGGGGCCCCACCATCATCTCCGGCAGTCACTTTGTGGCGTTTTCGCTGCCTTTTTCTCAGGTCGCTTAATCCTTGGGCTCCATCCTTAGACTCCACTCTCTCGCCTTCTGCATCGGTGAACCATGAACCACCGTCTGCTATATTCACGTTCCAAGGTCCTTCTGAGACCAAATTATTAGCCACCATGACAAACCAGCCAGTCAGGCCGACGCAACCACTGCCGAAAGGAGGCTTGTCAAGCCCTTCATCCGGGGATTGAAAGTCGATCTATTGACAGCCACCCTTGGAGCGAGCATTATAGACTGCCAATTTGCAATGGTCCTGTTCCTTTTCTGTCTCTCTTTTCGTCCTGTTGCTCTTTTTTCCACTTGAACGAGCCAACAGGAATTCTCATGTCCTTCATCCAAACTTTGTGCCAAAAGTCTAAATTCCAAGGCTCTGCCAGGTACCTGATGCGCTCTTCCAGTGGCCCGTATTAAGTAAAACGGCTGTCCCGGCTGCAATTTCTATCTCACCTCTCGCTCCTCTTAACCCGCTGTCATTGTTTCAACAATGTTATAGACATATGAGTTCTGTCAATCCCCCCAGACCCCAGGGACACATTCATCTGTTTTCGCTTCCCCACCGAGCGAAAGCGCGGCAACAATGCCACCCCATCAGCTACATGCGAGAGATAATCATGGGCCCGAGCTAGACAGAGGCATCTGGGCCGCCGTTGCGATTGCCGCGCTGATCGTCATCCTAAGGGTCTTTGCTAAGATAAAGATCAACCACTTTCGCGTAGACGATGTTTTGATGGTCATAGCGGCAGTATGTGCTTCCATCTTCACCTATATACCTTATTTCGGTACATTATCCAACTACTAATTACTCGATCAGATCCTAGCCATTGTCTCCACCGTTTTCTTAACCCTCTCCGTCCAGCGTGGCTTTGGCAAAGACCTCACAACGATATCCAGCGACGATCGCATGGCCGTTTTGAAATACATCGCTATCCAGATCCCAATCGTCACCATTAGCACGACTATCGCTCGCTCTGCCTTTATTGTCTATCTCCTTCCGATCCTCAGCCCAAACAAGAAGTACCAGATTGCGTTATGGACGGTCTTGATCGTTCAGTTTGCCGGCAACATCGCCTCCGCCGTGTTGCCACTTAGCATGTGTCGCAATGTTAATATTCTCTGGGATCCGACGGTCAAGACGACGTGTGCTGATCAGAAAGCGGTTGTTAACTTCGCCTATTACTCTAACAGTTTGTTTCCCTGGGTAGTCAATTACCGATGAGACGATGTCGACTAACCACTCTATGTTAGGTTTCAACTCCTTCACGGACTTATTCCTAGCCGTCTTCCCCACCGTCGTGTTCTGGAATCTCAACCTCAAAATGCGCATCAAGATCAGTTTAATCATCCTGCTGAGTTTGGGTATCGTGTATGTTCCATTTCGCCATCCTCTCCCCTCTCCCTTCCATCCGCAACCACTAACCAACACACAGTGCAATGGTCGCCTCGATCGTCAAAACCACCAAACTCAACCAAGTCCCTAGCGTCACGAACCTCGGATCCACAGGAGCAGTCGAGCTCATCCGCTGGGGCTATGTCGAAAACGCCCTGATCATCATCACATCCTCCATCCCCTGTATCCGACCCCTAATCATCTCCTCCGTGCGCAAGATCTCCAGCGGCGGGTTCACGCGCTCCTATGAGTTAACGGGCCCGTTCAGCGGGAACCGGCGTACGGCGGGAAACGAAACCGCGCAATCCCGACGGCAGAGGAAGTGGACGAAGACCGAGACCGGGAGTGTTGAACGGATATTAGAGCCGCATGGTACGCAACATACGCATAATACGAGTGTTAGTGGACGGAGGGACTCGTCGGAGCGTATGGAACCGGGGATCACGAAGCAGGTTGAGATCTCGGTTACGAATCATCAGGGGCAGTAGGTGGTTTCCCTGGCTAGGGGATTCGGGAGGGGGTTGTATAGAAGCAGGTGTACAGTAATGTTGGTGGTCTTCTGTATATTTACTTGATTGGAGATGGAGTACATGGTTGGTTGGTTGGTTTGTGTATAGGATTTTAATACTATATAGATAGAATTGATGAATTGCACGATTCTTCTTCAATGATTTGTGCGATAGTTCTGGCATTGACATCTGTATGTTGATCTCTGTCCCTGGAGTATCCATCCTTTAGTTCTGATTGGTAGTCATACTACGTGTATCTCCATGGATCATTCACGACTTAGGTTACCTTTATCTCCCTCCGGAATGTCACTCTATCTTCTATCACGGAACATAACGCAAATTTCAGGGCATTATGTCGCCAATCCCACTAGATAGTCAGATCTTGCCTTCAATACGCCGTTTCAAAAATGGAAGTTCTCTTTGTGGTTGTAGCTTTATCCCAGACAATCTGTAGATAAAAGCAATGGCAAATAGATAGAAACGGTTCAATTCCCCTCTGTATAGCCTGCAAGATCGTCTCGTTATCAATACCGCGTCTGAAGCCAAAGTGGCAGAAACCATCCCTAACAAGAGCGGTTCATTGAACACAATTCCTATTATGTATCACCAAAGATACGCAGACAGCCCCATCGTCAACGCTTACATCCCCACGCGCCGCGGAGACCCATACTTCCAAGACATGTACCTCTGGGTCCCCGTGCAACGGGGTCGGAGCACCGTATCGCAGTTTTACACCGACATGCTAAGAGCCATCGACCGGGGCGAGGCGCACATAAGCACCTCCCCTTCTGGCAGAAGGGCCGGAAGCACCTGGGCTCTGGCTATCGATCGTCAGGATGTGAATAACGATAGGCGGATTATTCGGCAGTTCCAGAATGATATTCACGAGTCCCAGCAGTATGCCGCTAGTATTAATGCGGAATGGGAGAGACAGTCCGCAAGGCAGAATGGGGCGCCGAATGGGCATGGAAATGGTCGGGCGAATGGGCATGGGAATGGTTCGAATGGTTACAGTAATGGTCGTTCGAATGGTTACGGAAACGGCCGCTCAAATGGGTATGGCGGGAGTAATGGATATTCTAACGGATATTCTAATGGCGATGGAGGAAGAGGCCATGGCGGCGGTAGACATGGCGTTAACGGATATGGCCGCGGCTACTACTGAGTGCTAGGATTTAGTGGTCCGTTCTATATTGTCTTCCCTCGGTGCATCGTTGCCTTTTCCGTTCTGGGCTCCCCGGCTATTCTCGTACTTCCCTTAGAAGAGAAAGTCTGTTGCAGGTGAAGGGCTCTCATCAAACTGTTCCCTCACCACACAGAAAAGATCATAAAATCAAATGGCAAATAGTCTCCCGATCAAAGGAGAAGTATTCTTACTGCAATTTCCTCCAAGTAAACATTGTAACCGCCAAGGTAGCTTTAAATGTGAGAGTGCCCTGTAAGCAGTGAATCGAAGGAGCTAAGAAACGCAACATGCACGAGTCATACCCCTGTCAGCCCCGCGGTAGACACTTGACGTAAACAATGCGATTCAGGTACCGGCAAAAATAGAACAAAGGCAAAGGATTATCTCAAACTCTGTCCTTCGGATTCAATCCAAGTAACTAAGTCTTGCCTATCGCAGCTAGTTACGTAACAATAAAAGGAGGCCCAGGGCCAGACGATGGATGACTGTCGAAAAGTTCGAACGCCACATCGCATCCACGATCTGTCTAGTCGCATTAGACTGCAGCCACGAGCCAGGGTTGTGTATTTGTCACGTTCAGTGGACGTTGCGGTGGGAGCCTATCATTGTTTTTTCTGTGCTCCGAGTCTCCGTAACTACCAAGTCGAGTGGAGATAAGGACCGCGGAGATCTAGAGCCATGATCGGACCGAATGACTAGTCTGGATATGCGATCGTTGGTTCCTAGGTCAATGCACCCATCACGGAAACATTCCTTGATTTTTTGATCAAGAAAATTTGCATCGGCTTCAATTATTCACAGTGAAGTTTCGGTACCTGGCCGGCGACGGGCTCAGATGGATCTGAGATAAAGCCGTAGGGCTGGTCTAGCCTCTTTTAAGGTTCAATAGTTTGTCTTAGTCGCAGGGCCATGCCCTTGTGGCTTTCTCTCCAATTCTGTCTAATTGCGATCGCTTGTAATCAATTTGTTTAAATAGGTCGTGACCCGTTTGAATTTCTATCAATACTTTTTGCCCTTTGCATAGTCGTCAATCTCGTAGTGACTTCTGCCGGTACGAAAAGCCAAGGTATTTAGACCACGTCTATGTCCGGGTAGGTGTCAGGATTACGTTATTACCTATTATTTTCAATCAATTCTTATAGACAAACTAGAGGGAGTCGCTCTTCTTGTTGACCCCGTTATCCATAGAACAGTGCCCTTTTAGATGCTCTTCACGAGAACGTGAGCAGAATTGGGGCTGTGCTGCATACGCGTCAGGTAGCATAAAGTCTGTCATAACATACTAGACAATAAGGCCACTGAGAATCTTCGATGATGGCTTATGTCAAGCTCTTGGTACAAAGTCACCCAGAAGAGACAATTCCTTAATCATCATTGAGTAAAAAAGCTATTACAATACGCAGGCTCGGAAGGCGTAGCGATGATAAGGTCTGAATTCAATATATTGCTTATATAATTCTTGGAATTAACCAGTTAAATTAAAGTCTATCGAACAGATTTCTCAGATCAATCAACCAGTCGATCAAACTTCTATTAACCCGATGAAGCCTCATGATCAGATTAGTTTACCCGTCGTCGCGCGATCCGGACGGAGAACTGGAAGACTAGAGATTACAGTCCTTAATTTCACAACTCTTTTTGTTCGAGTCACTTAGTGATGTACTGAAAATACCACTGCTGATAGTTACCCTACTATGAAGGGCGAGTTGTCTTGGAATCACGAATCTGTTGTTGTTCAACAAAGGATCTGCCTTTATTTTGCTTGGCATTCATATTGCCTGTATGTGGTAATGGAACTCGACGATCAATTTTGTTGACCCGCCTATAACCGAGGGAATGCACACGTTCTGAAGGCTTGATTAAGGTTCGACTGCATCATAGATGCTGCCATTACAATTCTAGAGTTCGTCTACATAGAGCAGCCTTTGTGATAACACTTGAGTCATCCAATTAATATGTTTGCGAGAAAATCTTGTTTATAGCAGTTTCCACTGACTAAGATTTATATTCCCGGGATGTAACTGGAGGTTGGCACAGAAAGTCTTAGAATTCAGGTTGCCAATACTAGAAATATTGGATTCCATTATATTTGTCCAGTATGGCACCTCATGCTTAGCATGGAAACAAGCCCTCTAAATTGTACACGCGGAGTACGGGATGACGGGGATCGCAGCTCAGCCCCCACGGGACTCCCTGCCTTATTGGAGACGTACTGGTGTAGTAAACCGTCATTCCGGCTTATTCAAGGATCACCCCTCAGCATTTCCTGTCAAAAGGGTATTTAATTGACGCATGAGCCTAAGAATCCACGTGTCTAGTACATCACCGCGCCTATATAATCTCGCTAACTTTCCAAGTCTGGACATTGGACTGCTTATGAACTAGAGCCCTCCTCCCATCATTGCACTCCCTCACACTCGAGCTATCGTCGTTCATACACACGAAAACACGCCAGACTGGTACGAAAAGGACGTGCAAAGTGTAAATGCGGATGCTCAAAGCCTACTGGAAAGACACAGCGGGCTCAAGCCCGAAGAGGTTCTTCCGCATGTCCTATCATTAGTAAATGGCACTCTTATTACCATCAACCGTCTTCTTGTATTAACTTCCCTTCTAGCGCGATGAGGCCTCCTAAATCTTTCGTTATCGGTGTATAGAGCAGATGCGGTTTCTTGCTTTCAACCTCTGCCGCATGCCGTTCTACAACCAGGTCCTAAGCCGCCTTCGAGAGAACCCCTCCGCCAATTTCCTCGACGCCGGCTGCTGTTTTGGACAGGAAATCCGCTCGCTTGTTGACCAGGGCATCCCCAGCAACCAACTATACCGATGTGATCTGGAGCAGCCCTTCATTGACCGAGGCTACCAGCTCTTCCGGGACCGTGATCGCCTCGAAGCGACGATTGCCACGGGAGATCTCACGGCAAACGATCCCAAGGCTGGAGAGAGTGAATTAGGGCAGAAAATTACTGGCAATATATATTCGCGAGCGCCCTATTCCACCTATGAGATTACGACACTGGGCTTTTAGCTGCCATACGACTTGTCAAATTGTGCCGTGGCGACAAGTTGGGAGTTTGCTAGGTGGTCATTACCCGATGCATGGCGTCGATTTCCGGTCTTTCCACTATCGGCATAATGTAAAGACTGAAGGGGTTCTGGAAGAATGTTGAAGATGTCACCCAGACACGTTGGAAAGTCGAGGCTAGTTTCTTTGCCGAGGACGAGATTGGGAAGGCGAACAATGTCCTTTCCGGCTTTAATGAAAATACGAGAGTACTCTGCTGGTCGGTTACGAGGATCTGATGCCCAATCCGCACGAACAGAATGAGACTCGGCTTTTGTGTTACTTTCTCCGAATATCGGTACGATCGTCGTAAAGTTTATAGTCTATAGACAAATTATTAGGGGTTTCAGATCGACCTTTCTGTGTAGCAAAAGAACGAATCGTGGATGCTTGATACGAGAAAGCCGATGGGTCGTAGTTAAGATCTCTGTAGTCGTAGTGAGGCGGTAACAGTTGCCTGGTGGTCCCAACAATCGCCTCTACATTGATAGGATTAGCTGATTAGCTTTCTAGAAACGCACGAATATATAAAGAAATCCCTCTTGAATTACACAAATGAATGGGGTTTTGGTTCAGAGAATGCGCGCAGAATATCCCCTATAGTAATTGCTCGAATAATTAGAAGGCCTAAGAGAATCTGCAATCGAGCTAGTATTTTACATGAGGAGGATGGACTTCCTGTAGAGAGTGGCAAGTGTAGAACAAAACGGGATGGCAGTTTGGCGATCCCCCGCACTGTGATTACCTCAGCCGAATGGATGACGCATGCGGCACATAACATGTGCATAAACCGTGCATAAATACCTATGCGCACAAAGCCCCTATCCCTGTTTAACCACCATCTGCCTGATGATCGACGTGAATTTTCTTTTCACACACCTAGACCCCCATGTCTATGTGAAAGAATCTGCCCTCTACCCATGATAAACACGTCTAGCTCCTCATCCACGGGGGATGAAGGCCCCATGAAGACTCTTCAACAAACAGTCCTGGCCGGGAAGAAGAGACGCCTGCCGCCATTTCTGGACCATTTCAACGCGCGCGACTTGAAGATCCTATGTCGCTGTTGGATAGCAGCGTGGGTGGCTTGCTTGTTGTTTCTTATTACGCCCTCTTTGTCAAGTTTGGGAACTGCGACCTTCTTTGCCTGGTAAGACGCCCTTCCGTCTGCTATGCTATACGGTCTGACCAATTACCCCTAGTCTGGTTTTGTTGATGCTGCCACCGAGTACTGTGGTACTTATCTACCTCCTTGGATCATTTTCCCTGTATCTGGGAATTTGTTTAGCTTGGGCATGGGGCGTCATCACGACGAAGGCCGCTTTAGCGGCCAGGCCGGCAGAAGCCACCCAAGCCCAATTGATGGCCTTGCAACAAACCGCCCAGCAACGTGCCAACGCGACCGGGGAACCAGTCGCCAGCGTGGCCCAGGTGCTAATTTATGATGGGCACATGCTGGATGCACGGGTGACTGCCGTGACCTACTGTATGATTTGCACTTTCATATATCTCATGGTATGTTTATATCCAGCAACTTCTGAGAACCATTACTCACCGTCCCTAGGCTCGCCTCCGAGCCAGTAACCCCAAAGCCACGTTCACGGCGATATTCGCAATCATTATCTCGGACCTGTTTCTCCTCTTCACCCCATTGCTTCCCTCTTTCTCGGGCACCCTCCCCCTTACACTGGCTAAACCGGCAGCCGTCGGGATCGGCCTGGGATTTGCATGTTCGGTACTCTTCTTCCCGCAGTCAACATCTCGTGTTGTGTTGGATAGCATGGGCGACATCATCGAATTGCTCACGCATCCCCTCGCGTTTACAATGGCCACCCTGGGCCAACGCGACCCGGACTTGAATGTCGGGCAATTACGAAAGACCCAGGCCGGTATCATCGGCCAGTATCGGAAAATGGAGCCGGCCTTGGCTTTCCTACCATTGGACTTCTCTGTCGGATGCTGGGGAGCTCAGAACGTCGGAAGGTTCAAGGAACCTCTCCGGCAGACTGTTGCTGCCACACTCTCGTTGCTTGAACTTCACATCAACCGGCTCTCTGGGCGAGAGCGCGCAAAGGACGTCTTGCTCAAATACGCGGATCAAATCGACTCGGAGAAAGGGGAGACGAAAGAAGCACGTGTAGTTGGGCGTCACCAGCTGTCACAAACGGCCCGTCTACTGGATGGACTGCGTGCTTCCGAGTCCGAACCGATTCCAGCTGAAACCCTGCAAGCTTTGACTAACACTGCATCCAAAGCTATTGAAGCCTGTGTTGTCGCACTTACGGCGGCAAAGGACTGCATTCGAATGGCCAATAGCCAAACATGGTATTGGCGTCCCTCATCTGACAAGCGGGCGCAGCTGAGCCAGCAAGCCCAAAGAGCCCTCGAGGATCTTCGTGCAATGCGCATAACATTTATTGAGAACACTACCAAGACTTTGGTTGATGAATTTGGACCGTCCCTTGACAGCGCATCAGACAGCGATGGAGGATATCGCAACCACCGGATCGGGGCTATCGTTTTTGGCATGGTGTTTGAGGAGGTGTTGTCTTCGACGATGGATCGCACGGAAGTCCTCCTGACCCAGATACTGGACGTTTTTCAAACGTGCAAGACGACTCGCGTTTGGTGGCCGACAAGCCTCAAAGCATTCGGCACATGGCTAGCAGGCAAAGGAAACAAGACCCCTGCAATGGCCCAAGCGGCCGATGACAACCCGGAAGAGGAGGCGGACCAGACAAAAAAGGTGCAAGAGAAGCTGCGAATTAGCCGAGGATATCGCACCAAGCGCCGGGGTGTAGTGAGTCGAGTGATCCTGGGAACATACCACTGGTTCACCTCCGATGAAGGACTATTCGCCTTGAGGACAGTCGTGGTGACAATCGCTCTTGGCATCATCTCAGCCATCCCTAGTACAGCTGGGTTTTACTACCGCGAGAAAGGCATGTGGGCGTTGATCATGGCACAAACAGGCCTTGTGCCCTATATGGCTGATTTTACCTTCTCCGTCATTGCGCGAGTCACAGGGACCGTCGCGGGTGGTGTACTGGGCCTGCTAGCATGGTATATCGGCTCCGCCAACGGCCCGGGTAACCCATACGGACTCGCAGCCATTATGGGTGTAATGCTAGTTATCTTTCTTTGGGTCCGTTTATACTTACCCCCGAACCTTCTTCAAGGGGGTATCATGGGAGGTGCCACCTTCCTACTCGTGGTTGCATATAGCTTCGATGATACGTGAGTCTTCAGGGGATTAACAATACAATCCTCAAAGGCAGCTAACTTTAACATAGACACATTCCAGCTTACGGTAACCCCGGTGTCGGCTATACCGTCTTCTGGCGCCGACTACTGCTCGTTCTGATCGGCATCGGTGCAGGCATCATAGTCCAACTTTTCCCCCATCCACCATCTGCGGCCAAACATATCAGCAAGACCCTATCCACCACTATCCGCACCATATCAGACCATTACGCTCTACTCCTATCCTGCTGGAATCAGGAGGGACAGGCAGACGGCCAGGCCCTCGCTGAGCCGATATCTCTTCGAATGGCCGAATCCCTAGTCATGCTCGACGGCCCCGTCCAACTCCTTCGCTACGAGTTTTCCAGCTCTCGCTTTGACAGCGACACCATGGATCAAGTGAAACGGCTCTGCCATGGCTTGAACCGCAACCTCGGTAGATTGCTCTACCTCTCTGCGTCCCTACCCCGGGAATACCGAGACCGACTGGCGAAATTGACGGGCCTGCTCGATCATCGCTGCATCGGAGAAGTCATGGCCGTGTTGAGCGTTTGCGAACAGGCACTCAAAACGGGCGATGCGCCGCCAGAGCTCTTGCCTACGCCGCTCGTGCAGCGATCAATGGAGTATTGGCGTGCGCATTCTCTGGATGTGATTCTGTCGCCGGAGATGCTGAGGGATGAGAATTATCGACGTTATTGCGTTGGAATTAGTGCCTATGTCAAGTTCCTGGATACCGTTGATCAGTTGGTGTTGGTTATTAAGGGTGCGGTGGGCGAGTCTCATCTGGTCGCTTGGGAAAGGGCGGAGCCTGTGGTATAAGTGTACAGAATCTACCAGGGAAGGTTTCCGCATAGATAGATTTTTATAAATGAGTTATGTGTCATAGAAATCTAGCAGGTAGCCTCCCTCTACCTGTGTTCCTAGCACCACCTCATTGCTAACGGACCTCACTTCGCTACAGTATAACATGGAAGGACGAACACGTAGAGGCAAAAACACACTAGACACTTCCTACCTAGATTGAAAGAAATTATCCTTTCTCATTAAGTAAGTAACATCATCTCTTGCTCCGTGCTTAGAACGTGTGCTCATTTTCACGACAAGCTCAATAGTTAGTAGAAATGTCATCTGACATTCCAAGCCCTATAATGCCGTACACATCACCTCTCTTGAATCGCTAGAACAGAGGTCCTCCGCCTTACTGGACCTGCAACGTCCCGTTCAAGTGCAAAATGCGACTACTCGCGCCAACAAAAAGATTATACTCCGCCGCTTGAAGCCTCCACTGCTGCGCAACAACATCCCAAATGCTCAGATCCCGACGCGTCAAAAGGAAAGTGACCTGTTTCGTCTCCCCAACCTTCAAAGGCACTCTATCAAATCCTCGAAGCTGTCGTATCGGAGCGTTTGGAATCTCAACATAGAGCTGCGCAACTTCCGAGCCAGCCACATCTCCCGTGTTAGTGATCGATGCTGTCACTTCGAACAAAGTATCCCAAAGCTCCGGGTGTCCGCCTTGCACGATGGCGATACTTGGATCCACCAAAGCTGATGTGCTATTTCCTGTGGATTCCACGTGGAGGTCGGAGTATTTGAACGTCGTGTAGGATAGACCAAAACCAAACTCGAAGCGAGGGGTGATTTCCTTGCGGTCGAAAGCGCGGTAGTCGATGTATAGGCCCTCGGTGAAATTCACCTCGGGGAAGGCGTCGAAAGATACGGTGGAGTTGAGAAGAGAGCCATAGTCGGACTCGTTCTTGGCAACGGTATAGGGCAGACGTCCCGATGGATTGATGTCGCCGTAAAGGATATCGGCAAGTGAGTGACCACTCTCTTGGCCAGGGAGACCGGCGTATAGCACGGCAGTTACGTTTGGATGGTCGATCCAGGCGTCGACGGTGCGAATACCTGTTTTCGTGAATTAATATGGGTGTACCCTTCGCAATGTCAAGACCTGGGACTACTTGCCGGCTGAATGAATCACCACAATGGTATTACTGCAGTTCGTTGCCACGTTCTTCACGAGGTTATCGCTGAATTCATCCTCAAGCGAGGTGCGATCAAAGGCCTCGGATGCGTACGCGTTGATGAACACCAGGCAGGCGTCGCTGTTGACGTATGCAGGTGTGGGGTTCTCCGAGTAAAAGTCCCAGCGAAGAGTTCCACGATTGCGAGCGGTGCGCTCTTGAAGAGCTTGGAATGGGCTAACAACGTACGGCGGGGTGCTTGCACCAGAGCCACCACCGGTGAAGAGAGTGCCATTGAAGGTCGTCCAGCCAAAGTTCACTTCGTAGCCACCGCCATATCGCGAGGGATTAGCCCACGGCGAAGCACTGACGGTCGCGTCGTAGCCGTAAACGCTCAATAATCTAGTGGAGTTGGTGAAAGGAAGCGTGTTGTTGACGTTTTTGACCAGCACCGTGCCGGCAGAACCAATTTCTTGGATGAGGTCGGCATGATCGCGCTGGACGTCGATGGGATCGTGCTTTTCGGCCTCCGAGTAGATCCCCGGAGCAGGGAAGCCTTCGTCTTGTCCGGTCAAATACCACGCGGCGAGGATTCGAGTTACCATGTCGTCCAATCGGTCTGCACTAACGCTACCGTTGTTGACGGCACGAGTCAGGTTCCGGCCCCAAAAGCCACCGTCCGGCATGACGATGTCGAGACCAGCATTGGCAGATGCGACGCCCGCATGCTGTGCGTCCCAGTCACTGACAACAAACCCTTCAAATCCTAACTCGGTTTTCAGGACACCATTGAGAAGCTTGGAGTTCTGACAGCCATAGGAATGGTTCGCTCGTTGGTACGAGCACATCACGCTGCGGATGCCCTCCTTGAGAGAGTCCATAAAGGGGAACGCATACAACTCATGCAGTGTCCGATCATCCACGTTGGAGCTCAATGACTCGCCCATATCCCCCGGATTCCGTCTCCACTCTTCCTCGTTCAGAAGCCAATGTTTGGCATTCGCAATGACACCCGCCTCTTGAATACCTTTGGTGATAGCACCCATGCCAACGCCCGCAAGGTAGGGGTCCGCACCCAATCCTTCCCAGTTCCTTCCACCGCGGGCTAATCTCCCCAGGGGACCAGCAACAGGTCCCAGGGCTACATTAACACCCTTATCGTGATACTCCTCTCCGAGGGCATGGCCATACTGATACAGAAGTGAGCGATCCCATGTCGAAGCCACGTGAATTCCGGCAGGGAAGGCAGAGACGAATTCTTGCCCGCGCACGCCGTCAGGGGCATCGGAGAAACAAAGCGAAGGGATCGACAGGCGGGGAACTGCGCCGCTGTTCCCCACGCATTGGCCGTCATGTCCGCGAGTCAGGTTAGTCTTCTCCTCCACGGTCAGTCTGGACACTAGGGTCTTGGCACGCTTGTAGGCTTCTTCCCAGGCGGTACTCGTTGTGCCGTTCGCAATGGCTGAGGACGCAATTAGCGAAGCAATCAAACCGAAAGCGAGTGAAGGGTTTATGAGTAAAGGTCCTATGGTTCGAGGGACTTACGCGAGGGGTAGACAGCTGGACTCCGACCATAGTATGGAACCTCCGATTGATTGGTGTATCCAGCAAGACAGAGCGTGCTCTGGACCAGAGCGACCTGGGCCAAAGGGGAGAGGACCTTCATATCGTTGAATCACACAAAAAGTTTAACATGAATAAAAGGTTTCAATGCAATGACTTGACACCGGGGCTTTTATAGACATTCCTGTATCTTCGGAGAACGTCCGATGACGACTCGTCTCGAGATCCCTTGATCTTGCCATACTCTAAAGACAGCACCGGGAAAATATCGGCAAGACGGGCCTTGGTTTGGTATTTGAATTTTGCACCACTGCAGCAAAGCAACGGCGCGGGGAAGGCCTTGCGGGGTAGTGGATGCCGATGACGGTGTCAGGCAATGGCCTGGAGAGAGTGGAGCGTGTGGAGATACTGCCCGCACTTAGTCGCGAAGCGTCATATCGGCCCTCGACTGCACTGATTCTAGTTGTCAAGTCAGAAGGCCGCGGGACCGCGGGGCCGTCTCGTTGTGAGAGCCTGTTTGAGCTAGATCCAACAGTACTAGTCACCGCTTGGGTGTGTTTAGATCGCAAGCGGGCTGCGCGGGATTGGGGAGCCATGCAGTTGTGCAATCCTTTGTGTCACTCCTAATACAATGATCAATACCAGCCAAGTCCGACTAAATCTCTTTAGCGCCAGAACTAGGCAACAGCATAGTCCTGGATTCCCGTCAATTTAAGTGCCGAATCATGATACTGGGTCTTTTCTAATGACGTCATGTATACCGAACTGACAAACGCACACTGCTATACTTATGGGGCTAGTTCATGTTAATTTCCCATATAGGGAGATCTCCTATTGACCAGAAATCAAAATGCATTTTAGCTGGGTTATAGCTGAATACGAGAGAAAGCATTAATCATGTCATTGTTATTACGCAGATAGCTTTCGATGAAGTATCAGTAATACCACATTTGATACATAATCAAGTTTTCTATTCACAATCCACATCTAATTGCTTTGAACGGACTTAAAGCTGGCTAGCTTCTCTCTCACGTTGATTTTGGTTTTGTTAACGATGAGATCGTCACGATATTGCACTTTGTTTTGGAAGACGAGTACGATATCCGAGCCTCCGAACAGGAAGTAGGAGATCTCATCCCCTTTCTTGACACATTGGCCCTTCTTGGCAGTAATGACAACAGACGAAACATGGGCCATTCCAATAGGCAGCACGGCGACCTTGCCATAAACAACAGTGTCGATGATGATAAGGCCACGGGTCTGGCACCACTGATAGCCCGCATCATCCGGAGCATCTAGCTCTCTGAGCCCCTTCTTCCTCTTTTCCTGGCGTCGAGAAACTTCTTCAGAGTCACGCGTAAGCCCTCTATCAGGGACAAGCTTGTTACCGTCTCTCTTCTTCGTGACTTGAAGATAGACCTGATCCTGGATATTCTTGACTTCGACAATCTTGCCGCTCACGGGGGCGTGCTGGCGGTGATAATCGTGCGGCGACAGGAATGCATGCATCAGGCTACCGTTATTGAAGTCTGTTCCAACCCGCTGGAGTAGCTCATTAACGGGCCACTCAATCCCCTTTGCAACGAGCGCATCATCTTTGATACTGACGAATCCGTCATTAATGTCCCAACTACCGCCAAACATCGAATCAGCACCATGGACAATAACTGTATCATCACCTTCGCCAGAAATTGGACGAGCAACATTGATATCGGCCCAGCGGCGGGAAAAGAACTCGTTAAACGACCTCCATGTTCCGTGAGGTGGTTTCTCCCAGAGGTCTTTGTCCTGATTGTAGATTGGATTGTTGTAGAAGGATTCGACATGTGCGGCCGATTCGGTAGTATCCATCCAGTTTCCCACTTCACGGGCATAACCGACAAGCCAGTATGAAAGCCAGGACAGGTCCGTACTAGAGGTAGACGGGAGAATTGGAGTTTGAAGGTTTCTGACCGACGGCTGCTCAAAGACCCAATAGAATATAAGCAGCTTGCGGAGCAGTGCATCCCCAGGACTAGAGACGTCCGGGGCCCATTGCAAGAGATCATCACAGTAACGCAGGTAATCATCCAGATCATAGACGCACTCAGTGTTCATCTCCTCCTGTCCGCCATTTTCTTTGACGCGAGCAGACGAGATAGCAAACCTGAACGCTCTAGCTCTTTCTTGTGAGCGGAAGATGTAATCGCGTAGGTCACGGACGATGCCATGCCTGGGTTCATATTTGGAGGCGTTGCAGGGCGAGGACATCGTGTCTGAGGAACGAGGGGCTTATCTCAAGAGAACTTTGGCTTTAGTTGATGTAAGGGCCAAATATTGAATTGAGTTGGCATTTGTAGCAGAGTCCTCAAGATCAGTTATAATAGACATCTTTTATAAACAGGATAATGGCCGGTAATAGCGGAACAATGCACATTAGTAGGGCAAAGATGATATGCTAGACTCTAGTGGAGAATGTAATTTTGACATCATCTATATTCTCAGATTGCGCATGTTGCGAAGACGTCGCGCGTTATTCATAGATACGTCATTGAAAGCCCACTTTGGTAATGTGTCTGCGTACATTGGATTGGATTGCACCTTATCTTATGGGTAATTGTGATGGCTATCTTCTTAGTGGATGCAAATGCGAACTTATAATTTAGGACCTTTCAGCGACAGTCCATTGCTCTATAATATAACCTTGTGCTTTCATAGTAATATTTTGAATTGTAAACATGAGGTATCGTACATCTTGAACAAATCATCTTACATCGCTATGGTTGCAATATTCCAGTATAGTACTTTTGGCTACGTGTTTACTTCTCATGTTGGAGGCTATTATCTTGCTAAGTACTAGTATGACCCAAACTTTAGGCCAAATCAGTGCACTTGACTCTGGTTGTACTTCTCTTTGATCCGCCACACGTCTATAACTAACATGATATCTCAATGAATTTCATCGTTTGAATTAAGTGAATATTGGAAATATGGCTTCTAACCTCTATGCTGTCGATTTTATTCTTCTAATCTAGTATTGTCTGTCTTCTACGGATACCCCGTACGTGTCGACATCATAGCCCTAGATTAAAATTCAGACTGCTCCACACAACCCGCATGAGGTTATCATTACACACTGCCGGATGCCTCGGGATTTACACTTTGAAAGCCCTATTAATCTTGATGTTCGGAGTTCCAACCAAAGGTATAACTAAGATAGAACTTGACACTCTGATTGATCCTACGATTTCACCGCTGTGATCGAAGGCGAATCGGCTATCGTTTGACAGGGCAAGACGCGCCCAGCAAGTTTAATCAAGTATTGCTCGGCGGGGGTTTGAATGTGATATTGCAGTTGGAAGTAGGCCCCAATCATATTTCCCATAGGAAGTTTCTCGGGATCATTGCTTTTGTCAGGACTATACTACTGGCACTGACCGCGTTACGACGACGGGAGTTGGGCTGAAGCCGTATAGTTTCGGCACGGCCCATTGGCAACTGCCGATCCCCGTGCCGCCAAGTGTCGGTAATGGTATCCGTCCCGCGGCTTCGTTGCCCAACCCATATTTCGCGACAGGGCACGGAATTATACGAACACTGATTGAAACTAAATGGGTAAATAGATGGAATGGGGACGAATAGAATCAATATGTCTCTGTCTCCCGTGTTATGAAATGCTGCTTAGGGCACAGGTGGCTTTTGTTAAGCCCAGATTATATATATATCATGTTCGGTAAAACCATCCGCGGCAAAACCCTTTAAATATTTGTCGCTCTAATGGAGTACAACAGCTGGTGACCAAGCCGAAATAATTTTATATCTTACAGTATAGGTGCAGTTATCTTCATATCCATCTAGTCATTGAGGAGAGGTAGCGGAAACCTGGGTTTCCATATTAGGGACACTAGACGCTACTTTTGATGATCTTTTATTTCATCGACTCCGTTTTCTAGATGGATATTCTACCCTATGTACTTGCCATGATGGAACCTTTTCTTCTGATGTGCACGCTGCAGCCTAAGGGAAAAACGAACTGTGGGCGGCATGGACCATCCCTATTACTGACAAAAGCAGAGGGGCTATCCAACCGAGGGCCAGAATGATAAGTTGTAAGCCACTTAGGCCTAGGAATGTTATCGTCAATGTGGACGGAGGAGATTTTTCCTATTCCCCGAACTTATCGCAGAAATTCGTTTTCTGTTATCATCCATCGATGGATAGGCGATGGTCCATGTACTGAGGCACTTGACTTGGGTTGCGATCCTCAGGTACACACACGAACGAACTCACGGAGCAGTATATTAACGTCACTTCTGAAAAGTGACAAGGTATTAGCCAAGTACAAAGAGTGGGAAAGGAGGGGTGAAATTGATTGGTATGAGAGGGCGGTGCCCTAGGATGCCACTGACAATCCCCGATTGGTCGAATAGGCCATGCCTGGCCGACCCGGAGGAGACTTTGCAGCTTACACAGTACGCACCAAATCGCTCTTGGCTGTTAGTTAACCGTAATAGTCTTAGCTCACTAGTATCTTCTAGGGCATTTTCTGCGGCATAATGTTCATCGGGGATCATCAGCGCCAAGAACCTTTTTATCGCTTGGGCTGGGAACATGTAGTAGACTTCCCCCCCACGACCAATCAGAGCACAGGAGTGACATTCAAGGCTGGGCCCTAGTTCGTGTCTAGCCGACTTAGAATCTTATACTTATGAATCTGGGAACGCCAGTATCACTGAAGGAACCCAAAATAGTATCTATTACTGTTAGAGCAGCGTTCTCAAGCACGGTCAGTGAGAATGAATCTTATGAAATAAGCTAGCTGGATGGTCGCTAATTGAGACTCTTACAGACCCCCTCCCTGCATTCTTTGATGGTTGTAAAAACACCAGCATCATTCATCCGTTCACGTCTCACCAGCCGCTCCACAACAACCACCTAACCAACCATTGATAGTGATCATGGCTGACAAGCCCAGCGTGTTGTTCGTCTGCATCCACAACGCCGGTCGCTCCCAAATGGCCGCTGCCTACCTCACGCATCTTGCTGGCGACGCTATTGAGGTTCGCTCCGCTGGCTCAGCCCCGGCCACCTCCGTTATTCCGATTGTCGTCGAAGCCATGCGGGAAGAAGGTATCGACATTACCAACCAGAAACCTAAGATCCTTAGTCCCGATGCTGTTCAAGCTAGCGATGTTGTAATCACTATGGGGTGCGGAGACGCCTGTCCCTTCTTCTCCGGCAAACGCTACTTCGACTGGCAACTTGACGACCCTGCCGGGCAAGGCCTTGATGCTGTCCGTCCAATACGCAACAAGATCCGTTCTCGCGTTGAGAAACTCATTACCGAGCTTCAGCTGTCTAGCTAACCTTGTTTGTCGGGTTTGAAATGCTGCTTAGCCTCTGCATATTCTGTTCTTTTATTCAATAACAAAGATATCTGTGAATGCCACGAGTACTAGGGAGCGCTTGAGAACAACATCTTAGAAGCCTAAGTAAATGCGCCGCCATCTTATCAGCCCGTCAATTGGTTTGTAATGTGGACATGTCGCTCTCGCGAATAACAGCGCAGGTACACTATACCATAGAGAGAGAGAGGTGAAAAGATTTGCTAAGACTGTTGGTGTTTCTGAGCGCCTGAACAGACATGTTTACTACCAGTGCAAGTATCTCTATCGATACACGTTTAATAATTGCAAAGATTAATTGAAACTGCCGAGGGGGACTATTATAACAAGTCTATACCTTGGATAAAGTCTATATACTGGAGTCTGGACCACTTCAATGCCGCACATTATGGAGATAACCCACCCTACTTACTGCACGGAATCTGCGTTTGCTCTCGCTACCCTTAGCTTCTCCTCTTTCACCCTCTCCTCCTCCCGCTCACTGAACCGATCGCCAAAAAGCTCTAGGTGAGGACGCATGATGATAGTATATTTCACAAACTCCTCCATGCAATCCACGAGCCGGTCTCGATTACCACTAGGCTTAAGCCTCTGGTCGCCTGGTTGGCCCTCGTCAGGGAGATGGGTATAGGCTTGTGGAATGGACGATTGATTCGGGATAGTAAACATGCGCATCCACCGGCCGAGAATACGCAGGGAATTGACAGCGTTAAAGGACTGCGATCCACCGCACACTTGAGCAATGGCAAGGGTCCGACCTTGCGTGGGACGAACACTACCAGTGCTAAGCGGGATCCAGTCGATCTGATTTTTGAACACGGCCGTCTAAACATTGTCAGTAATAGGAAAATCTAAGGATAGGCGGAGCAGAATACTCACCAGATTGCCATGCTGTTCGGGCGAAACCCAAACGTGGCCATCGCTCCATCTACTCAGCTCCCGGAGCTCTTGCACTTTAGGATGATCATGCTCGGTATCGTTCTTCACCGGTAATCCCTCAGGATTGAACACGCGGACATCGCACCCTAGACGGAAGAGAACTCTACTGGCTTCCAGCGCCACCAGGCGAGAGTAGGACCTCCGACGGAGACTGCCGTACAGGACAAGGACTTTCAACCTGCTACCCGACGTCTGGAGTTCCTTGGCCGCCATGTTCAGGGCGCTTGTCAATTCCAGGGTACTGACCCAGTCCTCGGCCACATTATTCTTGAGAATGAAGGGTCGGTATTTCTGGCGAATATTTGCATTGTCTTCATTCTCGCATATGGCTAGAGAAGAATGTTCAAGATTGACCATGGTCTCTTGCCCATTAGCAGGTTCACGAACAGTTGGCCCCAGCTGGGTGGCAGCGGAATGGGCCATTGTGGCGTAACCGCAACGCGAGAAATGCAGTGCCGAGCGAAAGGCGGGATTGGGCGTGACTGCTAAAAGAAGTCTAAATCGAGCTACCATCGAGGGGATTTTGAAAGACATGTATGGGTATCCGGTCATGGCATTGTATGAATTTGGTACCTCGCGAACTGATCCCTGCTTATTTGTAGATCGAAGCCAGCAGACGCCGAGGCTTGGCGAGAATGTCACTAGTCGACGCTGATTGGATGGCACCGCGGAAGCCGGAAATTTGCAGGATTTCACTGATTTACTAGAAATATTTTCTCCAGGAACTTATGGTTATGAGACAGACTTCTTCCACGTTCAACATTGAAGCAATACTAATAATCAAGGGTTGATCCACTGGTGAGCTATCTCGATGTGAAAATTGAACTATGTAAAGAGTAAATATCATATATTAAATGATTCTTTAACCCCGTTAAGCCCATGACAAGCTCCCCAGACGCACAGGAAGTGCGGTTGGAACTATGGGATCAGTCATGCTCCAACTATATGGGTGGAATATGCACTTTTGGAAGCTATCAGGTGAACGATCATGGAAACTACTGGTGTCATATTGGACATTTTGAACGGCAGCATACGGCTTGTGGAAACCTATCACGAAAGGGATTGTTGAATTTTGCCACTGCACTAAAAAGGGTCAACCCTTACTTAGTAAGGGCTTATTCTAGTGCATATCTCCCGCGGCCACAGGGATCAAGTGGGCTTGTCCAAACCACATCCTGCAACAACTTGCCACGTTCCCATCACAACATACTTTGGAAACATCCATCTCCTACGGAGCAGTCATACAATCAGGCCACCTAAGCCTTGATAGCATATATCTGAAAAGAACCTGAAAATCGGTCAACAGCGCACATAATCCGCGACGGAAGACAATCACTCACCAACCCACTCATTGAAATCCATCTCTGCAATCTCACTTGTAGTTTCCTTGCTCCCACTACCACCACAACACGAGATTTGAGGCAAATGGGAAGACCCCTTGTAGAGGTTAAGATCCGACTTTGCATCAACAATGAGCACACCTACCAGCGATTTAGTACACAAGACTCTTTTCACAATGGTGTAAGTATGTACATACCTCCGAATCCAGCCTGCCTTGAGGTAATCCTCATACTCCTCGATCTGACTGGCACCCGCAACACAACCAACAAAGAGCGCCATGTTTTTAGTAATATTATCGGGGAGTGGCTTTCTAGCCAAAATGTCACTGATTGAGACTCTTCCACCAGGCTTCAGCAAGCGAGCAATCTCTTGGAAGACGGTCGCCTTGTCGCTAGCCCGGACAAGATTGATAACACAGTTACTGATGATACAGTCGACGCTTGCGTCTGGCAGCGGGATGGTGTTGATAGTCGCTTCAATGAACCTGGTGTTGGAAAGTTTTGCCTTCTGGGCATTTTTCTCGGATAGTTCGATCATGCTCTGGGTACATTGTCAGTGCTGGTCGCAAGAGACAAAGGGCTCAAGAAAATGATACTTTGGTCATATCGACGCCGATCGCCTGACCACTCTCCCCAACTTGACGAGCTGCCGGGAGGACATCAATACCACTGCCACTGCCGAGGTCGAGAACAGTCTCGCCCTAGTAGGATGTTAGGTCTTTGGACTTTCTCACGGTCGCGAAAGCAATTTCGACAAAACAGACCTCTTTCACATTCGCAAATCCCACCGGATTACCACAACTCAGCCCGAGGTTGGTCTTCTCTGGCAGCGAGCTGAGATCTTCTGCGCTGTAGCCAAACGCCCTGGCAATGTTCTCTTCCTGCTCGTGCTGCTGGGCAAGATTGGTCTTTTTAGCGATATTGCCGTAAAAGGTCTGCACGGCGTTGTAGGTATCATCGGCCATCTTGGATTGGTGGGCTGTATTCAACACTGTGGTGCAATCAATAATAATGAGGGAATTTAAGGTGGGCTGGGATTGGCGGTATGATGGCTTGATGTTTGGAGAGGCACAAGCCCCTCTTATATCGACACAGGAGGCCACGTGAGCTTGCCATGAGTAATAAATAGCTGATAGCTAGAAAGTGAACAATGTGGTCATGGACTAGGGTCCTTGGTGACATTTGCTCGTGTTGCATGCGGGGCGGATTGTTGGTATCCAGGCGAATAAAAGCCTACTGTCGCATTCTCCACTCAGCCCGGGGTGGAAAGACCTGCTTCCACGGGGGAAAATAAACGATGGCCATAGAGACAAGCTCTACGAATCTTCTGGGCATTGCCTTTACTACCAAAACGTAGTACGACTGGTGTAGGGGTATAGATTGGTAACTAATCCGAGTTCTGATGATTAAACAAACCAACCCTCACCCCCACATCGTCATGGGTTAATTCACGGTAGGAGGTAGACTGTACTCTCTCGAGTCTCGTGGGAAGGCAGAAAGCCCTGACACCATGTCAACTCAGCAATCTCACCCCCTTCGGTGCTCCGTTTGCTCTCGAGCATATTCCTACATCGAGCACCTCTACAGATACGCACGGACACGTATGACTTATCCCCCACCACTACCCTTACCGGGCCCAATTTTGGGGAAGAACACTTGATTGAAGAGCCAAAAATTTCTGAAGATACTGGAGGAAGACCTTTCACGTACCCATGTGGTCATCCAGTCACTGGACGGGATCTTCTCACACGTTATCGGCGTCTCAGGCACTCGAACAGGCAAGATATTCCCTATGCTGCCCACTGAAAAAAAGCACTTCATTGCAAGTGGGTTTGTTTGTGATAGACAATAGTAGAACATCACATACAGAATCAACTTTACGGCCATCGTGTACCAGCGGTGTTCAGAGTTCAGCGCAGCATGTTCGAAAATCGCCAGGAACCGAACTGCCTCCCCCCAAGGTCAAGTCATGCCCCCGACTTTGTCAAGTTCATTACCCAGCACTACCAGCACTACCAGCGCCGGTAACTACCTAACAGATCAGATGTTAGAGGGCTATTCCATTGGCCCTGTCCAGGGATTTACGAATTTCGTGGATACCATGGGTCTCAGTTCGGACTAGAGCATGTTTGCCATACCGGAAGACCGAAACGATCAGCAGTCGACGGCTTTAACAAAAGACCAGTCTTCTCTGCCGTTTCTACAGGTGACAAGTCCAGAATTACGACAGCTTGACGGTTATGTGCGCAGAACATCCCAACAGCTTACGCCCGCGCCGCATTCCAGGGCCAGCGACACGACACTCGACGCAATGGAAGAGGAACCGACTATGTCTACCATCTCCCTTAGGTTCCATAAACCAAATAGAGAACATGCTAATCTCTAGAAGTCACTTATGCTGTCATGAGGGACCACCTCCCGCAATGCAATGTTACGCAATCTCAGTATGCACTACTTCTGTATAAGATCGACAAGTTCCGCGTAGTGATTCCACAGTTCGTGCTGCCCTCTCGTCACGCAATGAGTCGGTTCATATCGGGATATTTCGATGGGTTTCAAAACCACCTCCCGTTCATACATCCCCCAACATTAGGTCTGATTGATTGCGCCCCGGAATTTATCTTGGCAATGTTGAAGTTGGGGCCCAGTATAGATTTGAAAGCCACGCCAGTTTATCCACCTTTGATGCTGCGAAGGCTCTATGCATAGAGCAAGCGCGCCGTCGAAGCCACAGGTATTTTGAACAAGCGGTTTCCTCAAGAGTGGGAATTGCTTTGCGGCCGAGACCCTAATATATTCTCAGTGAAAAGTCGAAATGGAGCTGTATGCAAACCCTTCGGGATCTTCTGCTCCTGATAGTGTTCGCAACCTGGGGGGACGACCTTGAATCACAACGCGGTTACAGATAACCTGAGCCCAGAAGAGGGTGCATTTGGGGAGTGAATCGACGCCACCGAGATTAGATCCCGAACTTTCGAAGCCCCAGCGACTTAGAACTTCAAGTACTCACATAGAAAAGGTGATAAAATCGCCCCAACCAGTAGCAGCTCAGACGAAGTCAATGATTGATCTTATGCAAGGGGGTTGCCTGGTACACGTCTTTTATCACTTGGGTCTAGAGCCACGACATCTATTAATCCGTTTGTCTAACTAGTGCTCACCTCATTCCTCAAGTCTATCGCTATTTCTATCCTCTAAGAGCAGCTCATCCAAATACGGGACATGGAACACATGCCCATGCCAAACCTCACGAATAGTGCCCGCGAATGTGACCATCCAAAAACATACCACAATGACACTCAGTACCTATCGCAAGTCAAGTTTGGATCTCAGTAATTAATATTACGATTCAGAAGCATAGGACCACCTACCGTCCCAAGCACCTTGAAGAACATCGACTCAAGCTCTTTGCCAATCTGAATCGTATTGATGCAGAACACACCAAATGGAAATGTCGTCGCCCACCAACTCATGTTGAACGGAATAGGATAAGACTTGAGAATTGTCGCAAACGCAATTACCAACCACAGGAGGCCGAAACCCCACAGACCCAAAGCTACAATCAGGCCCATAACGTAAGAGATTTCACCGGCCAGGGGATAGAAGGAGTTGGTCGCATCAAAGGCGGTTAGGGACACCTTTCCCAAGTACATGATACTTGTTATACTTTAGCGAGGTTTGATGGTCTGCTGGGGGTCTGAGGAATAACCTACCCAAAGCCTCCGAAGCCAACAGGCCCAAGGGTCAAGAAACAACTCATCGTCAACTCCTTTGGGGGTAACTGATGCAATATTAATCGATGGTAGTATATTGCAAGGATCATTAAAGCCATCGACATTCCAAGACTCCAAAGTACATATGATGTTATTATTGTGCCTCGCGTATGCGTGATACTCGAGAGATCACCAGAGATCTCGGCACCAACTCCCGCGGCGACAATTGTGGCGGCTATGGGGATGATCTGGACCGCGGTGATCTTATCAAGGGAGTCTGTGTGTGGCTGACAGATTCTGTATAGTATTAGTAATGGATAAGGAGAGGGAGCTTTGCGGAGAAAGTTCATTACAATTGAAATGTCACAAAAAGAGTCGTCACGACTGACACAGCTGTATCAATCATCCAGAGCACCCAAGCCAGAATTGTCGCCCAGTATCCCCAAGCCGGAACGCATATGAAAACCCACATCTCAATCAACGTCGCGAAGCCTATCGGCAAAGTAGCCAGATACAACAGGTCCACGGGGTTATGCATCATTAACGCCCAAGCCCGGGGATACATCGCATATCGCAGGACGGTCAGCAGAGAAGCCAAAACAAACAGCACCACATTTAACAAAAAGACGATGATGGAGAGATAGTAGAGCCATCTCGCCTGGAATGGGATCACGGAGAGGAGAATGGCCACAACCCCGGTGCCCATCGTCATCACAAACCATCTATAATCATATTAGTGCCGTGGACAAAGATTGGGAAAATTGGCGCTGGGCTTCACATACGATGGTCCGAAGCCGAGGATGATTCGGCGCCACCCTACTTTGTCAAGCCTACGAACCATAGCGGATGGCTACTTATCGCAAGCAAAGTCAGGAACCATGGCAAATATCACCAAGCCAAAAGCCACAAATTCTATAGAGATTTTGAATCATGGCAGCCGATCTCCCGGGGTTTTCAAATCAATTCGGTTTAATCGCCGGTAGTTTGGTGTGGCGTAGATCCCGAATGGCGAACCCTAGGAAACCATGGATCCGAAAACGGAAAATTTCACTAAATGGGCCTGCTGAGCTTTTTATTGCCTAGGCAGAGTCAGTTAGTGGGATCGCCGAATCTCCATCCGGTTCATCCGTTTCACCCCGTTTATTACTCCGTCTTTGCCGCAGAAGATTGTGTTGTTCGGTATTTGGACGGGATCTCAGCCTGAATATCTCGTTCTCGTGCGAGAGAATAAAGTGGGTACCTCTCCCGGCTTCTAGTATTTAAATTGCAATAATATGGCAGGGTCATCTTATCGATAAAAACAAATTGAATCTAGGATTTCCATCTTCAATGGTGAAGGTTATCGCTGGGGAAACGCGATAGACTTTGGGAACTGTTTCAACTCGGTAGCTAATTCACTGACCGTTGGACAAATTAACGAACCCCATATTAGAAGACGGTTTCTTTTTTCTTTACTAGATCATGCATACTATTTTTGAGCAGGGCTTTGCTCTAAAGGTGTCAGTCTACGGGATCGTAAAACTCTGGCATACTTACATGTGTTCCTATCTCTGGCCATACCCGGGGGCGTTGGTGCGGTTTGAGTATACTCTGCAGCAGGGCGTGTCCTGGGCGCGAGATCGGTTAGATTTTGAACCGTGTCGCCTAGCTAATTTATCGTGTCCTACCATATTTATGAGAAAGTTCATTTGGTCAGGTGCGAAGCAAGTGAAAGCTACAGAGGAAGAAGGTAGATTAGAAAAAGCCGATGTTATGCTTACTACGACTGGATTTTGCATTGTGTTGGCTGATCTGAATGAAAAAGATTCTTTATTTAAGCGGCAGGCGATTCAATTATTCAAGCTGACCAACGTCGAGGGGCGGGGCCCGTAGTATGAACAAAGAAACGCTAGTACATTACTTCCTTCATGGAAGATTCCGCTAGGCACAAGAGACTATCCCGGCATATAGTGGATATAACCGCTAAGTCATATATGGCATAAACCATATATAGTTTCTTGATGGCCATTTATGAGACAGAATAGTATCCTCTCCAACTTGTACGTCTTCTCTCATCAAGCTGAACAACAGAGCAAGCAACAGACGCATCCACGATCGACTGTAAGCTCCAGATCACATTTACCAAAATGTCTTCCGTTCCTACTGCAACCCAGAAAGATGAAGTCTTCTTGTACATGGGCTCTCTGAACCCCAATCTACGCTGCGTGGAATACCTCGAAACAATTATCGGTCTCTTGAAGAGCAAGAGGTTCCAGATCTGCCGGCAAAAGCCCGACTTATCCCGGGATGAACTCTATCGTGTTTATTCCATCTATGTGGACGCCAGCCTTGACATCAGTAAACAGGTTGACGGGTTTCTTCCCAAATTGATTGAATTTCTGGAGAAGAACTTGGAGCAAGACAGGGAGGACCGTGCTAAATCTTTGGAAGGCTAGAGACTTTTCATTATAGCTGAAGAAAGCTTGCTTTAGCTGGTGAAGTATGCAGGATACATGAGCAAATCAACGAGAATTAAATGAGAGGGAAAAAAGCAAACTAAAAAAGAGAATCAACGAAAAAGCGTAGACTGATGGGGTAGCTGGAAAAGACCTTTCTGGAATACTGGGTGCACAAGTTCGTCAATGAACAGCGTCGATGAACATGCCTCATCAAGGCTCATTGAATCTTTCAAGTATTTGCCTATGTGTAAATGGTTTAGTCCGCCGAAGCCCGACTAAGGACTGAAATATCTTGGAACAACGGGCGGGGAATATACATATGCTTTTTGGCTGAGTTGCTGCCTTTGATACTCGCACCACTAGTCTCTGTAAATACTTTTGTTGTCTTTGCTCTTTAAGCCAAGGCGGCTAATAAACGACGAACAACATCATCAACATCAAAGTTATTTGGCAGCTAACTAATAAAACATTTCAATCTCCTTCCACGACTAAGAACGGCAGAATTCGCTTTTACACAGCGGAAGCTCCCCGATGCATTATTCAATATTGTAAGCAGAATGATAACCCCTGGGATTCACAAAGACCAACTTTCGTGACCGAGGGAGCGCTAACTACCAGTTCAACATCTCCGCTAACTAAGACGTAAACGTTGCAAAGCATCTCGAGGAGGCCAAATATTCCATCCCTCGGGTCGCTAAGTATTAGAGACTGCCAGAAGGTAGAAGCCTCAAGTAAACCAGCACTGATTGGGTATTTCTCTGAGGGCATCTACATTATTAGGTCGCGAGAAGCAACAAGTATTTGCGAATATTCATGGTTCTCTTTATTCCTTGGCCGGTATAGTAACCAGGCCTTTCATTAATTAGATGACTCTTTATACCATAGACGCAGAGTATGCAAGATGATGAGAGCAAGCTAAAAATTCCAAATCTATAACATGATCTCACAGATTCACATTGTAATTCTCTATCAATAAAACACAAGTATGCACAAATACTATCACCTATGCCTCCATATTTTAGGATAGACTTTTCAAATCCGCCGTCTTCTAGATAAGCATCCTAGGCTACGGGAAATGATAAAATCTGTTTCCCCAGTACAAAAAATGAGCATGTGTATACGTCTAGAATCGGCGCATTTCCAATCAGAGGGTCTCATAGAATTGACCGGCAAGTTAGTTTCGGCCCGGTTCTGTATTAAGCTCTATGGTAACGGTCTATTCTTGAGTGCACCAGTTATCTGATGTTATATCTACAATGGACGAGCCATCTCCATTGTTGACAGACACTGTACATACTGATTATTAGATCTTTATCCCGGATAGATTATTCAAACGATTTGATTATCAAAGAAAGCACATACACCATAAAATGTATAGAGAGCGCATGTTTTAACGGAGATATCCTGTTCAGTTAATGCGGTTGGGAATATAAATAGCACTTAAACTCCCATTCAAAGAATGCATAATGTCCACTTTCCCATGCGCAGCTTCTAGTCTCTTGCCAAAGCTGCTCACGGGGATTCCTTTGGAAGACGACACGATAAGCCAGCTTCTTTGTCTAGGAGTCCAATCCATATTTGAACAGTCGTCTTCTGTGAACAAGAACTTCTAAGAACAATGAACGCTGTACAAAAAATAGACAATGATTTTTTACTCCAGCGGATGCTGGTTTGGACTCATTGTGCCAAAAGAAAATTGTCAGCCTGGGAGCTCCAGCATGCTGTTTCAATTGTCCCAAATTCTCAGGAGAGGCAATTGGTTGATGTACCAGATCCCGCTTTAATGCACAAGGTTTCAGACGAACTATTGGTACTTGATGAATTCACAGGCATTTTTGAGCCTATTGGCAACAGGTCGCTGCGTTATCTTGCCCAAAAACTGCCTGATGCGATGGCAAATACCCAAACGGATCTTGCCAGGGCATGTATCGCGTACATGAAATACGGCATCTTTGAACGTGGAATGGCTCAGTCCGACGGAGAGTTTGAGACTAGACTGTTAACAAACTCGTTCCATGAGTACGCGTCTTGCTACTGGGGGCATCATGCGAGAGAGGCTGGACTGAAAGCGCAGACAGCTACCCAAATCATGTCGGATATCCAACCTAATTGGGGTAAGAATCCCCGGCAGACTCCTGTCAATCTGACCAACTTTAGTTTTAAAGAGTACAGGACCTTGAAAGAAGAGATTATACGGTTCCTAGGTGGTGGGCCTTGCTTTTTGGCCGCACTTCAAACTCTCAATTCTAGCGGGCCTTATTACGCCAAAGGGCTAGTGCTCAAAAACGCAAGACTGGATAAAGATCGGCCTGTGTTTCCTGAATATAGCCAAAGATCTCCAGAGGGAATTACAGGTATGCATGTCGCGGCTTGGTTTGGCTTAGCTGACATTATTCCTGGGTTGGTCGAAGCCGGGTTGCATCCAGACGCCGAAAGCTATTGTGGACGCACGCCACTATCCGTGGCAGCCAGTCAAGGGCACAAGAAAGCCGTATCCCTTCTTGTCACCAGGTACAGGGCGGACCCCAAGTCCAAGGACGATCGCGGATTCACCCCACTACAGTATGCTGCCTGCAAAGGCTATACACGGGTTGTGCAGTACTTGATTGGTATTGGAGCTGATATAAATTCATATTCAGACCTCGGAGTATCAGCCCTTTCGTGTGCTGCAATGCATGCGCATGAAGAGGTGGTGCGTGTACTTTGTGATAGAGGCGCCAACGTCAATTCAGCCGATTCCTTATGCTACCAGACGCCATTAATCTTCGCTGTCATCAGTCGCGACGAGTTTGTTGTCCGGATGATCCTGCAGAAAGGTGCTCTAGTTGATGTGGAGGACGAATCTGGTCGGACTGCGCTGGGTTGTGCTGCAGCTCAAGGCAGCGAGACAATTGCGAAGATACTCTATCAGGCAATTGTCGGAGACCCAAATGTACTCAGTCGACACAACTCGCTCTATGGGAGAAAGCCACTCTCGGAAGCTGGGCGTGTTCTCATGGCGGGCATCGTTGGTCAACATAGACGGTAGACGAGGCTACCTGCATCCCATTACATACTTCAAATTAAAGTGTAATTCATTTCTTTTTCGATTTTCAGGTTATTCATTAGGATTGTTATTCCTGAGCACCAGAAGGTATATCTGCCAATCTTAACCGAAATGCCGACTCGACACTGATTTCGTTTTCTTTTTTTAATACCGTAAGTTTCTCTCTGTTTTTGTTCCTTTCCTTTTTCTTGGTAGACATATTATGCTCAATCGCCCAGTTTCCACTATATTCAATACCCATGTCACAGTGCAGAATATAATAAATACTCACATCACCATAGCAGCTAGTCCACATTCGTGTTTCTCACAAACCGGTTCATCTATATATCAAAGTGACAAAAATCTATGAACTTTTAGCTTCGGTTCTTTCAAAGCATCTCGCTTTGCCATTGGCAAGTAGCCCGAGTGGAACCTTTCTTTGTCGAAAGTTTGAGTCATATTGAAGAAAGGTAGTGAATGAAAGAAACAGGTCTTTTAGGTATTGGTTGGAATGTGGGTTCCATTCACAAGGTTATACATGTGGAAATCTCACGCAAGGTAGCCTGGCTCACTTATCAGTTGTTCGGAAGTATGATAGTTATTCAATAATAAGGGAATACTGAAAAAAAAGCCATATAACGTATGGTATTACTGTCAATTGTGCACATAAGAAGGAAGAGAATGTTGGTCGTGTCAATATAGTGGCGATGACTTTCTTTTTGGGGGGTATCTGTTATGCACGCCCCAGACACTTCTTGGCTTGAGGATACTACTTTCGAGAATGGTCTTGTATTCTCTGCTCTTTGCTCTTATTCTCAATGGAACGTACTTCCTCAGGCCCGTGAAATTGCTGATTTTCCGATCATTCTCCGCAAAACCTCCGACGGACCCATTGGTCTCCCTCCAACTATGCAAGGGCGGCCAGACAAGGCTCTTCGTGAATTGCGCGTTTTTGAGCTTTTTTGTGTCATCACTGCACTCTCCGAAAGAACGCTCTCCGTTCACGGTGCGGACGTTCTCTAGGTCACAAGTCCCAATCTTCCCGACCTCCCAACTATAGATCGTGATTTTGGACGAGATAAGCGCACAATTTAGCTCGATTTAAATACGCAGTCGGACTAGGCCGAGCTCCGCCCACTGCTCCACGACGCCCACGTCTTTGTTCAAGGCTTTCGCCCCGGGGGCGTTGCCGATCGAGACCCGATATTGGATATTGGGTGACAGTCCACAGCATGCTGTGAATACCGTGAACATGATGTTCCCAACATGATATATTATATTCCGGCCATACATCTCTGACAATGGCGCGAGCAGCAGAGGGCCAAGACCAAAGCCGATATTCTACTACATTAGATCCAATAAGGGCTTGATGGAGCATGAAAGATGGAGAAAGAAGGGACGCGAGGCGGCGAGATGGAGTTGCCGTGGCCCCGTGGGGAGAGGCCTTTGGTAGGGCTGAGTCAGAGCTGAGTCACCTCCAGCCTTCTCCGCAGTTGACGTCCTGAGGCTTCTGGCTTTCCATCACCAAGTTTGATCTGGGATGATCTCCCCGAGGCCACTATCTTGATAGAACTGCCACAAAACCATGTCCATCCGTGACAATGCACCAGTGCGGCTTCCTGCCTGCCAATATTGCTATACAAAGAAAGCAAAGGTTTTTACTCTTCGCCCAATGCCCTATTGCCCCAATTCAAAGAGGAGTCTCCTTATGAACCGTAACTCGATAGTGTGATGATATCCGACCAAAATGTACACCCTGTATGAAAGCTGGTATAGAATGCCTCACTGTGGCAGTCTCTGATGAAGACGTGCCAATTTCAAGAGAGTAAGCTTTATCCATGCACTTGAACGAATTTGTCAAAGTCCTCAAGGCGAAAACAGGCATGTACACCAGTTAGAGCAGCAGATTGCAAAGAACCAGGAACTACTGAAGGGCTATGAAGCGCAAGACACACAGCCCAGAGAATCGACATTACCAGTAAATCCAGTCGGACCTGTCGGTATTAGGTAGTTCTGTTCGCGAATCTTTTATTGCGATAGGTGCCTGACAGATATATTCTAGGTTCATGAGTTATTTGTTCGCAGATCCAGAGTGGAGAGAGCGATACTCCAATATGCTGCATAAATGGTCAAATGCATCGGCAGTCGCAGAGATTTCAGTCCAGCCAAATTCTCTTCCTCCACCCGACGAGGCTCTGGCTGTGTTCAATAACTAGTGAGTGATTCCCTATCTACAATCTGTAATCGTAACTGAGACCGCAAGCTTGATCGGATCCCATGTCCAAAACCCCTTTCTACTGCGCCGTGACGTACAGCAACTGTATCACTTGGTCTTCGAAACGGGGCGCGAGTCTGTACCCGCACATGAGAGATTGGACCTATCCGACAACGATCTTTTCCGGACATTTATGATTCTTGCCATTGGGTCTATTCCATTATACCGTAATGGTGCGCACAAAAACCATCCTTATGGGTATTTCCGCACAGCAATGAAGTATATGGACGCTACCGTGCTTTCCAGGGGGCTGCAGTCTATTCAGGATTTATTATTAGTCGCCAGATTTGGAATCTATCATCATATTGGTACGTCTGCGTATCAAGGGGGCATGAACGTGAGAGCTGACTATAACCGAAGGTACATCCATCTGGGCCATTACAAGCTTATGTATGCGAATGTGCATCGAACAAGGCTACCACCGCCCACCTCGCCCGAGCGAGAGAAGAACATTAAACCTTTTGCAGGAACAATTACAGCGACGGGTATTCTGGGAGTGCTATATGATTGCACAATACAGCTCGATTATACTGGACCGGCCGCATGCAATAGCAGATATTGATATTCTGATTGGGTTTCCGGCCGATGCCAATGATGAAGACATTGAGGCCGCCGAGGCTACCGGGTCGACTACTGACCTGGATTTCTTTCGGACAACATCTGTCAGCTCGGCCTCGACAGACCATACGGAGATAACAGTTTTCCTGCTCTGTTTGCGCCTCCGACAAATTACATCTAAGATTCAAGCACGATTCCAGCAGAATTCCGACAGCTCGAGTGGCAGTAGCGACCAAGACTCGATAATTGAATCGATCACGGTCCGGGGAAAGATTTACGCAGATTTGGATGAGTTACTATCTGAACTGGACGACTGGCGGCATTCTGCCCCGACGTTTCCCAATCCAAGGAGTCTATTCGAGACCCAGGATTGGTACGATCTCCTTCTAATGCGAGAGAGGCTGATTCTGATACGCAAAGCAATTGATCTTGTGCCAAAAGAAAACAACATACCTCCGCGAGACCTCTGCTCGTTATGTCTCCAGTATGCGGTGGGAACCATCATGGCATTCTGTCCGCTTTTCGATGAAAAGACACTCACATACACCCGAAGTTATTTCCAAACCTTGTTCACTGCAGGCCTGTCTATCATGTTTTGTATATCTGTGACCGACCATAATTCGGAAACAATTGCAAATGCCGCACACGCATTGGAACAGTGCGCCCGAGTGCTCAAGACCATGGGCAGGGAGATACCGGAGGCGAGCCATAATGTTACAATGTACGAATCGTTGCGATCAAGAGTTCTCAAGAATCGAGCCGCAGTATCACGACCAGCGAACAACCCAAGCGAACAGGTCGATCAACAGACTGCGGATTATCAGACCCAGGCACCATACATCCAGCCTCAAAATTCGGAAATATCGACAGCTTACAATCATAACCCTCAACTGCCACTTTTCCTCAACACCCATTGGCCGGTTTTACCCAATGAGTCAATGCCTCAGGATTCCTTGCTCAACGATGACCTGCCTCTCCAGGATTGGCTGTCATGGGATATGTGGGATATTTGGGACATCTGTGATAAATCCGGACGGCATCCCTCCTGGAATTTGGAAGCTGGGCCTGGGGAATATGTCTGCAGTGAAACACCTTTTCCGGGTCCAACAGAGAGCCTCGAACCAATGCACCCTTGCCTGGCTTCCCTCTCAACCCCTTTCTCGGCATGACTTTTACTTTCTCTCAGGCCAGGTTGGCCGTTGGTGCGTCTAGCCTTTGTTATGTAGCGAAGCAATCTAGAAATTATTGAGGCTTAGCGTGCAGCAGTTATTCTGATTGATCCTTCGGCAGTTATTTTTCTATCTCTTGGGAGACACAGAAAGTTTTCTATCAGTCACTAAGCATTCCTATCCCATACGTTGTTCGCCAGTTGTACTAGTCTTTGATTCGATCCTGATACAAGTGGTATGCTGTGGGACACGGGGAGGCGAGGTGAAGAAGATTGACGAGGCGAAGGATGCCGCAGAGCTGAAAAACAACAACTTCGATGCGAATCTAGTTTTTGAAATTATTCAATCATCACAAAGGCTATGGTCTTCAGATTTCATTAGTTTGTTATTAATTCCAGTTGTTTTTGATTGAATCTATTTTTATAAAGGATTTTGAGATGATTGAGATGAAAATTTTGTGATTATTTTTTTTAAAGATTTTTAAAATAACAAATATATGATATATCAAATTAAAATTTTTTTATTTGTGTATTGAATTTTTATGTCGATGCAAAATTATTTCTATTATATACCAAACAAACTAAAAAATAGTTTTTCAAGTCTGTAGTCGAATTTTTTGAATAAATATTTATTTATTGCAAATTTATGTAATGTCAAATTATTAACGTAAACCACAAGCGAGTCGCGAATCTGAGCGAGCCGCGAATTTGTATTCCCATACAAAATGGCGCTTTTGAACTCGGGATATCTCAGCCATTTCTATGTCGTATAAGATACTATTTAAAACTAGAATTATATGACACTATTTAACGATAATGTACTAAATTTTAATCTATTTATTAGGCTGATTGTCCAGGTATTATAAATTACACTGTATTATAAAGCTGGTTATGTATTAAAGACTTCCATAGGTTTCTTTATTATATAAAAAAGATTTTATACTACTTACCTATATAATACTTCAGGTCTTTAATATATTTTTTGAGAATAGAGGTATGGTG